TTTTTTAAAATTTATTAATTTAAATTTAATAAAAAAAATAATTGATATGTATTTGTTGTGAATATTTCAAAAGGTTGTCAAAATCTTTCATTCCACATTGCTAAAAAATAAAAAGAAGAAGCATGAGATAACATTTTATTAAGAGAAATGTGTTATGAGTTTGTAAAAGGTAAGTAAAATGGATTGGGCTCGTGCACAAACGAGTTAAGCTAAGGCAAAATGACTTATTTTCTCCCTAGCTATGTGCAATAATAAGGTCCAATCCAATTTTTTTTTACTGTTTATCAACCTAAATTTTTATGGTATTTTCTGATTTTGCTCCATCATTATTCTCGTCTTTTTCTTATTAAATCAGTCTAAATTAATGTATAAATATCATCTTTATTGTCAATATTGAGTACTCATAAAAAAAATTTTAAGATTAATTTTATTTTCAAGGATAGGAAATAATATCAATAAGGATAACGATTACACGACGATACTTTGCTGACCTTTTATTTTTATTCAACATTTCTATCATGCGAAGCTAGTGGTATGATTTTACGTTGTAGTTCAAAACATCAATGGACGAATATAATATTGACAAAAGCCAAAATTTGAGGGAGAAGATTAAGATAAAAAAGAGTAAAGAAACTTTTTAAAGAGTGATGATTGCGGCAGCAAGTGAAGGAATCTTCAACAATGACGACGAAGCTTTGTGGAAAATATTACCAAGTAACTTGTGTTAGTGGGACAAATGAAGGCACTCCATTCCCTTGTTTCGATGGTGGGTCTGCGGTGGAGATGATTACAGGTCTTTGCCCTCCTGCTTTCTGTAGGGGGTACCATTGATTTGTCAAAACAAGCTTTTGCTTCTATTGCTGATACAAATTCTGGTGTTATCAACATCTCTTACCAAAAGAATGTATTTAGGAACCGAAAAATTAATTCTGCTCGTATGCTTTTGGGTTTTAATGGCTTAATCTGTGATTTTATAATAGGATAGTCTTTTAATCTATAAATATATATCCAATTGAATATATATTAAATATCTAATCTATCGTTATGATAAAATTTTCAAACTAAATTATCAAATTTAGTCACATGATTTGCACATAAAATCTTTTTATTTGACTTGCTTATAAGAGTATTTTGAGAATAAATACTAATTTTATGCAAATTATGTGAATAATTCTGATGGTTTGGCATGAAGATTTTGAAAAAAAAAAAATAGATCGAAAACTTAACATATATTTAAAAGTACGATTGGCTCCACAATGGATAGAAAGACATATTTGAGAATTATGTTATTATATAAGGATATTTTGAGATATTAATCTTGTAATTTTTCTTAGCTAGATTTTAATTCTTGTCAGGTATATATATATATATATTGCATGTTCAATTGTTATGCAGGATTTGACAGATGAAGCATGCATTGAAGAAAGCACCTGCAGAAAATTTAGCTAATGCATTATCAACTGAATATTGTTTATTTTCTGGTTTATCCAATAATTGGACAAAAAATTGTACCAAAAATTATAAATTAATGAAATTTGTTTATTAGCCATACTTTTTTTCAAAAAAATTGAACTGAGTATTTTTGTTCAAATATTACAAATAAAGTAACGGGTCAAGCTTGTGCGGGACTCTGTTTTCATAACGTTCAAAGGAAACAAACACAAGCAACAACAACAACAACAAAAAAAAAAAAAGAAGAATAATAATAAAATAAAAAACAGAAAGAGGCACCAGCAATTTTAGTGTTTGTTTCTTGAGATTCTAACGAAAAAGACCGGAGTTGTATTCAGTAATATTTCCTTACTATTAAGGTGATTTTTCCATCCCAATTCACATTTCATATGGATTAATAGTTCAAAAAATCTCTCTATTTTCGTTTTTATTTTAATCGAATTTTTATCAATATCGTCCCTTATTGTTTATTTTGTGTTTCAATTTTATTCCTTCATCGAAATTTTCAGGTAATGGCGTAAAATCTCGGTCAGAGAAGTACAAAATCTTGACACATAGCAAATTTGTTTTCTCTTTGATTTTTGAAATTAAGTAAATAAATTCGGAAATGAAAAAAAGAAAATACCTTGATGGGCTGATACATTGTGGGTTTTCACGCAGCGTGAAGATTCGGAGGTGAATGGGCCATTTATTGTTTTGAGAAATTTAATTGGGCCCGATCGAGACCAATGGGCTTTTATGCAACATAAGCAATATATTTGAAGATAAATGGACCTACTTGCCTGGTGGATGAAGTGACAAGGGAGGAGAACTATACCCACCGAGACACGGTGGACAATGTATTGCTTGAATACGAATAATAATTAACTGCTAGATTTTTTCAATCAAACAATATCGAGTTTTAATAATTTTAATATATTTGGTTATATCATATAATAAAAAAAATAATATCTCTATTGTGTGGATTAAAACCCACAAGACATATTGATAAATCAAAAAAAAAAAAAAAAAAAAAAATCCGGTGTGGTTTTGAGGGAGTTGAGGAGGTTAAGGTTGAAAAGGCTGTCAAGATTAAAACAAAGGCAAAGAAAGATGTTGGAGTCATGGTTTTTCTTGAAATAATATCACTCTCTGTTGGTTTTCTGTTGTAAAAAATATGATCAAATGGAATGTCTATTTATAATAGGCATAGATGATCAAATCAGAGAAAAATGAAAAACAAAAAGAAAGGATTTTTTAGATAATAAAAGGCATTTGGTTCACGATAGAACTTTTCAATAGTATAAAAAAAACCCAAAACAGAGTTTGTGACTCTTGTCATAACCCAATTTTGGGTTCCTTGAAAAGAAAAAAAAAACAAAAAATATTAAACCTCTTTAAAATTATTCAAAAATCTATTGAAATATTTCACAAATCTTTTTAAATTGAAAGCTTCTTATTTTTAGCTAATCAAATCTCAAAATTAAGATTTGACAATTAAAATTTGAATTGATTTTGAAAGAAATTTTAGGAGGTTTCGACCTATAAAAAGCTTTCGAATTCCAATTCGCATGAGAAGGGAGAAAAAAAAACCCAAAACAGAGTTTGTGACTCTAAAGAAAAAAAGATAGTGACATATAACACTAAGCAAGAAAGAATGGTGATATATGATTTGTCTTTAGATTAGAAAATAGAAATCCGTGTTGAAAACTAAAACGGATTCATTAAAACCTTATAGCAGGTTAAGACTAAAATCATGTATAAGAATAGGAGTACTGTCCATTAGCGATAACTAGAATTGACATTTAGGACATGCGATAGGAATATATATATATATATATATATATATAAAGTATTGCTTTTCAAAACTGGTTGGTTTCAAGAATAGGTAACCTATATATATATTGAGTGCGACCAAATCAATATATGGATTACCATTTCTTGATACTTACCTTCCTAGATGTAATAATTTACGTAAACAATCTACGTAAATAAATCAATATATAGATTACCATCTAACGATATATATCTTCCTGGATGTAGTAATCTATGTAAACAATCAATATATAGATTATCATTTCATGATCGATACATATCTTTCTAGATATAATAGTCTACGTAAATAATCTACGTAGACAATCACTATTTGCATGTTTTATTACTCATTTTTTTTCTAAATTACAATAAACATGGAAGAACTTCGATCATATTTGGTTTATCTGTCGTGCTATGGGGATGGGCAAAGAGATACAGAAGATGAACAAAGCCCTTTCGTCCGAAAGCTCTCAAGCAACTCAGACTCTGTTTTCCTACCGTTCAAAGGAAACAAACACAGGCCATCAACAAAGAAGAATAATAATAAAATAAAGAAAGGGAAACAACCACCAATAATCTTAGCATTGTTATAAAATAATGAATGTTTATAAGAATGTTCGTATATTCTTCATATTTCTGCTACTCATAATTTTTAATGTGATTTAATTCATCATTCAATATGAAAAATTAAAAATATGATGTAATTGATTTAATAATTTATATACTTTTAATGGTTTATAGTCATTTTCAATTCTCTTATTAATCTTGAAGCTGATAAATAAGCTTGATTGCTTATTAATTTGTGTATAAGTATTTTGTAAACATTGATAAAATTGTTTAGAGTTGTTATTTCTTATATACTCTTTATTTCAAATAATTAATTTTTTTTCAATTATTGAGAAAATTGAATATAAAAAATTAAAAAAATCATACAATTAATTTAATAATTTATTTATTTTTAATGATTCATAGTACCTTAATTTCTAGATGAATGCTGCTGTAAATGTTACTGTTGCTATTAGTACTGCTGTGACTAGTTGAGACTCTCATTATTCCACAACAAGTACGTTTTAAAATTAAAAACAATTTAATTTACTATCTATCTTTAGCTCATAAGAAAAGCTAATTTTGTTGCATGCTCGACTTTGACTAAATTTAGCTTTTGACTTCTCTTATTCCTAATTATAATTTAATTTTTTTTTAATTTAGATGATTTTTTTCTTTTTTCTTTTCTTTTTTACATCATAAACAGGAGTTCAACTAAATAATTGTACTTCAATTATCTCTAAACAAATGTAAAAAAAAAAAAAAAAGAAGCACAAGGTTAGTGGTTGTCTGTCTATGTTTGAAATCAATAGATTTTTCACTTAAAAGAGATGTGTTCAATAAAAATCATATTCTATGAACCATTAATTTTTTATACATACATTAAAGTTTGACCTCATATACAGTCACGATCGAGCTTCCTAGTCATTGTTTTTCTCTTCTGAAGCAGGAAATCTATGTTGCATTGTAAACCTCCAATGGCCTGCATGGCCGACCGAATTACTTCCTTCAACAAAATCCCTCGTAAACAAGACATAGTTTTTCACAATATGCTGCAAAATTATTCTCATTCCATCAATCTGTCCTAGCCTCTAAACCCCTATAAACACTCGACCAGTTGATTTCCTCTCAACCATTCATACTCGTAACTAAGTTCTAGCTAGCTAGCACAAAAACCTATCCAAGTACCAAAAAAACCCCAGAAAACTATGGCATCCATCTGCCAGAATTTTGTTGCTTCTTCTATTACGACATTATTGTGTTTCAGTTTGTGCTTTTACTCTTCAGCATCAGCTCAGGAGTCAGGAACTGCAACGTTTAACACACCTCCATACCTTCGTAAGAGTTTTTTTTTTCATCTCCTATTAATATCTATCCCTGTTGTAAAGTGAGCCAACGGATTTTCCCTTTATTTTCTTTTTCAGCTTCTAAATGCTATGGATATGAAGATCAAGGAGTGATGGTTGCAGCAGCAAGTGAAGGAATCTTTAACAATGGTGAAGCTTGTGGAAAATATTACCAAGTAACTTGTGTTAGTGGGACAAACGAGGGCACTCCATTCCCTTGCTTCGATAATGGGCCAGCAGTGGTGATGATTACAGATCTTTGCCCTCCTGATTCCTGTAGGGGTACCATTGACTTGTCAGAAGAAGCTTTTGCCTCTATTGCTGATACCAATTCTGGTGTCATCAACATCTCTTACCAACAGTATGTATTAAGAACTCAAGAACTTAATTCTGCTTTTACAATTTTAGATCAATAGTTCAATCTCTCTTTATGTTTCTAATCGAACCAATTTTATTCTTAAATGGATGTTAAGTGTCTAATATATCTTCCTAATAAGATTTTTAGGATAAACTACCGGATTTAATCATACACGATTTACAGATAAAATCTTTCTATTTGACTAACTTGAAAGAATATTTTGAAAATAAAAAACTTGGCTAATATTATTGCATGTTCAATTGTTATGCAGGATTTGAGAGATGAAGAATGCATTGAAGAAAGCAGCTGCAGAAAATTTGGCTAATGCATTATTCTAGTACTGAACAAAAAATTATTGACCACCTGATCAACTGAATACTGTTTGTTTTCTGGTTGTATCCAATAATTGGACAAGAAATTGTACCAAAAATTACAACTAATGAAATTTCTAATTAGCTATATTTTTTTTCATTGACTTTGTCATGGTTAGAAAAAAGAGTTGGATACTGTTTCAAATCTTGGAGACAATATCTAAGTAATTTATTCTTTTGATGCACAAAATACCGGAAATGTGCATTTAAGATCGTTCAAAAAAGAGATTTTAATCTCTTATGAAACAAAAACAAAAAAGACTATTACGTTAACGGTGTCAATTTGTTTGCCCTTTAAAGCTCTAATGGATAATTAGTATTTCCCAGAAAAGAAGTATAAAAGGATCAATTTGTATAATATTTTCATGCATGTACAGAGTTGCATAGGAGCCATAACAGAGAAAAAGCAGAGTTACTAAACAGAGGGAGCCATCGCCCAAAAATTTTGATACCAAACTGTGTATGCACAGTAACATTTAGTTTTCTTCTTCTTCTGCCTTTTTTTTTTTTTTTTTTTTTTGGGTTCTGTTGAACGAAGAAGCAAATGGGTACAATGCTGTTCTTCGTATAAATGAACTGAGCATTTTTGTTCAAATACTACAAATAGTGTAATGGGTCAAGCTTGTACCGGACTCTGTTTTCCTACCGTTCAAACGAAGCAAACACAAGCCGCCGACGAAAAAGAATTAACAAATACTAAAAATAATAATAAATAAATCGAAACAGCCAAAGAAAAAGATAAAGAGTTGTATTTAGTGATATTTCCTTATAATTTAACTATTTTTATAATGCCCCAATTAACACATATCCATGGGACTTAATGTTTTAAAAAACCTTGGAAAATCTTAAGCCCTACAAGTCTAAGGGTAAATTTTTGTCTTTTGTTTTGTTTTTTTATGCTAATTACGTCCAAAAAATAAATAAATCTTTATATCTTTGATGCATTGCATGTACACTGAACTCATGGCCTGCCTGTCTGACCTTTCTCTTTAGAATTTAAAAAAACCACAACTTAAAACAACATTCTAATTACTATATAATTAAGAAACTTCATGCTAATTAACTTTCTTGTAAACAAATTCATAAAATTTAACAATTATATACCACATAATTATACCGATTCCATCAAAGTCTAAACTCCTATAAATAATCTTACTTCCTCTCAATCCATGCAAGCAAATATTCTCTACTACCAAAAACAGTCATCTCCTTCTTAATTCCATCCTTTAAAAAAAAAAAAAAAAAAACCTAGAATTATGGCATCCATCTTTGAGAATTCCATTGTCTCTGCTGCCATAACTACATTATTCATCGTTTCATGCTTTGATTTTCCATTGCCATAACTACATGTTAGTCTATATTGGTTGTAGTATCAATAAATAGACACAAGAAATTGCCGAGGTGTGGATCCATATATATCTTGAAAGTTAGTGTGCTTTGTTCATCCTTCCAAACTGATTTTTTGAACATTCATATGTAAAGCTTACTCTATATGCTCATTTGATAGACGTTTCATGTCAATATTTATGCGGTTTTTGACAACGAAAGAAACAATTTCAATACATTAAAAATATCATAGAACAAATAATTCCTGAACAACAACAGTAATAAACAAGAAAAAACATAGTCTAATCCTCACATACTGGTTTTTCTGCTGTGTTGTGAAATTGGAACCACATCTTTGATTTGCAGAAATTCATGAAGAAGTACCATAAAATCCCAAGAACAGTCAAAATAAAACTCACTATATACACAGTTCTTGCTGCCACAGTCATAACATAGACCAAAAACACTGTAGGAATCAAGCACATTATTACCAAACCAGGCAACCCCATCGGAACTCTAAATGGCCTGTCTATGTCCGGCATTTTTCTCCTTAACCATAAAAATGATGCAAATTCCAACAACATACCCAAACTGTACAAGAAATTCACTGAAGAAATTATGTCTGCAAAATCCATATAAGAACCTGCTAATGCTATTACTGTGGAGACCAAAATTGCCACCCAAGGTGTGTTAAACCACTTTGATCTCATCCCAAAAAATTGTGGCAAGAATCCCAAGTCAGCCATGCCTAAAACTTGGTATGCACAACTACTTAATTGTGCTTCAAATAATCCAATAATAGATAAACATGCACCAATCTCCATCCAAAATTTCAACCATTTCCCAGCAATGATTTCAGCTACATGAGCAAAATAGCCATCAGTCCAATCTTCTTGATTTAATGGGATAGCCCCTGTCGCAGCTAAAAGAGGTACTAAGTAGCCTAAACAAGCTAGCAAGCCAGCAGATAAAAGGGCTACTGGAAAAGTCTTTTGAGGTTGGTCAACTTCACCAGCTAAAGTACTAGCACTGTCCCAAAAGTTCAAGTTCCAAAACAGAGTATTAAAAAACAACCTCCAATCTTTTTGGACACCCTTTTGTCCCAAACTGATCCACCTTGAAGGATCAATCTTGGGGATGGAAACCAAAGTCAAGACCACAAATGGCGAAAGTGACACGATGCCTAAAGTAACAGCAGTGTAACCCACAATGGCCAAACCTGTATAGTTTAGAAAAGACAACACCAAAGTTGAGACCAATATGGCAATATAGCGAGGCACACCTGAAGAGAAAACTGGAAAGACTAACTTGAGATAGTCTATGCAAAGAACTGGATATGAAGCCAAGTTCAGGACACCAGTAAGGAACTTCCACGAACCCATCATGGAGCCCCAGAACGGCCCAAAGGCCTTATGAGCCCAGATGACAAAGCCGCCGTTACCCGGAAAGGCGGTGGCGAGCTCGGCGGTAACAAGGGCCTCAGGGATGCTCCAAATGAAGGGAAATATGAGGAAGCCCAATATGGCCCAAAGAGGCCCTGCAGCACCCACAGCAGGTTCTTCACCATATGGACCTCCTGATACCTCAAAGAAGATGAGGAAAACTAGTGGGATTAGAGCTAGTTTTCCAGAGTTTTTTGTGGTGGTGGTGGCGGTGATTAGTGGTTGTTGTTCGAGAAGATGTTGAGTGTTTGTAGAGGAGAGGTGGGGTTCCATACTTTTTGGTATCAAAGATTGAGTATTCCAGTCGGTTTGTAAAGCTTTATGATTGAGGTTCAAGAGTCATGATTTGGCTTGGAATTTGAATGTTTGGTGGGCCATTTTTTTGTCCTCAACAATGAACATTCAATTTGATAAATAAAATGAGATTTAACCAAAAAAAAAAAAATCATATACTGTAAAAAAAAAAAGAAAAGAGAGATTTTTAGTTCATTCTCCATTAAAATTCAATTTTCATATATGTAACTAATCATAATTTTTTTAAAAAAATTCTATCTGATTTAAACTGATTTAGTTTAAAAAATAATTCAATAATCAATAAGAATATAAACATTTTTTAACGTTACTTTAACAAAACAAAATTACATTTAATATCAATTGATACAAAAATTAACTAAAAAATATCCATATAAATATATAAAATCATATTTCAATATTCTATTGAATAATATATATAGGCATGTGCGAAGTTGATTTTGAATGACAGCTGAAGATGGCAACATTTTTTTCCAGTTTGGTGAATGCCGTGTTGACACGCAATGTGCTGGGGATTCATTGAATTATAAATTAGTCTCTTTAGTTTTCCAAAAATATAAATTAGTCTCTTTAGTTTTCCAAAAATAGTTAAACGGTCTCTATAGGTTTAATAACAAATTAATTGGCCCCTATATTTTTAAATGTATTTGTAACTTAATCCTTTTCATTCATTTTTTTTTTTTAGTTTTGTTTTAAGAAATAGAAAAAAATAAGTAAAAAAAAAGAAATCATTGATAAGAAAAAATATATATTTTTAGAATAAAATAACATTAAATTAATCATGATTAACTCTAATCAAGATATTAATTAATTAGTTTTTAAAACTAAAAAAATTATTTAATTCATTTTGTAGAATTAAAAGAATTAACCACGGTTAACTCTAATCAAGTATTTATGAAAATTTATTAATTTTTTTTAATAAATCAAGATGACATAAAGAATGCATCTTTAAAATCTTTTAAAAAGATTTAATTTTACTTGACACAAAAATTAATTTAAAAATACTTATTAACATCATGGAATAAAAAAAAGGTACTCCAATGTAATTGAAATTTTTTCCACGTACCTAACACATACAAAAATCACAAATTTTCGATTCGTTATTTTGCACATACCATTAATGAAATGCTCCAAATCTGATACCAGGTCTTGTCAGTACTTACTCTTTTCCTTTATGAGGCATACAGAATCATGAAGCAACGTCAGAGCAGGCTGCAGTGCAGAGCATCTAAGATCCACTTGCATCGTTAATGGCACAGCTAGCAAAAAGGGCCCATCTAGCCTTGTATTTTAGGACATAAAATATCTTCTCCAAAGGTTTGGCATCCACCAATTTAATAGTTTTTTTTTTCCTTCAAAATTTTTTTTATTTCATTCTAAAATATTCTTTGATGGCTTATTTTTTAGTATTTAATGGCAAAAAAAAAAAAAAATTTTTGACAGAAAAATAAAAAAAATCTTCTCCAAAGTCATGGCTCTCCACTTGACTTTTATCAATGAGTTGTGATAAATAAAGCAAAGAAAGAAATGACAAAGCATATCGCTTTCAATTGCTTCTGCATTATTGGTTGAGTCCATGCATTCATGGACAGATTCTCAGAATCCTGAGAAAAGTCACTAACAGTGCCCAAGTGGAGTAAAGAGATTCCTTAGTATAATTTAGAAAAATCAGCTCTTACCTGCCGTTCTGAGCTCGCAGTTATTGTTGACAGTGCCAAAGAAATTGGGACTTACTCCTACAACGTCATCAAACGTGCCCCATTTCTTTGCTTGATTCATAATGTTTGTCTCGTTATCAAAAAGTCCTGTTTTTTTGCTGCAACGCTGAGGAACTTTTCAACAGTGATGTTGATATCTTCTCGTGGGTTTCTGAAGGGTTACAATCATTTGAATTGAATTTAGTGAATATTTTATTTTTGTATTTCGATTTACATTCATAGTTATAACCAGTGTTGACATTTACTGATGTTACATTTTAGATTCAAACTACAAAGAATGGATCAGTAGTAAGATCCTTAAGCTTCCAACAGAAGGTTTTTGTGTTTGTCGACATCAAATTGAGTTTAATCTAACAAGGAATTGCTAAATTTGTGAAAAAAGTATGAGGAATTTCTTTTAAGCCAAAGAAAATGTACAAATCTAACGAGCTGAGGACTAATAAACAGAGAAAAAGCAGAGGATAGTGTCAGCATAATGAAACTGTTTTCATTTACCCAATTTCTGGATCTCAGACCTTTACAACCCAGCAAACCCTAGTAGAAATAGGATCTTAAGATCCTATTCAAATCTTCCAATGCCAAGTGACATGTCAAATTCATTCATGACTAATTCAACAACACAACAACCTTCTCTTTTACATCAGCCTTCAATGGCTTCACCACTGCTAAACTTGAACAACTTCTTTGACTTGCAAAACTTCATAAAGAAGAAAAATCCAATAGCTCCCACAGTCATCAAACCACTCACCAAGAAAACAGTCTTAGTAGCAACAGCCATTATAAGCACCAAAAATGCAGATGGTACCAAGCACATTATAATCAAACCAGGCAGCCTCATTGGAATCCTATAAGGCCTTTTCAACTCTGGCAATTTCTTTCTCAACCAAATAAAAGATGCAAACTCCAACAACATACCTAAACTATATAAGAAATTCGCCGACGAAATGATATCAGTAAAATTCATATATGAGACTCCAATTGTGATCAAAGTGGATACCAATATCCCCACCCAAGGTGTGTTGAACCTTTTAGACCTAATGGAAAAGAAATTTGGCACAATTCCTAAATCAGCCATACCAAGAAGCTGGTATGCACTACTACTTAATTGAGCCTCATATAGACCAATAGCAGATAACACAGAACCAACTTCAACCCAATATTTTAGCCATTTCCCTGCAATCATCTCTGCAGCAGTAGCATGAAATCCTGATCCCCACTGACTTTGATCCACAGAAACAGCACCAGTCACCGCGAAAAGCGGAATCAAGTAAGATACACAAGTGAAGATCACAGCCACAAGTAAAGCCATAGGAAATGTTTTCTGGGGTGAATCCACTTCACCAGCTAAAGTGCTAACATTGTCCCAAAAATTCAAGTTCCAAAAAAGTGTGTTAAAGAACAAAGTCCAGTCCTTTTTCACACCCTTTTGCCCTAAACTTATCCACCTATGAGGATGAAGCTTAGGAATTGCTATCAAAGACATAATTACAAAAGGCGAAAGTGAAACAAGACCAAGCAGAACAGCAGCATAACCAACAATAGTCAATCCAGTGTAGTTTAAAAAAGACAACAACAATGTTGAAATCAAGACAGCAATTTTTCTAGGCCAACCTGATTCCAAAGCAGGAATTACCTTCTCCATGTAATCAATGCAAAGAACAGGAAAAGCAGCAATATTTATAACACCACTCAAGAATTTCCAAGAACCCATCAGGGATCCACAGAAAGGACCAAAAGCCCTTTCAGCCCATATAACAAAACCTCCATTGCCAGGATAAGCAGTGGAGAGCTCAGCAGTGATAAGAGCCTCGGGAATACTCCATATAAATGGAAATATCAAGAAACCAAGCAAGGCATAGAGAGGCCCTGCAGCCTGGACTGCAGGTTCTTCACCATAAGGACCCCCGGCAACTTCAAAGTAGATTAAGAATATAAGAGGGATAAGAGTGAGTTTTTTTGGGATTTTTTTGGTGGTGGTGGTGGTGATAGGGAGTTCTTGAACGGTGTCTGATGATTTTGGTGGGGTATTCAAAATAGTTTCTTGGTTTTGAGCCGCCATCTTTCCTTGCGTTTTGGTGTTGTCTGATTGGTTTTCAAGATGGTTTCTTGTTGATTTAAAAAAAGATCATGAAAACGTCATGAAATATGGGATTGCAGAGGGCAAGGAGCCATAGCTGAGAGGAAGAAAAGGTTTGTGTTTTTTAATCTTTGGAGGAGTTTTGGACAAAGAAAATACCTCAGCTTGGGGACACGAAGTAAAGGAGATAAGAGTCCAAAACGGACTGTTTTTACTGTCATTTGAAATTCTTAATACAGACACAATTTAGGACATGTTTTTTGAACGTGAAGGATCCATTTAGAAGATCTCATGGGAAATTATTGATGATGACGACGACGATGATACCTAACTTTCACTTCAGAAAAGATAGGCTGTCAATTAGTCAGCAAAGATTGGCCATTGGCTAAGAATCAAAATAAAATTCAAGAAGACGCTTGTCTTTTATACGACTTTTAGCACTCGATGGAGATGGATGACTAAAAGCTGAAAGATTGCCACGAGATTTAAATATTGTTGGAATGGAATCGGATACTCTCTTTTTTATTATAAAAAGAAATCATTCACTGTATCTCAGAAGATATGCCAGCAACGATCCGGTACAGTATCTATATAAATAAGAATCTGATTATGTTTTGTAAAAAACATAGTAAATCAACACAGATTTACATCATATATATATATATATATATATATATATATATATATATCCTTACAAAACAAAAGAAGAAACTACCTAAAACTCAAAGTTTGATATTAGTCCTTTTGTTTGGACAGGGGAGAAAAGTTTTATGTTAATTATATATATATATATATATATATATATATATATATATATATATATTCCATGTCAATATTAATCAGGATCTGCTTTTTCTCTCAATGTGCAACTCTTAGATTCATCAGCAAGTCAATGTTCTTGAACACCTTAAAGCACCAGCTGAGCTTGTCATTGCCTGCACAGTTTTTGCATCTCCAACTCTGAATGTTTGCTCCTTATTGTAGTTAGGCTTTGCCGTACCTCGGCGGCCGGTTTGGATAAATGAAGCTCCATTTGAAAAATGATCCCCTACAGAGTAGAAGTTCCAGGGCTTGCTTTGTGCATTATTTCTCCATGTTACCTGTTAAAACAACAGAATTTTTTTAGCTTTTCTGATACTTAATTCAGCTATCCCCTGTCTCCTTACTTTTTCATGGTTTTGAAAGATCAATATGTATTTGACAATTGGCATTATTACCTCCTTCTTTCCTGATTCTACAGGTGCAATAAAATGGTTTGATTCACTCTTGATGCTAGGGTTCATGCTTCCTCCAATTGCATATTGTTCCCATCCCTGGTATAGATTGTTGGCTACGTGTGCATATCCATGGCGAACTCTGCATTATTTTCAGTGATTTATCTATCAGTATAAAAATGAAGTAAACAGGATTCATTGTCATGCAAAATTTATGTATAGAATGTGGAATTTAATTAAGCAACGTTGATTACCTTGGCATTCTTTGGTTGCAATTAGGTCCAAAATGATTAAAGGCAACTGTGACCTTCATTTCCTTGTCCCTCAAAAACCCATCATCATGCCCAAGAAGCATAACCTTGTCTTGATCTCTGAACCAATTGTTAGAGACGGTAACAAATGTAGATCCACGAGTGACATCAAGAAGACCATCCTGACATGAATATAACGTATTGTGGTCTATCCAAACCTTCGATGCAGTGACCAGCCTGATGGCATCCCCATCCATCTGACCTAATGGCATTAGTTTCCCATCTGGTCCCATGACTGAGCTAGGACCTTGTGACTTACAATGGTGAATCTTCAGGCTATGGATGATCACGTCGGTTGCCTAAACAAAACGAACATAAATATTCATACAGAGCATGCATTGCCTATATATATAATCAGCATTGGCAAGCAGAGAAAATTAATTTATATACCTTGTACACAACGAGGCATCCGACGCCTTCAATGCTGACATCAACACCGCGACCATCAATGGCAGTATAGCTGCTAATAAGAAGAGGTTTCTCCAGTTTGATATTCATGTTCCTTTTGAAAGTGATCCAAACTTTGCCTTTGACCATGGTGGCTCCATATCTTAACGTCCCTTGTTTGGGATTCACAGGATCGTCACTAGGATCGGTGACCTTATACAATGTAACATCTTTTCCAACATTGTTAGTCATTTTCCCCGCAAACCCGACAGAACAAGTTGCCAGTTGTTGTCGGCTTCTTCGCCAATTCGGATTCAATCTCCAACACTGATCAATGACATTCATTTTGTCGGCCCCAAGACAAGCATTAGGAATGAAGGAAAGGATGGCAATAGAAACAACTACAAATAAGTGCCTTAAGACAGCCATGATGATGTAAGAGAAAAACTAGATATTTGTGATGTAAGAGTTGGAGAAGGGTGGGGTTTTATATAGGATCAAGAGGAGCTAAGCAATGGTGCAGGCTGGTGTAGTTTCTTCAGTTGGTTAAAACAGAATGGCTGCAGTGTAATTGAGGTAATAATTTACGTGGTCGCTACCAAATTGGAGGCTAATAACAGAATGAAAACTAACCTAGAGCTACTGTATTACAGCTAAGTAAGTGTTGTAATCCTAAAAATAATAGAGATATTTTTGGTAATAACCTATTGCTTGAAAGTAAATTATCCTAAACGGCAGAATATAAACACAGCCAATACGATATTTTTGGTACAAATTTTTTTGTCTTTTCAAATAAAGAACCTTACAGTAACTAGCACATGCATGTTCTGATAGGGAAGAACATCGTAATGCATATAGCCATATACAATTACAATGCTGTTCATTTTACAGCTCACAAAATCACCTATAGCTTTGAAATATTAACATTTAACAATTAATGGTCACAAAAATTAAGTCTTTCATTTCCATGCATGATTCATGAGGCAACACTCCAAAAGAATGAAAGTGTAGTTACGGTGGTCCAAGAGGATCTAACCTGTATCACATTGCTGCTAAATATTAAAGACTATATGTTTCTTTTGCCTTGAACCATTGGTCATATGAGAAACTTAATTTCCAAATATTTCAAATCCCTTATTTATGTTTTTGCATGTGATATATGGTAATGGAGTTTTTTTATTTTATTTTATAAAAGTTTATCGATATATTAAAATGGAAAGAGTTAGCAAGAAAATTACTAAAAGATGAGTTTTAAATACAAAGAAAATAAATAATTTAAGTGACATCCTATCGAAAATAGAACTAAACTAAAATGAAATATCGATGAAATATGAACAACTATATTATTCTAAGAATCCAATTGATGAGTTATTAACAAATTTGTCTATTTTTTTATTCTGTTAGAGCTACATAGCTGATCATTTCCAGAATAGACAAAATAACTATAATATATCTAACTCAATGTGCTATTTTATAAATAAATAAAAAAAACAACAATACAAAAGAAGCTATTTCAATCAGGAATGATGCCATTAACATCTATTTTTTGAATGTTAGGTAAACATCCAAACCAACAAAAGCAGTTCACAAATTAAGGAAGAATTTGTGGTAATCACTGTTTTTAAGGATTACAACACCTAGCTACTTAGGTATAATATAACTGCAACTACAATTATAGCAATTTAGTTCTTACTGCCGCCATTCTCTGTTGTAATCAACTAAACAAACTACACCAGCTTGACCCTTTTGATCCTATATAAAATCCCCAACTCTTACATTGCAAATCTATAACTCTCCTCTCTGTAATTTAGGACATCATCATGGCTGTCTCAATGCACATTGTCGTAGCTCTTTTTATTACCATCCTTTCCTTTATCCCTAAAGCTTGTCTTGCGGCAAACAAAATGAATGCCATTGATCAATGTTGGAGATTGAATCCAAATTGGCGAAGAAGCCGACAACAACTGGCTACTTGTTCTGTCGGGTTTGCAGGGAAAATGACTAACAATGTTGGAAAAGATGTTACATTGTATAAGGTCACCGATCCTAGTGACGATCCTGTGAATCCCAAACAAGGGACGTTAAGATATGGAGCCACCATGATCAAAGGCAAAGTTTGGATCACTTTCAAAAGGAACATGAATATCAAACTGGAGAAACCTCTTCTTATCAGCAGCTATACCGCCATTGATGGTCGCGGTGTTGATGTCAGCATTGAAGGCGTCGGATGCCTCGTTGTGTACAAGGTATATAAATTAATTTTCTCTGGTTGCCAATGATGATTATATATATAGGCAATGCATGCTCTGTATGACTATTTATGTTTGTTTTGTTTAGGCAACCGACGTGATCATCCATAGCCTGAAGATTCACCACTGCAAGTCACAAGGTCCTAGCTCAGTCATGGGACCAGATGGGAAACTAATGACGTTAGGTCAGATGGATGGGGATGCCATAAGACTGGTCACTGCAACCAAGGTTTGGATAGACCACAATACATTATATTCATGTCAGGATGGTCTTCTTGATGTCACTCGTGGGTCTACATTTGTTACTGTCTCTAACAATTGGTTTAGAGATCAAGACAAGGTTATGCTTCTTGGTCACGATGATGGGTTTTTGAGGGACAAGGACATGAAGGTCACTGTTGCCTTTAATCATTTTGGACCTAATTGCAACCAAAGAATGCCAAGGTAATCCATATTGCTCAATTAAATTCCACATTCTATATCAATTTTGCATGATGCAGCGTGACAATGAATCCTGTTTTCTTCTGTTTTATGCTGATACATAAATCACTGAAAATAATTCAGAGTTCGCCATGGATATGCACATGTAGCCAACAATCTATACCAAGGATGGGAACAATATGCAATTGGAGGAAGCATGAACCCTAGTATTAAGAGTGAATCCAACTATTTTATTGCACCTGTAGAATCAGGAAAGAAGGAGGTAATAATGTCAATTGTCAGATACATTTGTTCATTCAAAACCATGCAAATTAAGCAGAAGGGGATAGCTGAATTTAGGATCAGAAAAGCTAAAATAATTCTGTTGTTTTGACAGGTAACATGGAGAAATAATGCGCAAAGCAAGCCCTGGAACTTCTACTCTGTAGGGGACTTGTTTACAAATGGAGCTTCTTTTGTCCAAACAGGTCGCCGAGGTATGGCAAAGCCTAACTACAATAAAGAACAAAGCTTCAATGTTGGAGATGCCAAATTTGTGAGGTCATTGACAGCCTCATCAGGTGCTTTGAAGTGCTCAAGAACATTAAGATGCTGATGAATCTAACCTACAATGAAAATCTTTTCTCCTTATAGCATAGATCATATATATTTTTTACTAGTTATATATTTTCCTTTGCCCAAACAAGGATTCAAGCTTAAGTTTAGAGCGAAGAGCGAAATGTACCTAGTAATGCAATATTTTTTTTACTAACAAATGTGAAACATTGCAAATGGTACTTCGAATTTGGGACAAGAAGGAAGAAATTAGCAATATTTCTCTATTTTTAGAGTTATTTTGTCGGATCGATTGTTCAAGACCTTTATCTCTACCCAGACCCGATGAAAAAAATGAAAATGATATCTGTCAGCAGAATATGACTTCAAAACCAAATGTATCTTCTGATGTGTTGAATCATTATTTCTTAATTTCTATCAAGCACAAGAGTACTCTAGCATTAGTACTATCACTCAGACTCGAGCCATAGACGTTATTTCTTTCTATCAAGCATAAGTTTAATTAACCCTCAAAGATGATCAGTATATCCATCATAAAATTTTGAATTTAAAGATACAATTTACGTCAACAAGTTGGAAATTTTATTAGGTTTTAGTATTTTAATTTTTAGTGTTTAATTGCAAATACTACTAAAATAGATTGAAAGTATAATAGATAAAGAAAAAAATATAATGATAATATAAGAACGTATTGTTGAGATTGTATTTGTATTACTAAAAGATGGTATGATTGCTTAGTTATATGGTACTAATTGAGCAAATTGATACACATTTTTTCATTAATTATAAATAATATAATGGAAATGAATCATGCAAGTAGAAAGATTTTATCTTAAACTTTATTTTAAACTACACAAAACCTACTTTGATTCCCTTTTATTATTAAGCTCTCTTTAGTAGAAAACAAACATATCATTTATAACTACAATTACAAAAATAGTTATAAAAAAAAATTAACTATGTACTTTTTGTAATTTTGAGAAATAAATAAAGTATTTTAAAAAAACTAATTATCTAACGTTTTTTGGCCATATATATATATATATGTGTGTGTAAGACAAAAGATGCAATGAAAAGATTGATTAATAAATAAAATATTTTTTAAAATAAAATAATATTAAATTAAGTGTTATCAATACTGATTAAAAAATTAAATTACTATTGTTTAAAATTACAAGACTAAATAATTTGTTTATCAAAATTAGAAGGACTAATATATAATTTACTCCACTATTTTAGGGGAGTGATCTTTCCATATACAAATCTGGAATGAAATATCTCCCTGTTAGTTCTCTCTCTCTCTCTCTCTCTCTCTTTTGCAGCTATGGCAACGGAGTCTATTTCTCTAAAGCACGTAATATTTGCAGCAAATCAAAGTTATAGTTTCTCGAAGAATCAAAGAAAACACAACCTAGTAATCCCAACAACTCATATCAGAAGAAGGGTTCGCTTTGGCAGCATCAAAAATTACAAAAAATCAGAATTTCAAGGTAAAAATTTGGTTAACTTACATGCATATATACATGGCATTGCATAGTTATTTATCAGTTCCTTCATATGATATGTGCTTTTGTTTCTTCTTGACAGTAATGGGTTTTCTTTGTTTTCCTCTAAAAATGCTAAAATTCTTGGATTTTTGCTGTTCTCTTGAACCTGTGGACGAAAAAAGACTATTTTGATCACCAAAAGTTGTATCTTTATTTGCCTATTTTCTAAATTCGTGAAAATTAAGAATTTGAATGTTCATTCAGTTGAGTTGAGAGTCCATTAATTGACTTCAAATAAATTGGTGGAGTGAGAGGGGTTTTATGGTTGAGTGCCTTTAACATTCTTGTGGTAGTTATGTATCCTCTTAGGAAGGTACTAGCAATGGTTTCTAAAATGCTGTAGTGGATAGGAATTGATGCCTTTCTACTCCGAAGTTGTTCTTTAAATTCGCCATGTACGAATTGGTCGGAAATTTGGACCGCAGAAGTTTATGTTGCATCTGATTAGAAAAATGGCTGGTCCTTGTATTCATTGGGATGTTTAGTATGATTAGGTGCTTGCTTTACCTGCATATGCATGCAACCATGAGTTATTTCCAAACTCTCTTGTTTTCAATCCTTGCCTTCCGTCCCTACTTTGATAGTTGCCTCTAGGAAAAATTGGGTTTTCCCACACTTGGAAATAAGATACAAACTTGGTTTTAAATATGTGCTATATGGTTCAGGGAAGTCCAAAAAACAAAGGAGGGGAAGTTTATTATGAATCTTTACTGTGCTGTTGGTTCGTATGTGGTAACTTATCTCACTAAGTTCCAGTACACTGTCATAGAACTAATTTTTAGTTGTGTTCATGATTGCTGAATTTGGCTATTAACTTCTAGTTCATAGAACTAATGAGTTTTCGTTCCAGATTTTCAGGGATATGCAAAACCTTCACGACTTTTGTCAGCCACAGAACTGAAAGTTTGCACAGAAACCCCACAAGAAAAGTTTCCTACGTCTATCAGAAAATCTCAGTCTTTGTTCAAGGTTAAACTACGTACAAGTAATGTTTATGGCTCAAGTCTGAGCGATCCTAATGCTGGAATACTCTTGTGCTTGATAGACACAAATGGTGACTCAATATTGCACAGGATACCTGTGATTTTGGAGTCCAATTCTGCTGACTCAATGGATATGTTTGAGCGTGACACACTTCATTTCCAAAGAGGTTCAGTTGATGAATTCACCTTTGAGGGGCAGAGCATCGGGAGAATTGAATCTCTCTGGGTCAGTGTTGAATCAGGTAAGTTCGAGATGGTTGTGATAACCCTTAGGCTTTGTTGGCTAGAATGTCTTTTCTGCTCTACAACTCAGAATCGAGGACGATATACCATGAAGTCCCTGGCACATACAAGTCAAATGCTCCACCTAGACTTGTATACATATTATATCTGATATATTCTCCTCCACTCTCCTAGTTAAACTGGCATCCAGTCTAAAACATCCTCATTTCAATATCCACAGGGTATGAGCTAGATGTAACTCGTATATTGATTATGCTTGCCTTGAATATCATAGTAATGTTTTCCTTTTCTTTGTTTCTCAAATTTCCAAGGTCAGGTCAATGGAGATTAGATGGTGTGAGCCTGACTGTTATTAATGCTTCTCGACCATCTCTAGAAGAGAATGATGGACAGGAGATCCAGTATAGTGGTTTCCAGTATGAATTTGAAACTGATGATGTTTTGCTAGGAGAGGGAAGCGACATGGCTATGGTGGAACTTAGACCTTGCCTCGTTTCTGAATTATCTGGCATTGATCCATCCACCTTGTGGAGTAAAAGCCCTTCCTTATCTACTTTACAGCTTGATGGCAGGATTTCTAATGAGGAAAGCATGAAAGAGTATGCAAACTTGAAGCTATCGTTGTTATCCTATGATGCCATGCTAATTTTTGTGGGTACAACAATAGCGAATTTCTCAGCTGGAGAAAATACTGCTTTTGCATTCTTTATCGGTGGAATTGGTGGCTTTTTATATTTGTTGCTGCTGCAAAGGTCTGTAGATGGATTACCAGCTTCATCCATTCCCAGCAATGCCAGCGGGATCAATAGCCTATTTCAAGGAATCAAGAGTCCAATATTGAGTTTGGCGTTGGCAGTAGGATTTGCTTTTCTAGCAGTGAAGTATAGCTCTGGCGATAATCTCTCAGTGTTGACTCCAAAAGACCTTCTGGCTGGAATGTTGGGGTTTCTTGTATGTAAAGTGGCTGTGGTATTGGCAGCATTTAAGCCTATGAAACTGGGTTTTGAGGAAAAGGAGTGATCCATTTCATTTTGCTTTTCTGTAAAGAGTTGGAAATCTGGAGTTAGCATAGAACCTAACATGAAAACCTAAAGTGTATAAACATAAGAACCGTTTTTTCTCACTAAGAAGTTACTGAAAAAAAGATGTCAGCATTGTTATTGCTAGCATCAGTGCCCCTATGTCATGTTCTGTCGTCTGAAAATGAAAAACAAAAGGTAGGATGTGCGTTTGCCGGGAGTCGAACCCGGGTCTATTGCTTGGAAGGCAATTATCCTAACCGTTGGACTACAAACGCTCTTGATGGTGCTTTTTTTCTATGTTTAATTATTGTTTCTTGTATTTTCCTCAACAATATCTTTACTTTGCTTCTACAGTCTAGATGGTATTTTTTTCGCCTGTGCAGTCTACATGGTATTTTTGGTCCAGATTTCCTGCCAAAACTTCATTCATTTTAACGGGATTAAACTGTCCAAATCTTTCTTTAATTCTAATTTTAGATTGGACTTTTTTCAAATAATTATTTATTTAAAAATCAGTTTTTTAAATTCTAATTTTGGATTGGACCTTTTTTCAATTATTTTTAATTTAAAATTGGATTATTTTTTTTTGTTAGATTTTTATAGATTTTAATGTGTAAATAAAATTTTTCAATAGTTAAAACATCTATAGATATTTTGTTTTTCCTTTTAAAACTTTTTTTCCTCCTAAATGCTAAAATGTAAGCAATTAAAGAATAATATAGAAAAACATTATTCATAAGTTTTGTCATAATTTTAGAAGTTCAAAAATTAATCAGGTGCAAGAAGTTACGTGTACTTCAACTATTAAAATTGATAAAAAAAAAAAAAAAAAAAAAACTAATAGATGGATTTAACAGTTCAAATAATAAAATAGTTGAAATTTTAAGTTAAAAAACTAATTATTAAATTATTTAAAATTCATTGAGAGTTTTAGACCATTTAACTTTTCGAGGTACTTGAGGGGACCAAGTGGCTCCAATGTTTTTTGGAAAAAGGAATTGTAAATTTGTTGGACTCCAATATCTTCCAGAGAGTTTGAATTGCGTTTGCCGGGAGTCGAACCCGGGTCTATTGCTTGGAAGGCAATTATCCTAACCGTTGGACTACAAACGCACTTGTTGGTGTTTTTTGTATGTTTAAATATTGTTTAATTCACAATATATTTACTTTGCTTCTGCGGTCTATATGGTTTTTTTCGCTTGTACAGTCTATGGTATTTTTGGTCCAGATTTCCCGTCAAAACTTAATTCATTTTAACGGGATTGAACTGTCCAAATCTTTATTGAATTTTAGGTTATTTGAGAATCGGTCTTGTAAATTCTAATTTTAGATTGAACTTTTTTCAAACAATATTTATTTAATAATCAGTTTTTTAAATTCTAAGGTTGGATTAGACCTTTTTTCTATAATTTTTCATTTAAAATTGGATTTTTTTTGTTAAGTTTTTATTCATTTTAATGTGTAATTATAATTTTTCAATAGTTAAAAGCATGCTAAAATCTATAGATATTTTGTTTTTTTTTAAAAAAAAATTCCTTCTAAATACTAAAAAGCAAGCAATTAAAGAACAAGTAAAAAAAAAAAGTTTTGAAGAAAAAAAACGATTCATAAGTTTTGTCATAATTTTAGCGATTAAAAAATTTGCCACGTGCAAGAAGTTAAGTATACTTCAATCATTAAAATTGATTTTAAAAAAAACTAACCAAAGGATTTAATAGTTTAAATAAAAAAATAGTTGAAATGAGATTCAATCTGAAATTTAAAGTTATTTAAAGTTAATAGACTAATTATTAAATTATTTAATGGGATTAAATTGTCCAAATCTTTCTTGAGTTTTAAGTTATTTGAGAATCGGTCTTCTAAATTCTAATTTTAGATTGGACTTTTTTCAAAAAATTATTTATTTAAAAATAAGTTTTTTAAAATTCTAATTTCGGATTGGACATTTTTTAATAATTTTTTATTTAAAATTAAATTTTTTTTGCTAGGTTTTTATTCATTTTAATGTGTAAATACAACTTTTCAATAGTTAAAAGCATGCTAAAATCTATAGATATTTTATTTAAAAAAATTCCTCCTAAATACTAAAAAGTAATAATTAAAAAACAACGTAGGAAAAAAAATTAAAAGAAAAAAAATGATTCATAAGTTTTAGCATAATTTTAGCAATTAAAAAGTCAACAACGTGAAAGAAGTTACGTATATTTTAACCATTAAAATTGATGAAAAACTAATCGAGAGATTTAATAGTTCAAATAAAAAAAAATAGATGAGATCTAAATTCAATCTCAAATTTAAAGTTAAAATACTAATTTTTAAATTACTTAAAATTCAAACTCTCTTTGAGACCATTTAACTTTCGAGGTACTTGAAGTTATAATTTATTAATTTTGATGGCTGGAAACTCAACAAGTAAAGTTCATCGAGTTCTCATACTGTTCATTTACTTTGTTAAGTGAAAAAACAACTTGCTTTGGTAGGATCACATTTTCTACATTATAGCTTGAGGAGACCTAAATGTTTTGGGAAAGGGAATGCTAAACTTGTTGGACTCCTAAATCTTCCAAACTTTCAGTACTTCCTCTGCATTTTCTAGGTGGAGATGTCAACCAGACAATAAATGGATGTACCTGCCTTACTGGGCTAAACTGGGCTATATGATCAAATCAGTAGCATGTGAAGTGAATAGGAGTCTGAGGACATTGTTTTGGTTGATTTCAATTATTGTATGTCGTAATCACATGTTTTGTGTCCACGACAAACTTAACATCATTTTCTCTAGCTAATAATTAGTTTTTTCTTATACACATTATGATTATGAATAGAACTGTAAAATTATTTTAAAAAATAAATTCAGTTTAATTGTCTGTGGTATGTTATGACTCTATAAAAATATATCAAATTGAAAGTTAAAAAAAAAAACCACTAATTTTTCTTTTTAGTTCTGTATTTAACTAATTATTTATTATGTTTTTAATAAAATTTTTACTAAAAAACATGATTTATTCTTCTAGATCCGAATTCTTAACTAAAAACTTGTAAGAAAATTTAAAAATTCATAGATTCCGTACTAAAAACTTTTATTTAAAAAAAAAATATCAAAGAAAAATTATCTAAAAAACAAATTTAATTTTTAGATTATATATATATAACCATGATACTATCATTAAAATTAAAAGAATTTATCATATAAATTATATCAATTTTTTTAAGAGCAAATAACAAAAAAAAAAGAGAAAAAAAATCATTCATAGATCTCTCTCCTCTCCCTTCTATCTTTTTGTTTCTCTCTCTTCTTAATAGTTAAGAATCAGATTACAATAGAAATAAAGTTGTGATTCGAAATAAAAATTATTGAAAAAAATGAAAGATGAAAGAACAAAATGAGCAAAAATTTACATATAAAATACCTTAAAAACCTCAAATTTACAAAAATACCACTCAATGCACAATAACGTTTGGGTGAACAATGTTGTGGGCATTTTAAATGCTTGAAAAATACTTAAAATAACAAAAATGCGACTAATTTAAATCATAAAAATATCATTCATTGTACAGTATTTTGTGAGTGTGAAGAGTGTGAGAACAATAAAGAAAAAAGCCCACCTATTTTATGGTTCTTTGTAATTGATTTAGAGATTAGATGCAATTGTAATTGTGAAAAGAAAAAAAAGTTTTTAATTTTCATATGCGATTAAAAAATGATTTATATTGAAATTAATTATAAAAATAAAATAAAATATCAGATATTACATGTATATGTTTATATATTTGATATGATAAAAATATTACTCTAGATTTGGTAATTTTTGTGTGGAGCTTAGGTATGCATGCTTGAATATTATAAGCCTATTGATTTAAAGGTTAGATATGTAATTTTCTTCAATTTTCTTTTTTTTTTTCATATTATCTCAATGTTTGGCACTACTTTATTAAAAATCTAAATATTAGATATTTATATTTTTATATATTTGAAATACTAAAAAAAAAGTTACTTCAGATTTGATAAATTATGCGTAGAGCTTATGTCAATCCTAAGTTGAATATGACAACAAGGTTTTGAGCCAAAAAAAACTTAAATTATCAAATTTTAAATCAATTACAAAATAAAATAGGTCAAAGTTAAAAATTGTAAATTTTTTTGGAATTAATGAGAAAAAATATCATTTTATTGACGGATTATATACGAAAAGACCTTATATAGTTATTTAATTTATCAATGATGGATAAGAAATGGATCATTAGCATGATATACATGCATTCTATTTAATATTTTCTTTTACAAAAATACCATATGCATTCTATTTGAAACTTCAATATATTTATAAAAAAACTCATCAAAGGAATTGTTTCATCTATCAACTAAAACATTATGTTATTATAAAAATTCTTATTTTCTCATCTTTTTTTTATATATATTTTTAACTTATTTTTAAATAAAAAATCAAAATAAATTAAAAAATAAGAAAATGAAATAAAATTAAGTTACAAGTAAATTTAAAAATATAAAAACTAATCAATTTGTTTTTAAAACTAGAAATACTATTTAATTCGTTTAGAAAAAACTAGAGGGACTAATATATAATTTACTCTTTCAACAATCACAAATATAAAACCATCTCATTGACCTTATATCAATTTTATTTATTTATTTATTATTACTTTTTTGTGTGTATTTGTTATCCACGCCATTGAAATTCTTCTTGCAAAGGAGTGGGGTAGCTAGTTAGGTGGTTGTTTAAAGAATTTAAAGCAAATGAGAGAATTCTTACATCAATTTCTATCTCGCTCTTAAAGTTTTAAATGAAATATTTAATTTTTTGGAATTAATGAAAAAAATTATCATTTTATTGACGGATTATATACGAAAAGACCTTATATAGTTCTTTAATTTATCAATGATGGATAAAAAATGGATCATTAACATGATATACATGCATTCTATTTAATATTTTTCTTTTAAAAAAATACCATATGCATTCTATTTGAAACTTCAATATATTTTTTTTAAAAAAAAACCTAATCAAAGGAATTGTTTCATCTATCAACTAAAAAATTATGTTATTATTTCCCCCTTTTTTTCACAAAAAGAGAAACATTTTTTAAAAAGGAATCAATATTATGTTGAAGTTATTTTTATATTAAAAATCCATGAAATTTTTCTAGTTTACTTATATATAGGTTAAGTATCAAAAAACAATTTATTTCCCTAAAAAAACCCTAGAATGAAATTTTTTTTTTAAGGCAAAAGAGTAGCGGGCCTAAACCCAAACAGTAAAAAAAAAAAAAAAACCGGGAGAAATCAAAAGTGTTGAAAGCAAAAGAAGAGAAGGTAATAGTAATAGCCGCCAACATAGTGTGTATATGTATATATCTTGCAAAAAATGATGAATAAAACTCTTGAATTGCGAGCAGTACCTCAGAATCGAGGGGGAAAAAAACAATGAAAGACAAGAAATGACAGAAAAAGCGACTGAACGAAAAAAAAATCCAGGGGAAAAAAACCAAAGAAGTAAATTAAAAGCAGAATCAATCATGAGCAAGTAAAAATTATACAAATCTTCCCAGTGGCAAGGTAGAAATTAAAAGTAAAATAAAAAAACAATTATATGCCAAAAAAAAAAAGCGAAACACAAAAACCGACTGAATGAACAATGCGATTGAATCATAATGAATAGGTTATGAACAGAAAAAAAACCTACCTGTTTTAGTTTCTTCTGTAATAAAGAATTGCAGATAGGAAAAAAGTACTGATATGATTGACTGTTTCAGAAAGTCAAAATAAATGAGCCGGGCCAGTATTCAATGCTAGATTTATAGCTAGGGAAGAGAGAGAGTTGGGAGTAAAAGGTTCAGAATTGTAAATTTTTTCTGTTCTTTTGGAGGTAGCTTATGCTAGCTAGTTTTATTCCTACTTCATCTCCTTAAGAACAGTTTGCTGAAGCTGCAAAATGGGTTCAACATTTCTAGTTTCTACCAATCCTTGCTATGGTTCAAACAATGGCAAGTTATTGCATCCAAAATCCTTGGTTACAAGAACAAGTGCTGAAGTGAACAGAGCCTACTATGGATCGAGTAGGCTTGCTTTTCTTCCGTTATTGAAAGAAGTAATTCCTCATACTGATCTTCATGTGCACAAAATTGTGGAGAGGCAGTCCCTGGCTGAGGAACATCCCTTTAGAAGGCGAAAGTTTGATCCTTTATTTCTTAAAGAAGCATATGAAGGGTGCAGAAAAATTTGCGCCGAATTCGCTGGGACTTATTATCTAGGTCTGAACAATATCCTGCTTCTGATTAAATTATCTGAAGAATCATCACTTTTTTCTCTTTTTCCTTTTCAGTATTACCCTTTTCGATGCAGGAACTTTATTGATGACAGAGGAGCGAAAGAAAGCTATATGGGCTATTTATGGTAAGAGACATCCTTAAACATTTAGATTAAAAAAAACATGACAGGTTTTTTTGATCTGCAAGAAAACTTTAAATTGTTCCATGATATTGCAGCCTGGGGTAGTAGGACAGATGAGTTGGTGGATGGTCCGAAAGCTGCCTATATGAGCCCTAACGCTCTTGATTGCTGGGAAGAAAGATTGCAAGACATCTTCGATGGTCGCCCCTATGATAAACTGGATGCTGCACTTACTGATACTGTTTCCAAGTTTTCTTTAGACATTAAGGTGCTCAGGACATTGCTATTTACATATGCTTACGTTAGTCTGATTATCGGAATACATTGTTTCTTTCTTATGGATTTTGCCGTTACAATTCACAGCCCTTCAAGGACATGATCGAGGGTATGAGAATGGATAGTAGGAAATTTCGATACACGAATTTTCAAGAGCTCTATCTTTATTGCTACTATGTTGCTGGCACCGTCGGCCTAATGAGTGTTCCGGTGATGGGAATTGCACCAGAATCTTCTGTTTCTTCTCAACGTGTTTATGATGCAGCATTTTACTTGGGTATTGCAAATCAACTCACAAACATTCTTAGGGATGTTAAGGAAGAGTACGTTTCTGTCACTTTTGTTCGCTTATAGTTCGTCGCTGAATGTTATACCTCATTTCGGAATTTCCTTTTTCGCTTTCAGTGCATTGATGGGGAGAATTTATCTTCCACAAGACGAGCTCGAACAATTTGGTTTATGTGATGAGGCTATTTTCGCAGAAAAAGTCACCGAAAATTGGAGAGATTTCATGAAAGAGCAGATTGCAAGGGCAAGATTCTATTACAAACTTGCAGAGGAAGGGGTCTCACATCTTGACAAGGATAGCCGTTGGCCTGTAAATACCTTAATTCAGACCATTGATCACTGACAGAAATCGGAAATTTTGCATGTGTTTGCTGATAGATTGATTTATTTTTTTCCAGGTATGGTCAGCCTTGCTGTTGTACCAACGAATATTAGATGCAATTGAGAAGAATGATTATGACAACCTCACAAAGAGAGCTAAGGTTGGAAAGATTGAGAAACTTGTCATGTTGTCCCAAGCATACAAAAAAGCTCAAGCAGCACCTATGTAAATGCTTGTGAAATGTATTGCTGGCTTTTAGCAAGTTCTTATAGCCGTAAAAATAAGGGGTTGGATGGAAATTACAATAAACACATGTAGTTCCATGCATTTAGCCATGGAACTCTCTTATGGTATCCATTAAAAAAATACTTTGTCCATGTGCATTAAAAAACTACCATTTAAACTTATATCTGACACATAATCGATTTACTCACCAATTTAATACTTATTTAATATCCACAAATAATAAAATTAAGATGTAAATATACAATATTTAGTAATATAAGACCCTAGTTAACACATCCTCATACACATTTTCCTTATTATCCCAGATCACATACTTATGCGACAAATATCACCACAAATCAAGTTGGAGTTGAAGTCACCAAGTTAATAGATTGTTGAGACCCTAAATCATTCAATTAAACCTTGTTCCTACATGACCCCATCAAATTTCTAAGATTTACAAGACTAGTACCTGAATGGTGACTTCTTCTTCTTCTTCTTTTTTTATTAATCAAATTTTATGTCTGTCCACAATAAAGACTAATGTCATTTTTTACGTTACAATTGTCAAATAATTAATTGCATATAGGGAAAAGATCGAATTGATGTAATCTGTGTTAGAAAACTTGGGCATATTAGATAATAAGTTAAGTGTGCTATGAAAGAAATTTGAAAGTGTTTTCAAGTGAGATTTTATCCCACATTGAAGAGAAATGGAAAGAAGAGGCAGACTTATAAAGTGGACCATGAATTAGAGGGAAAACAAAGCTAATTGGTTGGAATTGAAGTCACCAAGTTACTAGATTGTTAATGGGGATTTTTTCTTATCAAATTTTAAGTCTATCCACAATAAAGAATAATATCATTTTTTTACATAATAATTACCAAATAATTAACTTCGGACAAGGAAAAGGTCGAATTGATGTGATTTGTGTTAAAAATTTTGGGTATGTTAGATAATAAATTAAGTGTGAGATTTTATCACACATTGAAAAGGAATGAAAAGAACATGCAGCTTATAAAGTAGACCTCTAGTAAAACTTTTAAATATTTGATCGAAGGAATTGGAGGAAAACGAAGCTAATTGGTTAGAATTAAACTCACCAAATTACTTGATTGTTAATGGGGACCTTTTTTTTTTATCAAATTTTAAGTCTATCCACAACAAAGACTAATGTTATTTCTTTACATAACGAGTTACCAAATAATTAATTACGGACGGGGAAAAGGTCGAATTGATGTGATTTGTGTTTAAAATCTTGGGTATGTTAGATAATAAGTTAAATGTGTTATGAAGGAAATTTAAAACTTTTTTCAAGTGGGATTTTTATCCCACATTGAAAAGAAATGAAAAGAAAAGGTAGCTTATAAAGTGGACCTATAATAAAACTTTTAAATATTTGGTTGAAGGAATTGGAGGGAAAATAAAGCGAATTAGTTGGAATTATATATATAAATATATATATTTGGTTGAAGAAATTTATTTTTATTTCTTAATATAATTAAATTTATGATTATTTTAATTAATTACGTTTTAAATTTTCTATTATAGTTGGTTAGTTATTAACGACTTTCGGAGAAGCATAATAGTTAATCTTATGACTATTAGAATTCAACTATTACGACGGTTAAAGTTTAACTCGTTAATTAGTTAATTTCAACAGATCATGTATATTATGAAAAAGTGTCAATAGTCTATAAATAAGGAATTACTATATAGAAAAAAATCAATTTTTTATTTTCTTTGCAATCCTCTTTTCCTTTCAAAATTATTTTCTTTCTAAAATTCTAAAACTTTAAGAGATATTCTCTCGAAGTAATTTTAGGAGTGCTGTCTATAGTTTCTTGTGTGCGTAAATTATATCCTAAAGGTTAATTGCTAAAGTCCCTGCAGCTTTATAACGGAGGTAATAACCACCTATAGGATATTATTGTTATTTGCGAAAGCTAAATTTTCTCTTGTTTTACAGATAGCTAGCTAGCTTTATGCCTATTTGAACCTGAAAATAGTTTGCTGGAGTAGTAAAATGCATTCAACATTTCCAATTTCCATTACCTGGCCTTGCAATGGAGCAAACAAGGGCAGGTTCTTGCATCCATAATGGTTTGTTACAAGAACAAGTGCTGAAGTGGACACACAATGAAGGATCGAGCAAGCATGCATTTCCTCGGTTATTGAAAGAGGACATTCCTCGTATTGATCATCGTGTGAAGGAAACTGTCAAGAGGCAGCTAAGCAAGATGCCTATTCAAGGCCAAAGTTGAATCCTTTGTGCCTTAAAGAAGCATATAAAAGATGCAGAAACATTTGTGCAGAATGTGCTGGGACTTGTTATCTGGCTTTAAGATTTGTGTTCCCTTCAAATTCAATGATTAATGTATATAGTGATTTGCTAGTTTAGCATTAGTTTTCTGTTCTTCTTTGTTTCTCTACAAGTGAGGACCATCTTCAGTTTTTTGTCATCATTTTTTCTAAATTAGGTCAAAAATTTAAACTATTTCTCAATCTGTGCATATTATCCATGCACAGTACAGCCTGTCTATATGGTTTCAATTTTATCGGATGTCCTTAGAGAAAATACTGTCTTCGACTAATACATGAATTTGTGGTGATAATTCTTTAAAAATTCTGATGAAGAAATGAACAGATATGTACAGAAATATTAAAGGTTTTTTGTGTCATAGGTTCCTCAAAATACACATCATTGGCTTTTATCAAATTCCTCTAATCAGTTAAAAAAAAACAACAGTTAGATGGAAATCACTTAAAACAAATTAAGAAGATTGTTTTTGGATTTTTTGGAGGCAATTTGTTAGAGTAATTAATTTTAATGGATTAGGCATAGTGGCATAAGAAATCTGACCTCTATGTTAAATTTGCATAAAACCCAACTAAAACTAACAAAAAGGACTTGATATAAATAAAGTAAATGGTTTAGGAGGTAATTTGTAAGAAAAAAATTTCTCAAGGACTAATTTTGGGTTAGATAAAACATTTAGGAACTAAGCACATTATTAACAAAAGATAGTCAAAATAAAATGAGTTTTTACTATTCATGATATTCTTTGCACACTCACAAATTAGTATTACTATTACTATTCATGATATTATTGCAATTTTCAAGAGATTTTGAGACATTTGACATGCAACATTTTTAACTTTTAGAAAATTTACTTTTTGGTCCTTAATTTTTCTACATAGTTTCATTTTTGTTCAATTGATTCTCCTAACATCCCACTGAACCAATCAAAGCAAATACCGTTATACAAGTTTAATCATAGCAAGGAACTTCAAGGATGAATTAATTGGTTAAAATCGTAGTTTATCAACTATTTGTCAACTTGCACGACCATGCATATTGTACTAATATAAGTAAATTATAAATTATTTAGTGCTTATAGTTTTATTTTTTATTTTTTTTTGTAATTTAATACTTTTCGTTCTTTTTCAATTTGTTTTTCTTTAAAAAAAAACAGAAAAAAAAAAGATTGATGAAAAAAGATATTTTTTGAAATAAAGTAATATTTAAAGCATAATCAACACTAATAAAAAAAATTAAATAATTAAGTTTTGAAACAAAATAGACTAATTAATTTATTTTTCAAAAAGAAGAACTAATTTATAATTTACTCAAATTAATATGGACAGTCCCCCGCAACCCCGCAAAATTAAAGAGCATATTGTTTAAATGGGTTGTCATTAAGTCATTAATTAGCACAAGTTTCCACGTGAATAAAAACAATCCAAATACCAACAAATTAAAGAGTTTATTGTTTAAATGGGCTGTTATTAAGTCATTAATTAGCACTAGTTTCCACTTGAATAAAAAAAATCATTAAATCTTTGATTGCTTAAAGATCAAGTACATAGATTTTCAGACATTTTTTATATGTTCATGATCAAGTTGGATCCTAGTTTGAAGAACAACTGGTCAACTGCTTTCTAAATCAATAATTTGTCTAGTTATCTGTACATGGCCAGCATTATTTTTGCTCTGTGAAAAATCATTTTCTTTTTCTTTTTCTTTTTTCACTGCTCTTCTCTTCCAATTCTCTGAAATCTTTCCAAATTTCATCTCTTAACATTGCACTTTAAGTTACAGTTAAACAACCAATTTTATAGTGTCAAATAACGACCGTTATAACATTATATAACAGCCGTTATGTATCGATTTTGAAGCATTCTGTTGCTACTATTTTAATATTGTAGTAAGTCGTGATCCACGATGGTGTCACGATCGTTATTTCAACCATCAATGAAATAAAACTATGATCTAATTTAGCTTGTTAAAGTTGAGTTACGATTGAGGAGGGAGATTAGACAGAAAAAGGTTCATATTTCGTAGCTCTACAATATTAATTTTTTCACTATTTAATTTGGAGGAGTTTTGTTCCTTTTAGAGCCAGAGCCTAACAAGGCTGAAAATAACTTGTTGAAGATTTCTATTTAATTTAGATGGAAATCACTTGAGACAAATTAAGAAAATAGTTTTTGGATTTTTCGGAGTCAATTTGTTAGAGTAATTAATTTTGATGGATTAGGTATAGTGGCATAAGAAATCTGACCTCTATGTTAATTTTGTATAAAACCGTACCCAACTAAAACTAACAAAAAGGACTTGATATAAATAAAGTAAATGGTTTAGGAGGTAATTTGTAAGAAAAAAATTTTCAAGGACTAATTTTGGGTTTGATAAACTTTAGGGACTAAGCACATTATTAACAAAAGATAATCAAAATAAATTGAGTCTTTACTATTCATGTCATTCTTCACACACTCACAAATCAATATTACTTTTACTAATCATGGTATTATTACAATTTTCAAGAGATTTTGAGGCATTTGACATGCAACATTTTTAACTTTTAAAAACTTTACTTTTTGGTCCTTAATTTTTCTACATGGTTTTATTTTTGTTCAATTGACTCTCCTAACATTCCAGTGAACCAATCAAAGCAAATAGCACTATACAAGTCTAATCATAGCAAGGAACTTCAAGGACGAATTAATTTGTTAAAATCGTAGTTTATCAACTATTTGTCAACTTGCACGACCATGCATATTGTATTAATATAAGCAAATTATAAATTATTCTCTCTAGTTTTGATAAGTAAATTAAGTAGGTTTTTTTTTCAAAAACTAATTATTTAGTGCTTATAATTTTTTTTAATTTAATCCTTTTCTTTCTTTTTCAATTTATTTAAAGAAAAAAAAACAGAAAAAATAAAAAAAAATAATGAAAAAAGATATTTTTAAAAAATAAAGTAATATTAAAGCATAATCAACATTGATCAAAAAATTAAATAATTAAGTTTTAAACAAAAGAGACTAATTAATTTATTTTTCAACTAGAAAAACTAATTTATAATTTACTCGAATTAATACATATAGTCCCCCGCAAAATTAAGGAGTATATTTTTTAAATGGGCTGTCATTAATTAGCACAAGTTTCCAGGTGAATAAAAAAAATCATTAAATCTAACTCTAAATCTTTAATTGCTTAAAGATCAAGTACATAGATTTTCAGACATTTTTAATATGTTCATGATCGAGTTGGATCCTCGTTTGGCGAACAACTGCTTTCTAAATCAATAATTTGTCTAGTGATTTGTAAATGGTCAGCATTATTTGGCTCCGTGAAAAATCATTGCTTTTTTTTTTTTTTTTCACTACTCTTCTCTTCCAATTCTCTTAAATCCTCCTAAATTTCATCACTTGACATTGCACTTTAAGTTAAAGTTATACAACCAATTTTATAGTTTTAAATAACGATCGGTAAGTATTAATTTCGAAATATTTCTTTATAGATATTTTAATATTATAACAAGCTACGATCTTAAATGACACCACGATCGTTTTTTCAACCGTTAGGGATATAAAACTATGGTTTAGTTTCGCTTGTCAAACTTGAGTTATAGTTGGGGAGGGAGATTAGAGGGAAAAAGGTTCATATTTCGTAGCTCTACAATATTAATTTTTCTGCTGTTTAATTTGGAGGAGTTCTGTTCCTTTCAGAGCCAAACAACCCTGAAATTAACTCGCTGAAGATTTCGTAAAATGTGGTCAAAATTTTCAGTTGGTACTAGCCCTTGCAGTGGAGGGAACAATGGCAGGTTCATGCATCCAAAATCTGTTGTTACAAGAACGAGATGTAAAGGGATTTCTGCCCACAAATGCTCGAGCAGTCGTGCCTTTCCTCGGTTATTGAAAGAAGTCATTCCTCCTGCTGAACTTCACGTGCAAGAAATTGTCAAGAGGCAGTCCCAGGCTAACAATTTAGCCAAGCAAGATTCCTGTAGAAGGCCAGAGTGCAGCCCTGTGTTTCTTGAAGAAGCATATAGAAGATGCAGAAACATCTGCAAAGATTACGCCGGGACGTATTATCTAGGTGAATAACATCCTGTTCCCAATAGGATTAGCAGCTTATCTACTGAAATATTTTTGCATAGTCCTTGACTTGCCTGTAGTTATTCCTGATAGGATGTTGGTGTATCGCAATTTGCGACTAAATTGGTGCTCCTATTCCCTCTTTTGTTGCAGGAAGTTTGCTAATGACAGAGGAGCGACAGAAAGCCATATGGGCAATTTATGGTAAGAGATTATCACTTTGTAGATTAGTAGACCACTCTTTGATCATGTTCAGAAGGTCTGTTTCTTCTGGGACTTCAGGAGTCAGGATTGTTCCTACTCAAGAATAATTGCCCATTTGTATTCAATCCTAATGGCTAGAACATCCATCCTAGCATTTACACCAGAAATTAATGCTGTTTGATCTTTTAAGAAATTAATGACGTTTGATCTTCTGTTTCTTGAAACTTGTTCTCAAGTTGTTCTGCTTTAACTGATATACTTACGCAGCTTGGGGCACTAGGATAGATGAAATGGTGGATGGCCCAAATGCTGTCTACATGAGTACTTCTCTTCTTGACAGCTGGGAAGAAAGACTGCAAGACATCTTCGACGGCCACCCCTATGATATGGTTGATGCTGCACTTACTGATACAGTTTCCAAGTTCTGTCTAGACATTAAGGTGCTAAGGACATTTTCTACCTGAATCAAATTCCCCGTAGCCTGATTTCATTCCAATATGTTTGTGCAAGATTCATTCTTATCCCAAAACTACAAGAATTGTGCATATGTTTCATTTCTTAGCTTATCAATTTGCATTAGTATTTTCCATCTGACACAGTTTGTTTCTTCTATTCACAGCCTTTCAAGGACATGATTGAGGGTATGAGAATGGATACCAGGAAATGTCGGTACGAGAACTTTCAAGAGCTCTACCTTTACTGCTACTATGTTGCTGGCACAACTGGACTAATGACAGTTCCAATATTAGGAATCAAACCTGAATCTTCTGTTTCTGTTCAAAGCATTTATAATGCAGCAGTGTACTTTGGTATTGCAAATCAGCTTACAAATATCCTTAGAGATGTGCAGGAGGAGTAAGTTTTTTGTGAGTTTAGTTCTTTCATTAATCAAATGTTTGAACTGATTTCAGGATTTTTCTTCTTTCTTTCTTTTTTTTCTTTCCCTTTTCAGTGCATTGCGAGGGAGAATTTATCTTCCACAAGATGAGCTTGCACAATTTGGTTTATCCGACAAGGATGTTTTTGCAAGAAAGGTCACGGACAATTGGAGAGAGATCATGAAAGAGCAAATTGCTAGGGCAAGATTCTATTACAACCTTGCAGAGCAAGGGATCTCGCATCTTGACAAGGCTAGCCATTGGCCGGTATCCAACTTCAGACCATTGAACACCAGCATAAATAAAAAAATTTGCACATATTTTCTGACAGATTTATATTCCATTTGCAGCTATGGTCATCCTTGCTGCTGTACCAACAAATATTGGATTCAATCGAAGATAATGATTACGATAACCTCACAAAGCGAGCTTATGTTGGAAGGACCAAGAAATTTCTACTATTGTCCCAAGCATACAGAAAAGCTTAATATTTCAAGCATACAGAAATTTCTGATGCTAGTTATGCCCCAAAGAGGAAATGGTGCCAAGGAAAAACCTTGGAGCTTACTTTTAAGCTTTTCTGCTGCAAATGATTTGTCTTTGCAGCTTGAAGCAATAGGGTAGGCGAATTGGTGGATGGCCACAATGCTGTCTTGGAGAGCAGTACTCTTCTTCTTGATATGTGAGAAGAGAGACTGAAAGACATCTTTGAAATTTCCTTTTAACCTCATTTCAATCTCCATATCGTCAGAATGGATACTAGAAAATGTCTGTATAAAAATTTACGAGGGCTCTACCCTTCCTACTACTATGCCACTTATAGTTTTAAATAACGATCGTTATATAATATAATAGTAATTATATAAAGGTTTAGAGTATCTTATTATTATTATTATTATTATTTTAGTATCATAGTAAACTACGATCCGCGATAATGGTTGCGATCGTTTTTTAAATCATCCACGAATTAAAACTATGATGTCACTAGCTCAACAGACCTAATGGTATTAGAAATCAACTTAATTAGAGATCGAGGAGAGGATCAAGTTTTTGTCATAAAATATCCAAAATTTATGCCGTGCACACCGAACTTTTAACCAAAGGTCTAAACCAGCCCATGAAGTTAGAACTTAGGATACTTCAAAATCTGGATTCCTACCCTTAAAAAGCCCAGTCTTGAAGGGGAATGGTCCCGTTTTGGATGGTGCTTGGCCTTTGAAAATGAGCATTCAAATCAAACATAGATGAATAGTTGTGTATTTTTCAAATTCTTATTTGTTCAAGCATGAAAACAAATCGTGAATATGATCCGAGTAATAAATATCTAAGTAATTTTTAGATTGCAATTCCAATATGATTACAAGACTTCGAGAATTGATCTAACTTGCTGGTATATTCAGAGCCACCTTTATTGTTTTATTACAGTGATGACATGAGACCCAAACGAATTCTTATTATAGTATTTTAGGCTTGGAGCAAATTACGTTTCACTATTTTTTTATATTATTAGAGAAACCCATGTGGCTTGGCATGAGGTGAAAGCGATACCATCTAAAGACTGCAATTGCTAGTTTATTGTCATTGTTGGAATCAATCGTTATTGTTTTCTTTTGGATCTTCAATACTTTGGAGCAACCAGACAAAGCCATTTGGCATTGTTTTTTCACTGCCCCCAAGAAGTTCTTTTGTAGATCATACGTTGTCTTTCAAATTGACTTTTACCTATCAAATTTCCTTCATAGTTTCGGCAAGTATGGTTAGATCCCAACGGCTTTGTCGGTTGAGCCAAAACAAAACTCTCTCTCAAGTCTCAACTCACGGTGCATCAGATCAATTTACAGTCCATAAACTGCCAAGTAGTGGCTCCAAACAGGAAGCTTTCAGCCTTGCACATGGATTGAGTCCAGATGTTGAGATGTTCAAAAGGTGTGTTTTAGCTCCGACTGAGCATGAATCATGGTCTCCATACTGGGAAAATGACACCAACAAGACCTATTCCTTCATTTCCTCTTCCATGGGAAGTTTTTATTTTACTTCTATATTATAAAATTTACTTCATTATCACTCGGGGCATGAACAGAACCAAAGGGGAAACGAGAGACTATAGTGAGGTATCAAAGCGATCAAGATTCTTGATACATAGTTTTAGACAAAGTTTTGGCTAGGTTGGTATTGGACAAAATCTAGCATCTTTGTAAAACACAATATTCTCTAAACACCACGTTAGGTGTTCATGTCTTTACTGAAAAGTTAAAATCTATGAGTTGTAACATGATTCCGCAAGGCAAATTGGGCCATTTGAATAATCTGCCATTTCTGACTCGCCAACTTCCAATTTTTTTATCATATATTCTTGTTGGTCTCATGCACATAGGAAGAAAAATGTAGGAAAAACAAACTTGAGAGTTGTGTCGTGTAGGAGAAGAGTCCAGTTACTCCAGTAGGTTGAAATTAGTGGGCCATTTGCATGATGCTATCACCAATTTTCTCTTATAAATAGATTGAAAAGGGTAGAAATGGAGGGAGAGAAACAACTATTTAATCCTTCAGGAATTTACTTGAGGGAGGAGAAACAGATTTCATCAAGTTTTTAAGTACATTTTCTGATGTTTTGGGGGAGTTCTAGATATTTTTCAACCAATTTGATCGTTCTCTCAGAGCCTGTTCGTACCTGAAGAATTTCTCAAAAGTTGGCAATGTGTTCAACATTTTCGCTTTCGGCTAAGCCTTGCAGCACTGAGGTAGATAATGGCATATTCTTGCATTCAAAATCCTTAGTTACAAGAGCAAGAGCTGAAGTGATCACAACTCCTAAGAGATCGAGCCGACGTGCTTTTCCTCAGCTTTTAACACAAGGAATTCCTCATACTGATCTTCAAGTACATGAAATTGTTGAAAGGCAGTCTCAGGCTAACAACTTAGACAAGCAAGATATCTGCAGAAAGCGAGAGTTTCATCCTGCATATCTTGAAGAAGCCTACGAAAGGTGCAGAAGCATTTGCGCAGAATATGCCAAGACTTTCTATCTAGGTAAAACCCACAGCCATTTCAAATTTTTCATTAATTGTATAGTCCTAGAACCTAGGGTTCAAGAATTACTAAATGATAGCAGAACTATCGAGTCGCTTCGATGCATGCTTGATTGCTTAGCAGCTCCCATTAGCATTGGTTTTCTCTGTATGTTATTGCAAATTGCGTGGCTAAATATTGATGATCATTTTCTCTTGATGCAGGAACTCTGCTGATGACAGAGGAGCGACAGAAAGCCATATGGGCAATTTATGGTAAGCGATTGAAGCCCAGAATAGATAAATTTGCAAGAAATTTAAGGAAGATATTACAATACACACATTGAATTATTTAACGCATCAAATTTCTAATCCTTAAGAAGATTAGATCATACCCCAGATCAATATCTTTGAAACTTTTCTACAAAGAATAGTCCTTGAATTTTTTGTAGTTCAAAGAAACGTACTTTTTTTTCAGTTCCTGAAGGAGCAATTCAATTGATCCTATCATTTACATTAGAAATGCACTAAGCAACGAGACTTGCTGAAAAAGTAAACTGTAAGACTTCATCTTATTTTTAAGTTGTTCTGCTTCTGCTGATATTTTTTCTGCAGTATGGTGCAGGAGGACAGATGAACTGGTCGATGGCCCTAATGCGATGCACATGAGCACTTCTGTTCTTGATAGGTGGGAGGCGAGGCTGCAAGATCTCTTCGATGGACGCCCCTATGACATGCTCGATGCTGCGCTTACTGATACGATTTCCAAGTTCCCTTTAGACATTAAGGTACTCGGAACATTTACTAGCTGATAAATTAATTTCTATTTTAGTGTATGTTCTCAATCTGATAAAAAAAATTACTTATGATCTCACAGCCCTTTAGGGACATGATTGAAGGTATGAGAATGGATACAAGAAAATGCCGTTATGATAATTTTGGAGAGCTCTATCTTTATTGCTATAACGTCGCGGGCACAGTCGGCCTAATGAGTGTTCCAGTGATGGGAATTGCAGCAGAATCTTCAGTTTCTGCTCAAAGTATTTACAATGCAGCAGTGTACTTGGGGATTGGAAATCAGCTTACAAACATTCTTCGAGATGTGGGAGAGGAGTAAGTTTTCTTTCCATACAACTTCCATTCAGTTCTCGTTTGAATCTTTTACTTATCTCGGTCCCTTTTTCTTTCAGTTCTCTGAGAGGAAGAGTTTACCTTCCACAAGATGAGCTTGCACAGTTCGGACTATGCGACAAGGATGTTTTCGCAAGAAAGGTCACTTATGGATGGAGAGAGTTCATGAAAGAGCAGATAACAAGGGCAAGATTCTATTTCAACCTTGCAGAAGAAGGGGCTTCGCAGCTTGAGAAGGCTAGCCGCTGGCCGGTATGTACTGAAAAAAATTCCATTCACTTCCAAATCTAACCTATAATCTAGCTGATGATTATTCACATGCTGATGCAGGTATGGTCATCCCTGCTAATATACAGAAAAATCTTGGATGCAATCGAGGACAATGATTATGATAACTTCACGAAACGAGCTTATGTTGGAAGAACTAAGAAACTTCTCACATTGCCCCTAGCATACACCAAAGCTCAATCAATGTCTAGCTTGATCCTTCAGTAACTCTGGATTTTGTCAGCAGCCCTAGGGTTTGGGGAGCTACATCAGCAAACAAAAAAGAAGTACTGGAGTAGGAAGCGAAACAAGATTATTTCGGTGTATCATAGAGGAAGTCTTCAAAGCATGGATGTTTTTGTACGACTGGTTGATAGTATTTGAGATGCACAGCTTATATCAGATTCCACTTCTGTGATAGAACTGGAAATTCATGGAAAGTAAATTACACATACATTTCTCAGTTATTAAGAACATAAAATCTGTTAGTCTCACTCTTCTCTGGGGCAATTTATCATAAGACCTGCTACAGTTTATGGCAGCATGGAAGCAGATGCAAGAAACCAATTTTCTGTTGGAAGAAAAAAAGAACAATCCAAATACCAACAAAGCTTTAGATCAACTGGCATCCATGTCCAGCACCAATAGGCCTATCGATCTTCTGGGCTATGTTTTTTCCATCTCTCTAATGTTCTTAGTGTTGTCCAGCACCTATAGGCCTATTGGTTTGCAGTAAAACTTGGATCCGTTCATATTAAAGGAAGCTTCATGTCATAAATCTCACCAATTATTTTCTGTGAGGAAAAAAAACAACATAATGTAATCATATTTCTGTGGTTTTCGAAATCACTAAAATCATAGCATTGTATCTTTAGGGTTTTTAGCCTTTATTACAGTCAACTTCCCTTGTTGGAAGTATCCAAGACAATGCTTTCATGAAAGAGATTCCAAGCTCGGTGGGCATTTGAAAATGACCAAACTCAAAGCAGAAGATTCCAAGTTATGTATTCATCCACACATACCATAAATGGCATAAACTGTCATCACAAACCACCAGTCTCTCACCCATCAGTTACAGTTCAAAATATCAAAGAACAGAACTTTAGATCTCCACAAAACCATTCAAGAGTGGGAGCCAGCTGACAGAGACAATTAACTGACATTGGTTTGCATTATCATTGTTTTTGTTTTTTTTTATTTGAGTGCCCAATCTTTTATTTTATTTATTTGAAGCTCAACATTTGAATTTTTTTTCCCTTATTTGATTTTCTTCAATCACCTGAAACTGAAAAATTACAACTTCTAAAAAAATAATGACCAAGCTAAAATTCCACTTGTCGGTGACAATTTTTAATTAAAATGTATAAAAGATAGCTATAAAAAAAAATCAAAATTAATTAATAGTAAACAAATAAACTCCAATTATTTCAATAGTTTAATATTAAAACTTTGGTTCGAATGATGTAAAATTAAAACTCTTGGATTAAATAAAAAAATATTTAAACAATAATATCTTACAAAATATTTTAAAAATTCGACAGCAACAGCACCAATCTCGTTTAACTTAACGATTATTAATTTTGATTTTTTTTTCCAAAAAAATTACGAGCAATTTTTTTATATAAAAATTGTTATTTTTTTCTTAATTTATCCAAATAAAATCTGTAGACTTAAATCACTCGAGCATTTTATAATCTCAAAAGTGACTGAAAAACTCAAATAAAAAAAATAATTCCAATCACATCAATATTTTTTAATCTCAAGTTAGGCACTCAAACAGATAGAAAAATTAAACACTCAATTTACAAAAAATAATAAAAAAATTAAATACTAAAATTACAGTATTCCAGTTCTCTCCTTGAACCGGTTCAGAGAGAGGTTGGTATGGGGAAACCCTTAAATCGAAAATCACAACTGAAGCTTGTAAAGAACTGTAATGGCAAATTTAAATAGAGGTTTAATTAAACTCAATTAGGGTTCAACTATAGCATGCAAAATGCAAGCAAAAATTATCTAGAAACGTTAAGCCAGGCACCTACTGGAAAACACTTGACTAGGAAAAATATAAAAGCACCCATTGTAAGTCAACTCATTGTCTCTCTACACATCCCCAACCCTGAAACAACCATCCTTCTACAAAAGAAAAGAAAAAGGAATGAAAGAACAAAAACAAGATCAAGGAAAAGGAATAAAAGATGCCACATTGTTTGCTGGAAAGGGTACATTTGCAGCCATTCTGTCGCCAGCTCTACTGCTCCCTCTTATGGAAACTCAAGCATAATCAGCAAACCAATTGAATCAAGGAAGCCCCACCTGCCCATTATACATGCTTTCTGCTACCTGCCCGTCACCATAGCGAATTTATACTCTTAAATTTGAAAAGGCCCTCAATAAGGGAACCAGCCAATAAGCACTGGCTGGGAGGATTCGGCATCTCAATACTAGCTTGAATCATAGGAAATAATCTGGTGTTCTCCGGGTTACATCTGGCTCGCCCCTCCTTGGAGCTGGCTCAAACTGCAAACATGAGCAAGTTTTTCGTTATATAGGTGATATTGTCAAATACAGACTTTTTGAGTGAAAGATAGATATTATTTTGTGCCTAACACGTGTGACATTGCCCATACACTAGCATCGGACACCAACCTGAATGAATGTGTGGCCCTTGCAGTCATCAACTTCCAAAATAGAAGCCATGTTTCCACAGCGGTAGCAATAGTTGGGTGCACTAAAGATAGTAACCACCTTTTGTTCCTGTTACGAGAAAAAAGGCACAATCAACCACGTGAAAGTTGCAAACCAAAGCAAGAAATTTACCAAAAGAGAAGCATCAAGGGGAAGCAGTTACATGACCCCAGTTATATCCTTCCATGACCAGCTGGTGAGCTCTAGCAATCAGCTTTAAGTTATTTGTATGGTTAAATTGCTCAGAAATGTCCTGGAGAAAAAATAAGCGTAAGCAGCCCGAGAAGACAACTCTTGTTCTGCTAAAAATTAAGAACACGAGTGAAAAGAAGGGAGTAGAGTGAGTATATTACTTGACCAAAGGTATATCCAGCACCTCTAGGTGAGATGCCCCAACCACAGCGATCATCAGGGTCAGACCACAAAAGATCACACATGGGACCCTCGTGGGGAACTTCTTGAACACGATCAAAATTACGAATGTGATCAAGGGTCTCAATGGAGGGAGATAATCCACCATGGAGGCAAAATATTTCCGACTCAACCTTCATAAGAGAACAAAATACACATGACACCATATCCACATTAAATGCCCAAACTAAAAAGTAAAGGTTATTGTACATCCAAAAAGGTAAATGCAAATTTGGCATTCTTTCTTCAATTATATTGGTAGTAAAAGAATTTGTTATTCACTATGGTTTTTTGCCCCAGCACTTACCAATGCTGTCAGTGGAAAATAATCAAACAGGTCCGTAAAGATCTTCCAAACGTTAGCATTGCCATACCTGCAAATAAACAACATAGATACATATGTTTTCTGTGCATACTTGTGCCAAAACAATAGTATAAAGCTATCTGAATAACAATGAGCGATATATAAAGTTAGAAGATATAAGAGGAAAGGTTCTTGGAAGCATGTTTTCCAACTAGTCAAAATGTCTATTACTATCATCAAGTTCACTTCCTTCCAATTTCAAGTACTGTAGGGTGAGAGTAGAGTTTTCATTTTGAGGGTAGTCTTGAAAAACTATAGCAGCATACGATGCAACTGATCAAAAACTTAGGCTAGTCACTTTGGTGGTTTCATCAATAGGGTTTTTTCCCCAGAAAAAGTAGGGTTAAATTGCACAAAGAACCTAATTCTTTTCTTTTTAACAGCCTATGTTCATGCATCTCATACACATTACAAATCATGTAACAGTTGTCCAAGCTAAAAACAAATAGCATGCTACTTAGATAGACATAGCATTTCCATAGTTTCAATTTGGGTTATGCATGCATCACTTGTTCGGTCTAACTTTCATTCCTCACGCTTTGAGAAAAACTTCATTGTCACGCTTTCTTCCGGCACATCCCACCCCCCCCCCCAACACACCAAATAGCTTTTCATTTCTGCAAGCAGCCCCGCTTACTTATCCATGCCATTTATAAAATCATATACAAGTCACAATTGTAAGAGAGTAACATTCATGTTTATACATACTGTACACAAAAAACATTAGGAGAGAATTGCAAACCAAGGACTGTGGGATTCCAAAATAACTTAAAAGTTATGATGTATTTTCATTAGACTAAGGGTTCAGAAGAACTCACTTCCGTAGGCACTCATCATAGAACCCATAAACTTGAGTAATCTGAAATAGGAACAAACATCAATAATCATCACAAATGATTTGATGCTGAAAAAAAGTTAACATAAGGGATGAAAGAATTGAAATCATATCAAGTTTTTAAATATCTTAACAGTTTACACCCTGTCCAAAGCAGGACCTCATTAAGTTGCAACTATAATCAATTACAGACCATTCAACAGGATAAAACAAATTATACCATCAGTTGGCAAAATACATTCAGAAGCATACCTGACGACTTTCGTGATTTCCCCTTAGAATAGTAATCCGTTGAGGATAACGCACTTTCAAGGCAACCAGGAGCTGATAAAAAATCAATCAGTATCACAATAAAAAGTTAAGGACCTCGACCAAACTTAGGCCAAAAACTATTGAAACGTGTGTATAGCTAAGATAAAGTTAAGAGTGTTCCATTCAACACAACTTAATTTATATGATTTTCCAATTCAAACCAGAAGACTTTTAGGGAAAAAATAAAAAGATGAAAATACTTACTGTCACAGTTTCTACTGAATAATAGCCACGGTCAACATAATCTCCCATGAACAAGTAATTTGTATCTGGACACTAGAGCAAACAAACAGGCACAAGTGAATTATACCAAACTAGGTGAGCACAACAGAAATGGCGGAAGCTTAATACCTAAGATGCTAGCATGGTCAAGAAACAGAAATAAAAAATGTTAAAAATGTGCATTGTACTCAATGCTGTGGCATTACTCAAATGTCAGATATACACCATGTATGATGATAAATTGCAGTCAAAAGAACCACAAATAGAAATTCTTGCATTTTCCAATAGATGTTAAAAATTCTAACAGAAGATAGAAAGAAAGGGGCTGATCCTTCCCTATTGCAATGGTCTCCATGGAAGCAAAAGGAAAGGAGGAGGAAACACAGTGCAGTAAAGTGATTCGATTTGCAAACTAAAAACACATGTGAGATTATGACCATTACAACTACAAGAAGAAAATGCAGAAAGGAGATAACAATTGGCACTAATTTGAATTGCCGTGTCTCCAAATATTAGAACACAAAATTGCTCAATCAGAAACTTACCTTCCCGCCAATGCGAAAAAGCTCAGCTAGATCATGAAATTGACCATGGATATCACCACAGATTGTAACAGGGCTTTTAACAGGCTGCAAATGTAAAGTCAAAGAAAGTTAAATGCAACTCAGTGGATTCAAAAGTCCTAATAAGCTCAACATAGCTGGCATTGAAGAATAGATAGCAAAAGATGAATGCTAAACTGCAACAAAAAAATGGCATACAAAAAATTACAGAACTTATGCTCTGATAATAGAACAAAACATCTTAGGCGAGTAGAGTACCTGAACATTGCTTTCATCCATCAATATCTCCTTAGCTTTCTCGCATAACGCCCTTACCTGAATCATAAAAACATTTTCATTGAAAACAATATCCTCAAGAGTAATTTGCCGCTTCAGACAAAGACACTGAAGCACAATGACGACAGATTGTTCATTTTATGTCACGTTATAGAGAGAGAGAGAGAGAGAGAGAGAGAGAGAGAGTGAGGAACCATCATTGAAGATGAAAGTCACTAAAGAAAATCTATCTCAGCCAGTACAGCAAACAGGCTATAGGGAAAAAGAAAAGGCCTTTGGCAACCATCATCTTACTCCTTAATAATAGGAATAGTCATACTCCCACACTATCCTCAGAGTCTAGCCGAATCCCATTCTACCAACAAAGATAACAGAGAATAGAGTATCACTGTCTCATCTGTATATATATCCTTCAACTTTTAAAAGGCCAACACAGAGCCATGAACACACCAGGAGTGATTAGTCTCTTTGGAATAAAGAAATAAAAAAAATAACCAGATTGGTCATCAAATGAAAGCATTCCATCATTATTAGATGGACCAACAATAGTGGTCCAACATGAGTTCCTAAAATTCAAGCTATTGAGACATTTTTAAAGTAGATCTCAAGGCCCTTGAGACAAATTCTATCTTACAAAAAAATTCTATGAATAGAGCATCAAAACACACATATTACCCCCACAGACGAATAAGAAAGAAACACCCTCCTTCAGCCAATGCTGTTGATATGACCCTAGGCGCTCCCAGATTGAAAGCAATCCTCCTAGAACTCGCATTAATATTACATTCACAAATCCTAGACTAGAACATCTTGGCATCCACTTGAAACCAAAATAATGGATCCATGTCACCCACAAGAATCCACCTCCATTAATACATCTAGAAAACCCAACTTCAAACTATCCAATCCAAGTTAGAATACCCTCACAAAGATCCAAATATCCATTATGGCAGCTTAAGCAGTATAATCCAATAAGTAAAAACCGCATGTCCATATTCTCTTATAACCTTCCAAACTAGAAGAAGTCCTCGAATCAACAACACCCATAAAACAAAAAATCCAAACTTTTTCCTCATTTTGACATCTTAACTTCAAAAATCCTAAGAAAACCATTCAAAAAAAAAAAAATCATTAGTAGATCTGCTCCAAACACCCCAAAATCTACCTCAAAGCCCCCATTATGCCTTCAAAACACAGATCACACCGCATATAAACCCAAAAGGCAACAAATTCCCAACTTTAACTCTCACAAACTCAGCCAGATCCACACCATTTCTCCAAAAACAACGTAAAAAAACGCAAACTAGCAAAAACCCACTTCAAATAATCCAAAAATCTCTCAAAAAACACAGAAACAAAAGATTTCAGCCCTAACAAACCCAACCAGATCCACACCATTTCTCCAAAAACAGCTCCAAAAACCAAAACTCTCAAACCCCACTTAAAAAATAAAAAACTCTCAAAAAATGCATAGAAATGGAATTTTTTTTCCGGCAAAAAGAGGTTACCTCTTGCTCTGATAAGGGCTTGCATTGCATAAGCTGACTAATTTCCTCATCAAGGTTTCCATGTGAGTTTGTAGCTACCGAATCCAAGCTCATTTTTCTCTAATCTTTTTTGTTTAACCGCTAATTACTCTCCAATTAGAGATCCAGAGATTAAATCTCCTAAATTTATTTCAAAAATTTGAAACCCTAAATTTCAATTCTCTCTTTGAATTTGTCTTTTTCTAGAGAGAGAGAGAGAGAGAGAGAGAGAGAGACAGAGAAAATGATGTGAGAGAGAGAGAGTGGGAAATGAGGGAACGGTGGTGGAGATACCAATGGCTATTTTAGAGAGTTCATTCTTTTTTGTTTGATTTGCATATAAATTGGAAAACAAATAAATAAGTCCTCCATTTATATATTGATTATGTAAATTGTCCCTTGAGTTTACAATTACACGATTTTATCCTAAGTTTATTGGCAAATGTTATTCATATCAAAGTTTCCATTTCAAGTGAGTTTTTCATAGAAGATCCATGGTTTTAAATCGTGATTTTAGCTGTGATTTATAATGTGGTAGTGGTTGCAATAATTATTACATAATAATTGTTGTGATTGTGACGTTTGAAACACTCTAAATCTATAAAAAAACGAATTGTGACATGATTTGATTTTAAAAATTAATTTTATAGTAAATTATCAATAAACTATTGCCACCTATTTGCATTGAAAGTAAAAAATAACCAATATATTTTATTAATTATCTATTTTTAAATATGCTTAAATTATTAGTGTTTTTTGAAATCATAGGTTTTTTAAACGTTATTTGTTATTATGTATAACAAAGAACATAACAAATGTACATGATGATACCTTGAAATATAATCGAAGATTAATTTAATTAAGACTATTATATGATAATAATAAATAAAAACTTCGAAGGTGTTGATTTAGTTAAAAAGTAATCTTATTTTCTAATATTATAAATGCACAACTCCAATAAGAATTATTTGTTTAGCATTTTATCAAAAAGATGCATAATTTTAATATCTAAAAAATTAACTCGAGTATTTTGATATTAAAATCGACAAATTATGATAAATCATGATTATAAAAAACAATTGGTAATTGTTTTCCAATTTAGTGAAAAATGGTAGTAACAAAAATCTTTCATTTCTAGTTGTAAGCCACTCTTCTAGCTTTTTACCAAAAATTTTTTCTTATATTCCTTTTTATCTTTACAATTCTCTAATTCATATCTTAAAATTATAACATAACATTTTACTCCATAAATTAGAACTACAATTATTTTTGGCCAGATGAAAACATCATTATCATTAGTACATGAAAAAAATGTACATAGTAGATTAATTTTATTAAATTTTCAAGGAGGAACTATTTTGATAAAAAAAAAAAAATTATAGTTGAATCTGTATTACCAAAAAATTGAAATTTGATAACTCAATTAAATTCACATATCATTTACGAGGACTGATTTATAGTTTGCCTGGACAATAATAACCACTCCTTTTTTAAATAAAATCTGTTTTCGTCGTTTTTGTTTTTCTAGAGAGGGAAATTTAATTTGTTTTGAAAGTTTAAACTAATTTTGAGTTGTCGGATAAGCGCGTGGCTGTGACTGGCGAATGTGAGGAGGTTAGGTTGAAAGTGGTAGGATTTGATTGGAAGGTGAGTTAGCTAAGGTTATAAGCGCGTGACAGGGAAGACCACGTGGTGCTCTTTGATTGGCTAATTTATTGATTGGCTTTAGGTTCTCCCGAAAACTAGTTGAGATCCACCCTTGGTGATGATGCAAATCAAGCAAAAATCTGTTTATTTTTTGTTACAATATTGTTGTTAACTGAAGAAAAAAACCAACGAAGATCTAACAACATTTACGAGTAAATTATAAAATTAGTTCCTTTATTTTCAGATACAAATTAATTTATTTTTTATTTTAAAAATTAATTATTTAGTGTATTAAACGGTAACAATCATACTTAATTTAGTATTAATTTATTCAAAAAATATCTTTTTTCTCGCTAATTCTTTCATAATTTTTTTAATTTTTCTATTTCTTAAAATAAAAATCAAAATAAATTAAAAAATAAAGATACTAAATAATTAATTTTTAAAATTCAAAAAGACTAATTAATTGGTTTTTCAAAATTAGAGGGACTAGTTTATAATTTACTTCAAAATTTGCAAATTGTTTGTGTTTAAAAATAGTTGGAGTTATTTCATTAATCATCTTAACTGAAAAAAACTGAAATTCCAACAACATTTGTGCATCTAGTTTTATGGTGTCCTAAAAAAGGGTGGAAGGTAGTTGTACCAAATTATTTTGAAGGTTCACTTGTAAAAGCCTGCTCGTAAATTTATTGTTATTGTTATTATTATTATTATTATTATTATAAGAATTATGCCAATTGACTTTTAAATAGACCATACAAAAATAACAGATCTTGCTAAATAATTATTCCACACACCCAATAATAATTTTTTTCATAAAGAAAAAGAGAGAGATTTTTATATTGGGTAAATATTTTCATTTGTATCTATATAATATTCAAAGTTTTCTATTCGTTACTATATTTTCAACATATTTCATCTATCTTTGAAATTTTTTTAAATGGTTAATATGTACCTCCTATCAAATTTTTCCATCCATAAATTTTTTTTTTTTTACTGAAATGCATTTTACTAAAGTGCAAAAAAAAAAAAAAAAACCAAAGTCATATGATTCATATGTTTCATTTTTTAAGTTTTTATAATTTTATTTATTTATTTATTTATTAATTTCAATAAGGGGTATTTTGAAAAAAAAATTATTTGGCTCAAAAAATTGATCGAAAGATAGATTGAATATTTTAAATATTTTCAAGGACAAATGAAATGTAATTAAAAACTTAAAAATATATAAAAGACTTTTAATATTTTATAAAAATAAATAAATATATTTACTCTTTTATGTTTTAATTAATTTGTCATTCAAGTTATCCGTGGAGGAGGATGGTTTTCAATCAACATCTACATGTAGGAAAATCATAATCATGCAACTTTGGCATGTGCTTTAAGGAGTGAGGTAAAGTCAATTAGCAAGAGTTTAAGAACCACATGAAAAACGAAAATACAAGAAGATTCCAATTTTTAAGGTTTCTTATAGTTTTTTTTTTTTAAACTCCTAAAAAGCTTGTAACTCGATAGTAATAGTCTCTTGCAAAAAATTACAGATTTAAATCCTAACAAATTAATTATTTAGGAGTTTTGAATATATTTATTGGGTGTGTGAATTATATATATATATATATATATATATATATATATATATATATATATATATATATGTCTACGTTTGTGTGTGTTTGTTTTAAATTTTTTAGAGTGGAATGCCACTATTTTCATGTGAAATTTATTTCATTTTTTTTTATTAGATTTCATCTAGAGATTTCGCAAACATTGAATCTGCACCAAGAATTTGTCAGGGATAAATCCCATCATTAGCTTGAAAAAGGAAACGAATCCATCAAGTTGCATAATTTTTAAACACGAATACATAGTATTTTTACTCTTATATATATATATATATATATATATATATATATATATGTATATGTATGAGACATTGAATAATATATAAAAATAAATAAATATATTTCTCTTTTATATTTTAATTAATTTGTCATTCGGGTTGTCTATGAGGAAGGATGGTTTTCAATCAGCATCTATGTATAGGAAAATCATAATCATGCAGCATTGGCCTATGCTTTAATAAGTGAAGTAAAGTCAATCAGCAAGAGTTTAATAACCACAAGAAAAACGAAAATACAAGAAGATTCCAACTTTTAAGGTTTCATACATTTGCTTCTTTTTTCTTTTTTTACGGAAGAACTTGTGGTCTGTTTGTAATGTTCTTTTAAAAAAAGTTACAGGTTAAAATCTTAACATATCAGTTATACTAAAAGCCTTAGATATATATGTTAGGTACGCAAGTTATAAAAAATAATACATATTTTTTATAACTTGCATACCCAACACATATATCCAAAATGCACACACATATATATATTCTTTATAAATCACGTAGCCAATACATATATCCAAAACACGCACGTGCACGCACATACATGTGTATGTGTGTGTTTTTTTTAAAAAAAAATTGGAGTAAAATGTCACTATTTTCATGTGAAATTTATATTTCATGTTTTTTATTAGATTTCATATAGAAACTTCGTAAACATTGTGCTTGCACCAAGAATTTGTCAAGGATAAGTCTCATCGTTAGCTTCGAAAAGGAAATGAATCCATCAAATTACATAATTTCTAAACACAAGTACATAGTTTTTTTTTTCAGCACGGTGTTATCAAGTCAGTTTTTTTTATATATTTAAAATATTATAAAGAATTAAAATTTGCACTCGATTGCCTATTCGGATCAAGGATAGCAATGAACCGAGTATAAAACAGTATTCGTTTTACTCGGTACAATAAATACTCATTAACAATGTCCAAGGGTATTAAAGTGAGTAAATATAAAAAAATACATATCTACTAATATAGTTTCAGAATACGAGTATCCATTTTTTACTCTATCAATACCTATTAATTCATTTAGATTTTTTTAGTAATATTTAGAGATCTAATTGCATAAAATTTAAAAATCAAGGATCAAAATATTTTTAAAAAATTTGAGGACCAAAAAAACTTATAAATAAATGACTAAAATACAAAAAAAAAAAATTTAAGAATCAAAAAAACTTTTCTTAAAAATTATAGAGACTAAAACAAATGTTTTTAACAAATTAAATTTAATGAGTATTTAATAGATATTAAATTGATGGATAAACTAATATGAACTGAATATAGATTAAATAAAGATTTATATAGTAATTTTTTAATGATCAATGAGTCAAATATGTTTTTTTGAATAAATATGATAAAAAACTGAATTAATGAGTGATAATTGCCATCCCTAGTTCAAATAAATGGATTTATTGGATATAACGTTTGCTATTTTTTTTGTTCAAACATGAGAGAGATTTATTATTTAGTTCGAACAATGGACCTATACGTAAATTTATTTTTTTAAATATACTACGATAAATACAGGAGATGTGTTTTTAATATCCTCTCACGAGAAGATCTAGTCTCGGACTCGAAGATATCTTATTCCATTAAATAAAATAGAACAATTGATTGGCAAAAATAATTCATTATTTAGATAAACACTTTCATTGTTTTTTCTTTTTTTGATAATTAAACACTTTAAATATTACTCCATGCTTTTATTGGTGAATATCGTGTTTGAGAAAAACAATAGGCTATTTTGAAAAACGAGAATATGGATGTAGAACTATGGTCCCACAATACCACAGGCTCTGGCCCAGATGATCAGTTTGCTTCCTGCTTTTACCCTTCCTAACGAAGCAGAGCACGTGCTCCCATCACGTCCAACAAGGGAATTGTTCCTTTGCTACCAAAACAAGGAAGAAGAAAGAGTAAATCATAAATTAGTCCCTTTTGCTTTAAGAAGTGATTTAATTGGCCCCTTTTTTCAAAAACTAATTATTTAATCCCTTATCCAGTATTAATCATACTTAATTTAATATTTATTTATTCTAAAACATGTTTTCATTTTTTCATCAATATTTTCATAATATTTATTTTTATTTTTAAAAATAAAAAATCGAATGATTGATTTTTGAAACGAGAGAGACTAATTTATTTATTTCTCAAAATTAAAAAAATTAATTTATAAACTACTAGAAAAAGAAAAGGAAAATAATTTGCTAGAAATAAATAAGGATGACAATCTACGGGTATTTAGTCCATTAATTCAATGTTTTACTCTATCGATCAAAAGAATATCTTGCTTATTAAAAAACCATCGTATAAATTTTTAGCCAGTTCATATCGGATGCATACTAGTTTACCTGTTTATTTAATACATATTAAATATATGTTAAATTTAATTTGTCAAAAATGTTCATTTTAGGCCTTATAATTTTTAAGAAAAGTTTTTTTATCCTTAAAATTTATTTTTTTGCATTGTGATCATTTATTTATAAGCTTTTTAGTCCTCAAAGTTTTTAAAAAACCATTTTGATCCTTGATTTTTAAATATAACAATTAAATCCCTGCACGCTAATAAAAAAATCTAAATAAATCAGTAAATATTAATATGGTAAATATTTTATACTCATACCCTAAAATTATATTAATGGGTATGCATTTTTTTATTTTTATCAACCTTAATATCCATTAGATGTTTTTAATAAATATTCACTTGATCGGGTATAGCATATACTCGTTTTATATCTAGTTTATTATCATTTTTAGATGTAAACAACCAGAAGACAATGATAGCAAAGTTGCCGAGTACGTGATTTTTAGCACATAAATGTTATTATTGTATGCCTAAGTAACTTAGGAACAGTTCTATGAAAATTCAAGCACAATTTATCTTGCTTGAACAACTTGATATACCTTAAAAGTAAAAACATATTAACAAATAAACTAAAAGAAAACGAAGTTTCACTGTTTGTCTATTGTTTCAAATCTTGTTCATTGTGAGTGAAAATAATATGGACTCATAATTTAAATCCCTGTTCGTTTAATTTTATTTGTGTTTTTATTTTTTAGCTTAAATATGTTTTATGGACATGTATGATTTTAATAAATAAAAAAACATGTAATTAATTACTGATATCTCTTAAAAAATTAACTAGAAGAGTTAATTATTAGAAGAAAAAGACAATCATGTAAGTCGAAAGAGTGATTGAACAACCTATGTTAAAAAATGTTTAGTTTGAGCTAAGGAGTTCATGACTATTTTATTAAAAAAATCCCTTTATTCTCGACCTGATTGCTTTATTTATTTATTCATTCATTATCATTATTATTGTTTTTCATTGACGTAATTTTGAACATTAATTTTTGTTATTTGAAATTTATTACCATAAGGTCAGATAATGAAATTATTTATGCCTTTATGGTACTATAAAAGAATAACACATTGTAATTTTTAGATATGTTGAAGAACTACAATCAATTATAAGAAGGCATGATTAGCTGAAAACTTACATGAACAAAAACATGATAAATTATCAACTATTAAATATTTGTTATTTAGATAATTTTTTTCTAAATATTAATTTATTGGTATTACTTATTTTCATTATTGTAAAACGCATCGGTATTATTTCAATCCTATTTCGATGTTGTTATAAATTTTTTGAAAACCATAGATCCTAAATAGATTAGTTATCAATTATCAACCATCAAACTTTTATTACTATAAAAACAAGAACCAAAATGAATATATATTTTCAAAAAATAACTTGAATTTATTGAGAAAATGTTTAATGCCAAAGCAACTCAATACGACGTTGTTTTAGCTCCGATGCACAATGTCAAATTTACAATGCAGTCCTTGAAGTGCTATCAAAATGCGCAAGCACATGCACCAACTAGGCGAGGATCCCTTCTCTCGTAAGTATCCACTAAAAAAGTCAAGTCCTTGGCCGTCAAGGAGCCATTCTCCTTCACTTTATGAAAAAGCCTTTTTCTTTGCATTGCCTCGTCTCTTACAAAATTCCCAAGCCATCAATAGCTCAAGGTCACTTCTTTGCCCTTTTGCTTTTGGCCTTCAACCATCATGCTAAGTTTCTTTGCTTTTCTGCAATCAAATCATCCTACTCTTAGAAAAAGGCCTTTTGTTGAGGTGTCCTTGCTAACCAAACGTTGAAGGAGTAAATTAAAAATTATTCCCTTTATCATCGAGAAACAAATTAATTAGCTTTTCTCGTTTTAAAAATAAATAAATTAATTTTTTATTTATTATGTTTAAATTAATATTATTTTATTTTTAAAAATATCATTTTTTTCTTATCAATCCTTCTAGTTTTTATTTATATTTTTTAAAGAAAAAAATTAAAATAAATAAAAAAGAAACAAAGATGATTAAGTTACCATCAAATTTAAAAATATAAGAATTAAATAATTAATTTTTAAAATTAAAAGAAACTAATTAATTCATTTTTAGAAACTAAAGGGAATAATTTATAATTTACTCCATGTTGAAGTGTCCCTAAGCTATTTGATGCCCAACACACCTATTATTCTCTTTGCACTACATTCGCAAATTAAATACCCAATATTCTCTTTGAAAATATGCTTAAGAGTTTTTTTTTTTTTGGTAATCATAGATAGATTTTAAAAATGGTTGTAGCTGAGAAAAAAAGTTTAAATGGCAAATTAAAACGACATTTGTGGCAAATTAAAAAAAAAAAAAGAAGGAAAATAGCATTTATACGTATAATGCACGGACCTCATCTCGCTCGACTTTGGGTCTCTTTTTTCTATCTCCAAAAATAGAAAAAAAAAAAGAAAACGAAAAGAATTTTAAATAGTATGATCCTTTATTAGAAAAAAACAGGGAAAAGACCAAAACAAAAGGCAAAGGGCACAAACACACCCGTAGAATATCTTGTTATACCGAGCCACTTTTGACATAATATTATATAATATTTTTTATTATTTGATTTTCCATGCAAACTAAATTAAAATGTCTTGAAATTGCATCAAAATTGGAATTCTGAATTAAATTAGATTTGGTTTTGAAAACTCAAATTTGAAAAAAAAGGTAAAAACTGAACAAAAATATAGCTTCGATTTGATTTTTCAATATAATTTGATTATCGCTCCTTTTTATGGTAGTAGATGTGATTAGTGAATTTGTTTTGTATATTATTATTATTTTAAATTCAATTCCATGTAAAAAATGTATGTGCAATACTTTTTTATTATTGCAAGTATATCAATCTAATTATTAATGAATTATCTAAGACCTACCCAAAGGGAATAATTAGGATATACTCGAGAACAACATTTTTCATTAGTGGAGGTGGGACAAAAAATCTAGTGATGAGCTGTCCTTTATATGCAGCAAACAATAATATAATAAAAGTTACCATTTTTAATCGAATTCATGTTTACCTATTTTAGTTTCAATACACAAATATATATATATATATATATATATATATATATATATATATATATATATATATATATATATATATATATTTGACTTAATATATACTTATTAAAAATACTTAATAGATACCGATATATGTAAAAGTAAAAAAAAAAAATACATATCCGATAATATAATTTTCTAATATAGACATTTATTCAATACTTTACTAATATTTATTATTTTTTATCAAAAAAAATCAATACGAAGAGATCTAATTGCATAAATTTTATAAAATAGAAAACAAAATATTATATATATAAAATTTGAATGTCAAAAAAACTTATAAATAAAGAATCAAATGTTAAAAAAAAATTAATTTCAAAGAAAAAATTACTTATTTTTGAAAATTACAAGAATCAAAATAATTTTTTTGATAAATTATTTTTAAGGAGTACTAAATGATATATGAATGAGTATGAGTTTAAAAATTAATTTTATAATAAGAATAAGATAAGGGATTGAATTAATGAACCTGATATCCAATATATTGCCATCACTAATTTTATTCTATATTTCTTACAATTAGGATTTAATAGATATTTTCTATTTAAAAAAGAAAAAGAAAAACACTCCCACATAAATACCTTGCTAGCCCTCCAAAAAAGAAAAAGAAAAAAAGGAAAAAAACTCTACTACTGCACCGAGAGCGTCCATACAAGACCCATCAAAGATATTTTTGTATTTCCGTCTAAAAAAACGGAACATTTCTTCTTCTTCCTCTACTTCTTCATCGTTTTTTAATATTAGGGTTTCTTCGTCCATTCGATCTTCTCCATACCACACGCATCCTTCTCTTCTCCAACCTTCCTTTCATCTCCTTCAATTATCTATCTCTCTCTACTTTCCTTTTCATTCTCAGGTTCGCTCTCCTGTTTCTCTCTGGAAATGGTTGAATTTTTAATCGGGTTTTTGGATTAGAGTTGTTGCATTTCAATTTTGATTGTTAATGAAGTAGATCAGGTTTTTTATTTTAGGTTTCTGCTTCGTTAGGGACAATTTTGTCTTAAAAATTTATTTTTAGTTGCATGTTTTGTTTGGAATATGATGATTGTGTTTTTGGTAGATTTGTTTGTCTCAGGAGCTTTTTTTGGTGGAATTTGAAGTTGAATTTGTTTCTCTTTTAATATAATTTTGTGCTTTTTGGATCAGATTGTGTTTGATTTTTAGTTTTTAGTTTTGTTGAAATTTCTGGTTGGATAAGCTTTTGTTTTCGGTTTAAATGTAGTAAAGGCCGAAGGTTTGATATACTGGAGTTTTGTAAAAAAGTTTGTTTGAGGAATTTAATTTTGGTGAAATTTGGAGTTGAATTCAGTTTCGTGGTGTTTAGAAAAAAGGAATTTCGAATTAGAGTTTTCACGTTTTGTTGATTTTGTTAAATTTGTCATATTTTTCTCGTTGCTTCGGCTGCTGCTGCTGTTGTTGACTTAATGTAATGATTTAATGCTTTGAACATTGAGAATTTGATAGATTTATGGTTTGGTCAGGGCTTAAACTGAAGTGGTGATATCAAAAAAGAAAATTGCATAAGTTTGATTCGTGGGAATTGAAGTTTGGTTCGTTCAGAAAGGGAATTGGGTATTGGAGTTTTTGCATTTTGGTGAAAAATTGTGATGAATAAGAAGAATTCATGGGCAGATTTGGCTGCGAATTCTGCAGCTGAGAATGCATATGCTGGTTCTTCTGCTAACAATGGAAGTGTAGGTACTACTTCTGCAGCTGCCCCTTCCCGATCCACATACGTCCCTCCTCATCTCCGCAACCGTGCACCATCCTCTGACCCACCAGTGGCTGCCTACAGTGGGCCTGCATCAAGTTACGATCGTTCTGGGTATGGTGGTGGTTCTCGCTGGGGGGCTCCAAGGAATGACTACCGTGGTGGGCATGGTAGTGGTGGTGGGAGAGTTGGTGGGTGGGGAAATAGAGGTGGTTGGGATCGTGGGAGAGAGCGGGAAGTGAATCCTTTTGGAGATGATGATGAAACAGAGGAGCCATTTAGTGAGCAAGAGAATACTGGCATTAATTTTGATGCATATGAGGATATTCCAGTCGAGACAAGTGGGAACAATGTGCCACCACCTGTAAATACCTTTGCGGAGATTGATTTGGGTGACGCGTTGAATCACAACATCCGTAGGTGCAAGTATGTGAAGCCCACACCCGTGCAACGACATGCCATTCCAATCTCTCTTTCAGGTCGGGACTTGATGGCCTGTGCCCAGACTGGTTCTGGGAAAACTGCTGCTTTCTGTTTCCCGATTATTAGTGGAATTATGAAAATGCAAGGTCAGAGTGCACAAAGGCCGCCTCGTGGAGCACGTACTGTGTACCCACTAGCTCTTATTCTTTCTCCAACCAGAGAGCTTTCCATGCAGGTGGGTTTTGTTCACTGACAATTCATATGATATGCTTCTGACTTTGCTATTTATTTTGAGGAAATCTAATATGCTGCAGTTATGATTGCAGATACATGAGGAAGCTAGGAAATTCTCATATCAAACTGGTGTTAAAGTGGTTGTTGCTTATGGAGGAGCGCCGATTCACCAACAGGTTCTGTATTGCTCTCTCTATCTCTCTCTTCTCAGTTGGTGGTTGGTGCTTACTATTTTTTAATTTTTATAATTGAAACTGATTATGTTAGCTCCTGGCAACATTCCTTGATTGGTGGTTATACTTTTGAATATTGTCAGCTGGACTTGAAATTGTGGGGCTGGAACCATACTTTTTACCCTTTTCCTTTGTGAAATTAAACAATGGCCTCTTTTGGGAAGTCGGAGTTGGCTTCAGAATCTTGTTTTTTCCCCTTTGAGTGTGTACTTTTTCAAAGCTGATGTGTAATGTTTTTTATTGTCCAAGAGAAGCAATTTTATGGATACTTCCACTTCCCTGCTCCCCATGTGATACTGTCTCTTTACTTTGATTCTAGTGACCTAGCTGTGCCTTCATACCTTTTTTATATAGTCAACTAGAAGTCACATTTTCTGCTGTTGGGAAATAATCGATGCTGTACTGCTTTTAATACAATGCTATCTGGTAAAACATTGAATACAGGTATTAGATTCTGCTATCCAAGTAGCAACATGTCCTCGAATGGCTAGTTATCATTGTATGAGAATACATTTCTTGATCTTTGCTGTGCACCATAAAGAATTTAGTTGGCAGATTTTTTGTATGTGTAGATGCATCTGAATGCTGTCTCTTCTTCATGGATCTTCATCTTCCAAAATTGAACGGTCAGCTTGGTTAGATTACAGTCTGCCTTGTGGTAAGAGAAGGCTTCAATGGGCCAAAAGATTTTATAGAGACAATAGAAGTTATATCTTCAACAAAATTACTTTCACAGTTCACCAACCCCCTACTCTTCTTTTAATTAATCTCAGCTCTTAATTCCCTATCCCTTTCCCATGTTATTATGAAACATGAATACCAATATCCTTCCTAGTTTTGTCCTGTTCAATCCACCAACTGGGCATTCGAAAAGCTGATCTCCAAGCTGCTGGACAATCTGTGCGATTTATTTTCCACTGGTTCTTTTCTGTCAAAGAAAGAAAATAGAAGTTCCATTAATTCTTCACCTTCTCACCATCAGGCTTCATTGTTTTGCGACTACATCAAACTCCCATAGGCTCTGAACCCATTGATTCACGATAGTTGGCTCTGAACTGCCTACTTTTCAGGCCTTAGCCGTCCGCAGAACCATACAAAGATAGTTTGCCTAATCATGTTCAACAACAATTTATTGTGTTTTAATCTAATTGTTTATGCTCTCACGCTTTGGTGTTTAGTTGTTTACAAGAGTTGGAATTATGCTAGCTTACTGTTCCCCAAAGCCAAGTATTTTCAAGAACTTTTAAAATGCTATTCAAAATTTTAGAATGGATGCAAGTCAATGTGCAACTTGGTGTTATATTTGTTGGAGGCCACCTCATCGAACGCTGGGTTGATGTTGATTTTTTATCATCTTGGTACAGTAGTTCATGTTGAATTATAATTTATAATCAAGCAGTAATACCTTCCTGTTATGCATGTGCATTGTTTCCTCTGCTATTTGCAGAGTTATGCTTCAGCCTTGTTTTGTGTGGCAAGTTTGTGATGGGAATCTCAACTTTTAGTCCTGTGCATGCAATCGTGTTGCATGGTGATATTAAGTTTGCTGCCTTCCACTGTAATTCTAATTTTTACCTTTGATATTTATGTGGTCAGCTGCGGGAACTGGAGAGAGGTGTTGATATTCTGGTGGCAACTCCAGGAAGATTGGTAGATTTGTTGGAGAGGGCTAGAGTTTCATTGCAGATGATCAAGTATTTGGCCTTAGATGAGGCAGATCGGATGCTGGATATGGGTTTTGAGCCTCAAATAAGGAAAATTGTGGAACAAATGGACATGCCTCCACCTGGTTTAAGGCAGACAATGCTGTTCAGTGCTACATTTCCAAAAGAGATACAGGTCTGTTTTCTTTTCCACAAGTTTCTTTTAGAAGGAGAATGCCCCCGTATCTAGTTTGAAAGATCCTAATGCTTTTATGGCGTTTGTATAGAAACATTCCTAGATTAAGTTCCCCTTTATTTTGCATGGTAGCAGATGTGCGAAATAATTAGAAGTATATATGTTTTGACTTCCTTTGAATACCCCAAGTGTATAGAAGGCGGTGACTATCTTTGACACCCTGATTGATATAATTGCCTTGCTGATACGAAAAAGGTTTCTTTCAGTTAATATTGCATTGCATTTAATGACCAAAAAACAGAAACCTTGCTGGTGCTGATTTTCTGAAATTTGTTTGAAAATCCCCATAATTACATCTGTGTAAGCTAATAGGTGTAATATCCATGAAATAGCAAACCTGTAATGCTACAAAGCTCCTCTTCTGGTCTTGTATACTGCATCCATTTTTGACATGTAGTGAGGCAGAATTTGGTTTGAGATATAGATGATGCACCTTGGATATGTGTCAAGGATTTGCTCATTATACTTAAAATTATATCCTAGTAATAAATTCCCCCTTTTGTTGCTATGCAGAGACTAGCTTCTGACTTTTTGGCATCTTACATCTTTTTGGCTGTTGGACGAGTGGGCTCAAGTACAGATTTGATTGTCCAAAGAGTTGAATTTGTTCACGAGTCTGACAAAAGAAGTCACCTCATGGACCTTCTTCATGCACAGCGGGCAAATGGTGTTCAGGCCAAGGTATTACTGGCAAAAGCAATGATTGCTCCCCAACTCCTGCTGCTACTAGATGATGGGGGATGTTTTGACTTGTTAATGGCATGCCCTGATATATCCTAGATGAGCCTTTTTCATGGATAAACAATTATTAGAAACTTCTTGTTCCTTGTTAGTTTTCTGGTTCTTGAATCTTGATATATCTGCTGTTTACTGTTGCATATCTTATGTAATATTTCAGCAATCTTTGACATTAGTATTTGTGGAGACTAAGAAGGGTGCTGATTCACTTGAGCATTGGCTATGCATTAACGGTTTCCCTGCTACTAGTATACATGGTGATAGATCACAACAGGTATTCTTTTTCTTCATTGCTGTAGGTATTCTTTCACACATATCTATTTCAATTCGAACATATTATCTCATGGTTTTGATTTTGATTGCTGAAATCTTTGATTGGGACCTTTCTATAACTGTTGGTCATGTGAAGGGATTAGCTGGGTAATCAATGATTTCCAGTGATATCCTTATATTAACAAAGATTAAATGAAAACAAGAAAGATTGCAAAAGAAGACTTCTTTCTAGAGCACTAAAAAATGTCATAGGATTATGCGGTCTGGAAATTTTCTTTATTTTGGATCACATAGTATTCATTGCCAGCTGATTTTGCCATTTTTCTGTTCGTAACTTTGCCTATTTACTTGTATTTGATAGTGGGGATTGTTACTCTTGACCAATTTAGATCATCCATAAGTGCCAAGTTCCTAGATAGTTACAAGATGGAAGTTATAGTGAGACAAATCGAATGACTGAAAGAATTTGGTAAAGTTTGGTTTGTGAAAGATTCTCGTTTGTCAACGAAAGTATGAGAGAAAGTGTTTGTTGGACAGAATTTGGAGGACATTTTCTGGAAATGAAGGTGGCAGACTGTTACCTCTGAATTAGGTGGTTCAGGACAGAATTTTCTAATGTTTTTGTTTGTTTGGGGGAAGGGGCAGTTGGTGTCTGTCTGGCATTGCCAGGGTTTGCTACTGACAGTTTTAGACTTATAGCAACTGGCGTGTGGGGGATGCATGTGATTTCCTAAGAATCCACTTACAGAAATCCCACATTTCCTGTATCAGCAGAAAAAGGAGTGATCCATCAGTTTTGAGATTGATCTCTGCATTTCCCCTCCTTTTCCAAAATTATTTTTTAGCCTTCTGTTTTCTTCTGTCTTTTTTGGGATAAAAAGGCTGCTGGGGGGGGGGGGGGGGGCAATAGCAGTAGCATATCAGACTGCTTTTGGGAATGAAATAAGTTTGATTCCTAGGTATACCCATGTTATCTCTATTCTTGGATGCTGATGGCTATGTTATCTTTTTTCTGATTTTGTACATTCATTATTGGATTATTACATATTCAAAGTTATTGTTATATTTATAATGCAATACTCTGTTAAATTTATTTCTAAATCATCCAGGAAAGAGAACAGGCATTGCGCTCATTTAAAACTGGCAACACTCCTATCTTGGTGGCAACTGATGTTGCAGCACGTGGTCTTGATATACCTCATGTTGCACATGTGGTGAACTTTGATCTCCCAAATGATATTGATGATTACGTCCATCGTATCGGACGTACTGGACGTGCTGGAAAATCTGGTCTGGCGACCGCCTTCTTCAATGAGGGCAATGCATCAATGGCAAGGTCATTATCTGAACTAATGCAGGAAGCAAATCAAGAAGTACCTGCTTGGCTCTCTCGATATGCAGCTCGTGCTACTTTTGGTGGAGGGAAGAACCGTCGTTCTGGGGGAGGTCGATTTGGTGGCCGTGACTTTCGAAGGGATTCGTCTTTCAGCAGGGGCAATTCAGATTATTATGGTGGAGGAAGCAGTGGCGGATATGGAGGGGCTTCGGGTGGTGGGTATGGTGGTGGAGGTTACGGTGGTGGAGGCTATGGTCCTGGGGCGACCAGTGCCTGGGATTAAACAATTGAACATTTTAAGCATTTACAGGACTTAATGTCTAGTGGTTGTGGGCATCTCCCTTCTTTCACAGGGGGCATTTTCTCATTTTTGTCGCGTCTTTTAGTTAGTTATCTCTAGTCGTCATCATTACTATACTCGTAGAAGTAACTATCATTGAGCGGGGGATGTAAGTTTGGGGTTGGTGCTCTGCAGGAGTAGAACTGTATAATGTTTGGTAGTTTTTGGTGAAAAAAGTTCTAACAGAGTAGGTATTACTTGTTGCTGGTCTTTTTTCCTTTTTCTCTTGGCTGTAAACTTGGTTGGGTGTTGATGGGTTGTAGAATATGTGGTGGGAGAGAGGGCATAGGGTTTCTTTTCGGCCATTTCTGTGTTAATCTCTTAGGCATGTTCTTTTCGACCCGATTTGAGGGGGTGTATTATTGAGGCATCTAGTCCTGCTGCTTCTCCAGTTTATCTTCTTCCCCATTGAAAGGAGTTTTTAAAAAAGCTTTTGTAATATTTTGGTTGTAACTGACATAATCACAAAGCTTTCTTGGATCCTGAATATTTTGCTATACTTGAAATCTCCCTTATTGAAATTTATTATTCCACTTATTACCTTAAATTACATCGTTTAGCTGTTTTCTTTTTCCCCTTTTTGGTTTAGGACTGATGTCAAGTTGTCAGCCTAAAACAGATAAATGAGGTTGCCTAAATTTTTTATGAGACGAAACTCTCAAGATATGAATTATATGTCGTCATGTGTAACTGACCATACAGGAAAGTAAAGAGGAGAGAAGAAAAATAAACTCCAGTTTGAGGTATTGTTTAGGTCATGTGTAAGACGGGTCCAAAACGGAGAAGATGGAGCAGTTGTGTTTTTGTTATTTAGAGGAGAAGAGAAGGAGACCCACGGAAATTTTGGTACATAAGAATACAGATGACGGTCATCATGTGTAGACTGTTATTTGTTATTGTCTTTTTGACATATGTAGATGAGCCAAAAGGGCAAGTACACCAACATGTGTTCATGATTACATCAGTGACCACTGTATTTCTCTCCTTAAGACAAGACAAGGTTAGGGTTTGGTATATTGAGTGATTAAACAAGATAGGGTTAGGGTTTGGTATAACTTTATTTGTATGAATCTGCATTTGGAAGAAGTAGAAAAAAAAAATAGTGATGGTTTGTTTCTTCGTTTATATTATTATGTCTCTAGAATGGATGATTTTATATGAAGAATATTTGGTGTGCATAGAGGATAAGATAAATAATAATTTTCAATGGAGCAACTTTATCTTATGGAGTTTTGTCAAATCTTATTCGGATGAACCATGAAGAAGTGCTAATAATTACATGTTTCTTATCCCATGCTCCACATTAAGAAATGGTCAAAATGAGAATGATGTTGAAAGTTATGAAATTATATGTTAGTATGACTATGACTCCATTGCAAAATATCATTGCTAAACGAATTGAAGCAGCCAATTAGGCAAGCATGGACGAATCAACTACGAGTGACCGGTTGACAAAATGCTTGACATCATGCAAAGAAACTTGATGCCAAATTACCTTCATTTTCAAAATAACTTGAAGAAAAAAGAAAGTTCTTTTCATTGTATAATTAACTTAACTATGGAGTCCAAGAAAATCCATATTGTGTAGCAAGTCCTCACCACCAACTAACTTAGATTAAAAAAGGTTTAATATTTCAAAAAATCACGAACTATACATATTTTAATGATTTTAACTCGTTTTTTAAAAAATTATATAGAAAGATCACCAATTAAGCATTCGACAAAAACACTAGCACCGATCCGATTTTGCAACCAAAATTTTGATCAATGCTAATATAGTAGGTGATGAAACATGACTCATGGGCTTTAACAAGTCACGTAATTGATTTTTTACGTCGTCGCTTACGTGGATCCCGCATGGTTTGCTAAAGTCCATGTGTCATGCTTATGTGTACGTGGATTGTCATGTCGGCATTGATCGAAATTTTTGATCAAAAAATAAGATCGGTGCTAGTATTGTTATCGAAGGCTCAATTGGTGAGCTTTCTAGACAATTTTTAAAGAATCAATATTAAAAAGTGTATAGTTCATGATTTTTTGAAACATTAAGTCATTAATAAATGATTAATAAGATTGGTTTCAGTAATTAATGATGATGACAATATAGAAAATTATGCCCTTTCTATAAATTATGACACTTATTGGAATGGTTGCCCAATTTGTAAGGGAAATAGATGTTCTTTTAAATTTGTTAATATTTCAAATTACCTAATATTTTCGGATTCGCTTGCGTAAAAAAATGAAATAAAATAAACATGACATTTAGATAAAAACAGTAGATTCAAGTTAAAGGTTTCGAAGACAATTACCCATCATTAATGCATTTGGTTACAAGCAATTGATGACAGGCTTGAGGAAAGAAATTGTATACCTCAAAAAGGATGATTTTCTACACTCACTTTTAGCCAATAATGGGCGGTTGAGACTTGAGTAGATCAAAACAATGGGCATTCCTGGTGCCAGCTCTTGATTTCCAAGGAAAGTCTAACAAGTCTTAAATTTGATTAAGATGAATCACATATAAAGAAACGTATTTAGCGGCATCACAGTGATATATATCATTTTCAAAAATAGAAAGCTTTTGAAAATAAATTTAAAAAGTAAAAAAATTAAATAATATAATATCCCATTAAAAATTATTTATCTTTTTTCCTTTCATTGTATTTCTCCAAAAACATAAAATCCTTATAAAATTATAGTGTTTTTTTTTTTACATCATTGGTGTCATAAAAAAAATGGTAATGCATTTTGAAGAAGTTGCAGGTTTGCAAGGTCTCTTAGGGTTGGTATGGAAGCACTTACGAGCCATTAATGAAGAAAATTCAGTCAACCATTCATTTGAAATATATCCCTCTCTGCATCCACATTCGATTCTCTATAGTTACTTTTTATCATCATTTCTTGGTCACCAATGTTGTCTTTATGACATAGATCTACACATTTTTTTGCTTTTTTGTTAGCCCAAGAACCCTAAATTATGCTTACATCATAGTCAATTTCTTTTCTTTTTTCTTTACCCTAAATCCAACTTTTTCATGAACTAAAGAGAATTGGAATTTTCAATAAAAAATAAAAAGGCAACCTTCTTTATAAATAAATGAGTATTCTTCAGTTTAGTTCATTAAATATCTTTTATAATCATTGTCAAGATTTTTAATCCCATAATTAATTGGCACACAAGTGGTGGATGAACATACTTAATTTGTTCAAACAAAATGTTAGTATCTCATCAATGAAAGAACAATTACATCTTCAATACCATAGACTTTGGGTAGATGAGGTATTGATTTGAAAAAAATAAATTCTAGAAAGGTGTATGATTCTCCATTAATCCTTTGAGAATGATGGATCCCAATTCTCTTACCATCAAAAAACTGTGCCCCTGAAAATGGGGTTTGACCCATACATGGAGTAATTGAGTAAGCAATGACAAGACCACACTAATAGTCCTTTGTCTTCTCTCTCTGTCTCTCTTTTCTATAGGGCTGAAAAAATGAAAATCTTTGAAATCTAACAACAATAAATAAATAAGTAGAAGTTTTTGTCAAACTTGACTATTAAATGATAAGTAAATTTGTTTCACATGTAACCACTTGAGTTTAAGCTAAACAACTGTTGTAAGAAAGTAATTTTTTAGAAAGATTGTGTTAGATATGAAGAAAAATAAGAAGAAAAAAACTTTAAAAATGCACAGAGTTATTGGATTAGATATCATGATATTAATAATATGTTTTAAATTAATTTCAAAATATAAAAAATGTCCCAAAGTAATCTAATTTATAGAAGAAGAAGAAGAAGAAGAAGAAGTGAAATCTAAAAAAAAAAAAATCCTTAAAAACAAATAGATGTAAGAATTTGCATTAAATAAAAAAGGAAAATCAACTCTTTGTTAAGACAATAGTCACGAACCCCATGTACATTAAAGAAGTTGTTGAACCCAATGGGACCAGCTGTTTATGTAAGTAAGAGAAAAAAACTCTCACTGTGGTCTGGAGAGAGAGAGAGAGAGAGTTGATTTTTAGACAGAGAAAGTGTGAGTCTTTAGAGAGAGAAAGAGTTGCTCTCATGTTTTGTTAGCTACAACGAAGGTTGTCACCTGTTCCTTTGGTTGCATTTGTTAGAGGCTGAAAAAAGACGACAATATCAGCAACAAAACACAAAGCTCTTTGTTCTCTCTGTTTGGTGTCAGATTTGACTCTCGAATCTCTCAATTTTGGCTATCTTGATCTGCTTGCTCTCATAAAGGAGCTCTCTTTTCTTTAAAGCTCTAATCTTTCTATGAATCTCTGATGCAAAAGATGGAACCTCATCAGTCATCAAATGGTCCAAGAGGGTTTAGAGTTCAAGCTCCACTAGTAAGCACACTTGATCTTTTTAATGTCTTTTATTATTGTTTGTTTTTGCTGCTTTTGAAGAATTTCTGAGATTTTTAAGATGCCCAGTTGGTGAATTGGTGATAAATGTGGACTTTGAGGGAATTGTTTGGATTGTGATGTTTGGTAATTGGTTGGTTCTGTCTGTGTTTGCGTTTTGTTTGCTGGGTTTTTGCTTTTATGGTGTTTAGAAGATACCCAGATAGAATGGCTTGTTATTTTTGTGATTTGAAGAAAATTTTGGTCGGGGGTTGTTCTTGGTAGGCATGTGTGGTTTAGTATTTGGTTGCTTGCATTTTTTTGGTTATTGGGTTTTTGCTTCATTGCTTTTGATGACACCTAGATGAAAATGGCTTGCTAATTATGCTACTTTGAGAAAATTTCTTGGAATCTTAGGGCTTACATGTTTGAGAATATGTTTGTTTTTGATCAATTTGTTTTTATTCGTTTATTCCTTGTTTGAGTTTTTATACATGCCATGATCCAATTCTATCAACAAATAAGGAATTTTTATATGGCAAATGTTGAATTTTAAGAGCATGCGTTTAGGAACCCTGCACACCTTGTTTGAGTTCCCTTGTGAGGTACTCAATGTTGAGTGTCTCTGTTTTATTAATTCAGGCAGTGTTTATTAAGTTTACTGTGCAAAATGATTACTACTGTATTTCAGTGTTGAATGTTGCTTTTAAGTTTTGAATGATGATTTTGGAAGATGTTTCAGATGGAAAGTGCAATTTGTTGGCGTTTAGAATGGATATAAGCTTATAAATGTGAAAATTTTGGGAGAACACAGCCATAATGTAGGATTTGTTGTAAATGTGTTTTGTCTGAACTCTTTTCAATGTTTGAATAATTTGGGGACTAGCTATAGGTCTACCCTCACCTACTTGCTGGGTTGTTTTCATTCTTGGAGATGTCAATGAGAAATTGCCTCGAACTCAGGGCATACTTCAAGGACAACAATGGTTATCAGGAAGTCAACAGTGCTTGATTGTTGGTGACCAAATTCAGACTCTTTATGTTTGATACAATTTCATCTCTATCCATATCAATTAATTTATATTTATAATGGCAAAGGATGAACAAGAGCCACATCCTTTTCTGACCTCAAAAATGTCACTTGAAAGGGCTCCGTCAAGATCTGTCCACTAAAAAATCTCAACGCTTGAACTCAAATGGATAGTTGATAAACTTTAAGAAAATGGTTCACCAAATGGAAATTTGTAGTTATGTGCTGAATCTCTTACTCTGCCCATTTGAGAAATGTCCAAACTCTCTTTCTCCATGAAATCTGAAAAGAAAGCTAATAAAGCAACTTTTCGACATAATGCAACCTACTGTCACATTGTTGATCTATCTGCTTGGGTAGATTGCAATGGGCTGTGTGAAATCTAGCTAAAGCCACATAAGACCGAAGGCCTTCATGTGAACATATCTGACATTCTGATAAAATTAGATGTGTGGAAATACATGAAATGATCAGATAAGATATGAGTACATTCAAATGAAGGTGTAGGTGGCATCCATTGAGGATAATTTGAGGGATCATTTCCGTATTAGATGCAGACTTATGGAGGCCCCAGTGCAAATCACTGATTGGATTTACATATAAGGAGTAGACGAGTTAGGTAAGCTGGAAATGGCGTGAATTGAAATGGTAAAAGAAGGATTTAATATCACACGAATCCACATAAAAATGGCTGTATAAAGAACAAAATGGAAGAAAAAGATTGGGATTACGCATAAGCTTATCTGGTTTGGGATTAAGATTTTCTGGAGATGTATTGAATTATATCTTTCAAAGGCAAATGTCTGTGGTGATCTACAACCTCTTGTGGGAGGGAAAACTTTAGATGAAGCAAAAATTGTTTCTCCACGTGTTAATCCTCCTTATGGCCACTAATGTTATAATTCTGGCATCGAGACTTTTCTTATTGCTGGTGTGATTAAATGATGCTTGTAAAGAGATCTTTAGTACAGCCTTCTGATGTTAAGTAAATTACCCGCTTTTCCAGTTTGTGAATGATTTCATCCATTATCTGAGATCCATATCCAAATGTTTAGTGTGAGTAAGTATAATCATGAAGCAGGAATAACAACATATATCTCTGCAGAATTTGCTTATATACAAAACTTTTTTTTGCATTCTAACATGGATTGTTTTGCAGGTCGATTCTGTATCATGTTATTGCAAAGTAGATTCTGGTTTAAAAACAGTTGCCGAGGCAAGGAAGTTTGTCCCAGGATCAAAACTTTGTATCCAGCCTGATATCAATCCTAATGCACACAAGAGCAAAACCTCACGCAGAGAGAGGACCCGAGTCCAGCCACCACTTCTGCCTGGTCTTCCTGATGATCTGGCCATTGCATGTCTGATTCGAGTTCCTCGAGCTGAACATCGAAAGCTCCGTCTAGTTTGTAAGAGATGGTACCGCCTTCTTGCTGGAAATTTCTTTTATTCTCTTAGGAAAAGTCTTGGAATGGCAGAGGAGTGGGTTTATGTCATCAAGAGAGACCGTGATGGAAAGATCTCATGGAATGCTTTTGATCCTGTCTATCAGATCTGGCAACCACTTCCACCAGTTCCTCGTGAATATTCTGGGGCCCTTGGTTTTGGTTGTGCTGTTCTAAGTGGTTGTCACCTATACTTATTTGGAGGAAAGGATCCGCTTAGGGGGTCTATGAGACGAGTCATTTTCTACAGTGCCCGGACAAATAAATGGCATAGGGCACCGGATATGCTTCGTAAGCGTCATTTCTTTGGTTCTTGTGTCATAAATAACTGCCTATATGTGGCTGGTGGAGAGTGTGAAGGGATCCAAAGGACTCTCCGCTCAGCTGAGGTTTATGACCCTAACAAGAACCGGTGGAGCTTTATTTCAGATATGAGCACGGCTATGGTGCCTTTCATAGGCGTGGTTTATGATGGAAAGTGGTTTCTAAAAGGCCTTGGGTCCCACCGTGAGGTGATGAGTGAAGCCTACGATCCAGAAACTAGTACCTGGACCCCAATCAGGGATGGGATGGTTGCTGGTTGGCGCAATCCTAGCATCAGTTTGGATGGACGTCTCTATGCCTTGGATTGCCGGGATGGCTGCAAGCTTAGGGTTTATGATGAAGCCTCAGATACGTGGAACAAATTTATAGATAGTAAGCTCCATCTAGGGAGTTCTCATGCTATGGAGGCAGCTGCTCTTGTTCCTCTCAATGGGAAGCTTTGCATTGTCCGGAACAACATGAGTGTTAGCCTGGTTGATGTTTCCAGTCCTGACAAACGCGTAGAGAGTAACCCTCACCTTTGGGAGAATATAGCCGGGAGAGGTAATCTCAGGACTCTCGTTACAAATTTATGGTCAAGTATAGCCGGCCGAGGTGGTTTGAAAAGTCACATTGTGCACTGTCAGGTGCTTCAAGCATGAGAACCAGATGCATTTTTGCTTTTGCTCGCTGTAGACTTTCAGCATTTCCTTCAATTTATCATGATAGATCATCACAGTCGCAGTTCACTGATCATTAGGGTCTGCTCGTCCTAAACCAGAAAGCTGCCTATACTCTGTCAATGTTCTGCTATTTATACTTCTGCCAAAGTTGAATCAACAGTCATCTGTCTTGGGTTTGTTTCTGATGTTCTCACAACATGTGGTGAGATTTGAAATTGAAGGTGGATGAGCTTAAAATATCCAATGACATGGATGAACGGGAATCATCATTCACATCTAAGATCGATACAGGAACTGGTGGTGCTTTTTTGTGATGTACAACGCAGACAAATAGGAATTAAGAGCAATTCACTGTCGGTATGAGTTCATTTCCTTGCATTTATGAAGGGAGAGAGCAGATACTTGTAAATCTAAGTCTTCTAGGACCAAGTCCCTTTCGTCGTGGGATCTTTCCTTGTAGCATGTAATCTTTAGTATGCTTTGTGAGTGTACATGGGGCTATCTGGAACAAGTCAATGTATACTTAGATTACATCTCAATTGCTATCGATCAACTATGCTACCCATTTGTTCTGTTACTTTAAAGATGGATCTTATTCACACCGTCAACTGCATTGTATATTGTTAGCCTTCAACAAATTAACTTATCATAGAAACTGGTCAGCTAATACTTTCAGTTCTGCCATTACTGTTCTATTAGGTGCTGGTTTAGATCAAATAGGACCTGAAAAATTGGGATGGAAAGCATAGTAGCGTGAAGTCTGTTACATTAAGAACTAGAGATGATTTCATATCTTCATCTGCATAGCTTATATTCATTTACCAATACTGATACATTGCATAATGCAAGAACATTTCCTGTACGTCAAAGGCAAGTACAGTTTAAGCTCCTTGCGGCATCGTCTTCGTATCGATCATTGAATCGTGGTGCTGAATTTGGAGACGATTACGGAAGTTCTTGATGAAAGTGTCTGCCAGGTCATTGACGTCTCCTCTCTTATCCTCTGTCATCGATTGCCTGCCTGCACTCCCTTTCCTGTTTCCATCACTCCCCTTGTTGATTTTATTGCTGCCGAGAGTAGGAATCTCACTATCATGCTCCATTATAGTTCAAGCTTAAAGGGAGAGAGAGAGGGAGAGAGAAGAGAGGCTGAAGGAGATGTTCTTGCTAAAAGAGCTTCTGTCTTGTGACGATAAACATAATGAAGAATTACATCCTTTTTATAGGTAAATCTAACTCAGAAACGTGAGTTTTGCTTGTATAATTACTGGAAAAGACGAAGGGTAGAGAAGTCTCAATGTTCTATATTCTCATTCCTCGGCTAAAATAACTGCAAGAAAAGCCAACATTGTCACCATATTTGGTTGCCCACTAGCTGGAAAAATATAAAGAGAGAGATTCTTTACTCTGTGTAATCACTTTTCGTAAAGAAGATTGGTCATAATTCTTTTAGCGGAACTTTTAAATTCTTACGTGTGGATAATGACAGACCAATAACGTAATTAGGGCCAAAATCACTAGTTAAACTTGCTCTCTAACAATCAAATTACTAATATGATTTGATTTTTCAGTTGTGCTTGGGTATAAAGAAGAATTGGTTGCCCTCTCAAGAGATATTTATCCCATTTTCATATAGTAAATCAGTTGCGGTTGTAAATTGTAAATTATTGCGATAATAAACGAACAATTACGGCAATTGATGTCGTAAATGCATTAGCTTGTTAACAATTATTAATAAATTTATTTTAATTTACATATTTTTAAAATTTTTATTAATAAAATATAATAATATCGTACAACAATAGTTGAATTTATTATAAAACAATAATAATAATATTTCTAATAGTTTAATGTCACACAAATAATAGTAATAAAATATATAAAAATTATTAATAGTTGCTATTCGTCAAATAACGACGTTACATAAAGATGATTATATATAAATATATTATTTGTGTAAAACGTCGAGATGACGGATATGATTTCCGTTATATAATAACCGTTATTTAAAAGCATTCGTCTTATTATTCTCATGGCCTAGTGATTGATTTTGTCCTAAAAAAGTGTTTTTTGGAGAGAAAGAGAGCAGAATAAGCTTCCTACGCTTTCGACTCCTGATTGACGTAGGATATTGCATATCATCAGTTCCTGCAGGTTGTAGAGAGCATTTTGATTCCCATGACAAATCACGATTCGCTTATTTGAGGGAATCTTATAAATCAAATGACATGATTTTTCAATCTTGGATCATGAGAAACAACTGTTCTCCGTTTTGTTTTGGCATGAAAACACATATTATTTTTTTACTTTAGGCCAAAAGGAATGTTAGGAAATGTTCCAATGATTCTCTCATATGGTTATATTTAGTTGAGAAAATGCTTTCTAACAAATGAAACTTCAGAGGTCAAAGACAGAGACCAATCCAATCATCTCTTTTCTACAAATTGATGTTGCCAAGAAAAATCCTGAGCTTGAAAATGAAACTGGAAAGTTGGAGCACATGAAAGCAACAGAAAGAATAAACAAAAACCCTAAAGACAGAAACAAAACAGATCCAGGAAAAGCCAAAACGAGCCTGCAGAATATAAACAAAGAATCTTGAAGAAAAGTTGCTCACATCACTAATTAGACAAGAATAGGAGGGGACAAATTAAGCATCATATCTGCAGCAGCCAGAATAGAATAAAGCACCTTTAGCTGTAAGCCATGCTTCATCTTTCTGCCTATAGACATAAACACCTGACAAATCTCTTACAATGTTCCTAGTCTCGCCATTTTTGGACATTTTACAACTTTTTAGATTGATGTGATGCCCTCCTTACATTATCAGAAAGACTTGGCAAAGAAGCATCAAAGGTACTGTAAAATATTTCCTTCATAAAACATTATTACAATTACATTTCATCTTTCAATAGAAATTTTTCCAATTCATCCTGACATACCACACGGGCACACATCTAAAATTTTCAAACACCCCTGGAGATCATCTCCTGGAAACGTTTCAGCGAATCTTCGCGCTGAATCTTTAGTTGATTGCGAAAGTTCTTAATAAAAGCATCAGCCTTTTCATTTACCTCTTCCTTGCTTTCTTCCACAAACCGGTTTCGCACCCTTGTTTTCCTCCTTTCATCACTTTCCTTGTCATCGAAGTTAATTGGACCATCATGCTTAGCAGCTTCTTTATGATGTTCCATCTAGTTTTCTTGCTGAAGGGAAAGATAGGCAAAGGGAGAGATTTGCTTGAGGATTAATTCCTTGTGTGATTTGTAAAAGAAAGAGCATAATCTTGGATTTATAGGCACAGAAATCTAAACTTTGAAGCGTGTTTTTGACATGGGTCAAAGCAAAAGGAAACTCCAATGAAGTTTAATAAAAGGTTTTAGATTTGCTTGATGACAACATGACAAGTGAGGAACAACAAAAGGGCTGCTTTGATTTAATTATTGGCAACGTTGTTTGTTTTTATTACTTTATGCTTTCTATGATCGTGTTCCATGTAGTATTATTAAGTATAAATTAGTCCCTCTAGTTTTGAGAAACTAATCAATTAGTCTCTTTATTTTAAAAAAAATTATTTAATTAGTTATTTTTATTCATTTTATGTTCTTTTCTAATTGATTTTTATTTTTTAAAAAATCGAAAGAGAAAACAATAAATAGATATTATGGAAAAATCAATGAAAAAAGAAGAGGCTTTATAAAATAAAATGATATTAAATTAAACTTAATCAAAAGACTGAATAATTATGTTTTGAAATAAAGGGAATTGATTAATTTATTTCTTGAAACTAGAAGGACTAATTTATAATTTACTCAGTATTATTCGGAATTTTTAATGAAGTAATGTTAAGGAATCACCTTGTGAGTTGCCAAGAAGGTGAGGATAAAGCAAAACCTTCTGTGCTTAATACGAAGGATCTTGTGATGAGAGAGAAAACAATGAAAGGCTTTGTTTTGATTTATTTATTGGAAAAGTTGATTTCATGCTTTCTATGCTCATTTTCCATAGAGCAATATTCCAAATTTTTAATGAGGTAGGGTTAAAGAATAAAGAATAAAGAATAAAGAATTTCCTTACGAAGAAGGTGAGGAAAGAGCAGAAGCTTAGTATTTTATTGGAGGAAACAAGCCAAAAAATAAATATAAAAGAGCCAATAATTTGAATTTTGTGCAAGTTGACTACGAAAAGCAGCCTTCCACCTTGTGAGAAACACCTTAATGCATATAATATTTTTTAACCCAAATTTATTATATTTATCACAAAATTTTGTTTATTTGACACAAAAATGAAAATATAAAATTTTTCCATCGTTATCCCTAGTGTTCCTTGTTGAGATGAAAAAAAAAAAAAAACCAAAATTTGCAACAAAATTTATATTCTAAAAAAATTCATAACAAAATTTATATTTCTATTTTTTAATCAAATTAAAATAAATAAACTATAATAGATTCTTTTTGAGATATTATAAAATTATAAATATGTTTTAAAAGTTTAAATATTTAACTAAAACTCCCTTCATATTTTTTTTTTAAAAAAATACTACATAGATTTCATTTTATACTAAAAATTTACTTACTAGCATAGAGATAAATTCAAAACTCATAAAGAATATTTTTGATAAAAAATATATTTATCTTCAATTTTTTTAGATAATTTTATTATTAAATATACATCATGAATCACATGATTTGCACGAACAAACAAATAGAAAGATTTCATGCATAAATCACACGAAGAATTCCGATAATTTAGCTTAAAAATCTTAATAAAATGTTAAATTGAAAACTATGCATCTTCAAAAATAAAATTAGAAATATAAAGGCCAGACTGATCCGTTAACCCAGCAAATTGACTGATTAATACTAATATTTATGACTTGTCTAGACGACTAGACCAAGGCCTTGTATGGATGTAATTCATGAAAGAGAGAACGAGCCCTCTCTAAAGATTTATAATGGGTTTCAGGCCCAGCTGTCTTAATAACAAAGGCCACGAAAATCCACTGCGGCCCAGCAAAACATGTTGCCCTTCCTTCATAAAGAAAAAGGACTAGCAAGGCCATGAAGATCAACCAGATTCTCTCTTTCGACCTGTATTTAAGACATGCCCTGATGGCCAAATCTCTATGTTTTGAACTACTATCTCATCTAACATAGTTTCTCTAATTTATGTCTATCCATATCATTCCTCAGCACAAGGTCAGCCCTGAGGTGAAAATAAAAGAGAGCATAAAATTCATATCATATATGTTGTTGAAGAGTATATATATTAACTGAACAATAAAGGGCAATCCATATTACATAAATTTGCTTCCATTTCTCAAAGATATAGATTAAGCTGGAGAACTTCAAAGTGAGCAGGCAAAACATGAGAAGATTTGGTCTGCTCCCACCTGCAAAAAGAACAAGAAACCATCTTACGTTGTCAAAAAACTTCGTAGAGTACGCTTACAAAATTAAACTGTTGGCTATTAATATCCATCATGCAACTTGTCAACACAAACTACAAACTAAGAATCCATTGTCAACTTCTTCACTCGAAAAACATTACACTTCTCCTTCCAGGTTGATCAAACTTCTAAATCGATCACAATTCTCGAAATTAAGTGTAAGGATCGGTGGTTGAGAATGTTAGGAAAAGAGGAAACAATACCTCTGCTCCTGTCAAGTTTCAATCATCAATACATATCACAATTGCCCATTAAAAGAAGGAATTGCTCATTACATTGTTCTGTAAAAAGTTTGCCTCATATCATATCACAGTAGCCACAAGAAACCTCCAAAATGTATAATATAGATTTGCTTGATGACCCTAATACACCAAGTGAAAATAACCATTTTTCCTCCCCTATTACAAGTATCAAGCTTCTTTTGTTTTCTCTAGTTTTGTGCTAATTTCTGTTCACAACTTGGTGAGAGTCGCACATTATTGCAACTATAGTGGAAGGAATTGATTCTTCTATACCATTTCGTTCACTCTCACCAAAAACTCTTGCCACTAAGAAGGGCAAATGCTTCAAACTCAAACCAGGATGAATAGTCCATATCACATCCTATCTATTAGTCCCAAAATCAAACTACAACTACTACAAAACAGCTTCTAAAATTTACTTTCAGAGCAAGTGACCATCACATTGTTTTATTGAAACCTAAAAGGAATCCATGCCTATTTGTAATACATCATGCCTAAAGATATCTATAGTTAAATTTTGAACTTCTAAATTGAAATTCATCGACTTTAATTAAAATGTCCCCGATTTTCATTGCTAATTCATTTACAAAAATCACCTTCATATGAAAAATCAAAATCTCTGAACCATCCACCCTGTTCAATGAAACTCAGAAGAATCAAACCAAAGAGGGAAAAAAAAAAAGCTGACAAATTAAAGTCAGTCAGATAACTGATCCGATCATAACAAAACACAAGAACCCATCAATTCAAACACCTCAAAAGGTGAAGAAATTTGCAGTTTTGTTGCTTGTTACATTGTGTTCAATAAAGTTTGTCTGAAATTATATCATGCTAATAGAAACTCCAACTATTAGATATCTTATTTGATGATTCTAACGAACCAACCAAAAAAAAAAAAATTAAGATTCCCTCCCTTGCTAAAGCAAGAACTTGTTTCATGCAAATAACTTGAAATAGACTTGGTGATAATTGTGCAATTATTAACGAATCGGGAAGGGATTGATCATTCCATAAATTTCCATCATTCTTACTGAGCTTTCTTGAAAGTCAGAAGGCCTAATAACAAGGTATATTTCATTTCCTGCAATTGCTGACCACCACAATTAGTTCATATTAGATCCTATCTATTAGTCCCAAAATCAATTCCTCAACTTCAACCCAAAATTCCCATCAATGTACTTTGCTAATTCACTTACAAACCATAATTTGACAGGAAAGTTAAACTCATGGACTCAAAGTATAAGGACCAGTATCATCAAACCCAAAAAAAAAAAAAAAACCCACACACACAAAATAAACTTAATCATCTCATATAAAAACACATAAAACCCAGAAATTCTAACAATTCAGAAAAACCACAAAGATCACACCTTTTTACCTTCACATGGACTCCAAATCTGTCCTTAGCCCACCAACCTTCCTCTTACAAGCAGGAACATCCTCAAACTGCTGAGCAGGCAACTCCTCAGAAACAGGACCTACAAAGAACTTAACCATACCAGCATCAGCCTTACTAACTTCAATCCCAGTAACTGGCAACCAAACAAAAAGCTTCTTTGCTTGAATCCCTGACACATCATGCACAGACCCATAACTCAACTTCCCTTTGATCTCTTTATCATAGTACACAACTTCGTCAAAGTGAACATAACATGGGGTCTTAAGTGAGACTTCAAAAGACCCATCAGATGATTGGAGTGTGTAGGATTCTACGTTGTCTGGAAGTAAGCCACGTGGCAGGCCATATTGAGAGAGAAGATCATGGATGTCTGAGGTGGTTAGGGCGAGAGAAAGTTGGGTTTTTGATAAGAGGAGGACAGAAAGAAGATGGAGAGAGATGGCGAGGATGTTAAAGGAAGCCATTGTTGATGCAGAGAGAGAGCAGGAGAGGTAGTAATTTAAGAGGGTTGTGAAGGGTACAATGGTAAGCGAATTTTATGTTGCGTGGCTCCGAGGAATTAAATATTAAACCGATTGGACTGGTGGGGGTGACGATAGAGATGGACAAGAAATCTACAAAGAGTTAATTACCAATTAGTCTATTTATTTCTAATAATAAAACAATTTAATCCTTATATTTTTTAAAAGTAAAATTTAGTCCTTTTACCATATTTGATTTTAATTTGTGGATTAACTTTGCACATCCAAACTTATTCCTCCTTAAAATCAGAAAAATATGTAAGAATAAAATACATAAAAAGGACAAAGGGTATATAGGTAAATAAATAAATAGATAATGAAATCATGGTCCAATAACGTTCACTAGTTAAAAAAACATACTTCCTCACATTTGACTTGCTATTTTTGACAGTAGCCAAAACTTGTTTACTTTGAATGCATCCTATAAATCTAAGTACATCCTTAAAATTATTTGAATCGTACGTTCAGATTGGATAAAGAAATAAAGAAAAATTATTTAGATCTAATAAAAAAATTAAAAAATTTAATATCAATTAACATATAAACTTAATCGAACGTATTTATTCAAATCGGATAAAGAAATAAAAAAAATTTATTTAAATCTGATAAAAAAAAATTTTAAAAATTAATCTCAATTAACATATAAACTTAGTCGAACGTATCTTTGACGGATCATATAGGGTGAATAGACTTCTCTTCTAAAAAACAAAATTCTTGGTTGAAAAACAGTTGATGGACTTTTATCGTGTCTGTTTCACATGAAAGAACAACTGATTAGTTAGGTTGTTATTATCAGCAGTTTACCGATTTGATTCCTTGAAGAGACATGACGATAAGCTGTCTGAAATATTTTGAACGGCTTCACAAAAAAAGAACAGGCTCCCAGAAATTTCCATCACAGCATTATATACAGGATCACTTATTTAGACCCTCTAATCATCCAAGTAATTAGGTAAAGATAGCTCATAAAACCCTAATTGTCATCCTGATATGCAGTTCACAGAATGTCAAAACGCCACGATCATAATTCTGAGCTCCACTACCTGCTTTCTTTACCGAATTCATTTGCCATCATAGCATTAGTTCTCTGGCATGCAATTTGACACGCACAAGAGAAATTGCCATCACTGGCTTGTGTCATCCAATAGCTACCACCACTACCATTGCTATGAAGTGCCACTTCCACTACCATTGCCATGAAGTGCCACTTCCACTGCTATGAAGTTCCTGCCTTCCTGGTGAAAGAGGCAACGCACCAGCCCTTCTCAGAAATACTATGTCCAGGGGGCGGTGCGAGTGAGTGCATGAACAGAGCTAGATGGAGCGGCCGCCACAGACGCGACTGCCTCTAGCAGTCCCCTTAGTCCTAAACAGCACAAAATACTATCCATATATATAGCCAATCCTTACGAAATAGGGCACATAAATTGAGCACAAACCATTCCATCCAATATCACAGCATCATAATCTGAAGCAGTTTCTTTTTATAACTTTCAATAGACACAGTTCAGACACTTAAGCTTAATATTACATTCGGAACTTGTTCAATACCTATATTACATACAACATTCCCCTGCTTATCGATGTTTCATAAAGCTCAATAAGCGGAGAGATACTCCACAACTAGTTTACATAAGACTCTGCCAGACTCTAGGTTTTGAGTCTTAGAGATAAAATACTAAAACTAGAATCTAGTTACTTAGATATCGAGCTCCCTCAGCTACATTTCCATACAGAAGGAGCACTTTCTACTCAGTGAGTAGCATCTCAACGTCATTGTTCGGAGCTGGGAGCTGCAAATTATTGAAAAAAAGAAAGCAAACAGCTTAGGATAAGGTCAAAAAAGGGAAACAGATATTGCCAAGAATTAATTCCTACTATACCAAGTAGCAGAGAGCATTTTACAAGCATATGCATTAGTGTCACATATTTATACACCAATAGAGATGCCATTGGAAAAATTAAGGTTTATAAGCCAAAAAGGAAGCTTCTCTAATCAACTATTGAAAGAGCAGAAATTCAAACAACCATCAATTTCACCAGAAAACAATTTCCTCATCCTTCATAAACCCTACCGTACTGGTTTAACATCATGATCTATAGACAGCTAATGATTTTGCATAATGTGACGTCCTCATTGATCATTAAACTCTCTAATACATGGAGGTTCAATAAAACTGGAAAACAGTCGATCATTCATACACAGTTATAGATCTAAAAGCTCGAAAGTCAAAAGTCGCCTTCTATACAAGCAAGATCATTTTAAAAGTTCCAAACTTGCTTCCTCCTCTTCTTGTGCTACTAAAGAGACATAGATCCAAACCATAACAATAGAAACGAGGGTTGACTTTCAATCATAGACACTATTCTACGATTGAACAATTCAAGTTTCATTCTTTCAATCTTTTAGTGGCATATTCTATGAATTCAATCTCAACAAAATTTCAATCAAACCAAAACAAAATTCACAGAGGAAACACAAAACCAGAAAACAAATCCAATAAACATAATTAAGAACAGTACACAAAAGACAACATCAATCTCAAATTCCAATAAGAAAAAAAAAACTACTTTTTTATCGAATCAAAAGATCAAACAAGCAAATCAATACCTCAAGGAACTGCTTCCATTTTCCACCACAAGACCCCGATGAGACACCAGCACGGCAAGAATGTACAGTATTAAACTGATCGACATCAAGCTTCTTATTAATCCACCCAACTTGAAAATAAATCGAGTCAGACGGTGGCAAATCAACCTTGATCTCATCAACATCAAGCCAAAGAAAGAGCTTTTGAACCTCAATCCCCTTTAAATTTGATATAGACCCATAAGTCAACTTCCCAGTTATTTTCTTGTCATAATAGACCAAGTAATCAAATTTAACATAACATTCCTTCTCTAAATAGACAGTAAAGCTACCATCATCAGAAAGACTGTAACTTGTAACTACGTTAGGTAATAGCCCACTTGGGAGGCCAAATTTTGGCAAGATTTCAAAGACTGTAGGAGAAGGGTCTTGTGAGAGAGTGGGTTTTGAGAGACAAAAGAAGAAAATTAGAGAGAAAAGAGTGAGACCTATATGAGAAATTGCCATGAGTTTTGAGTTTTTCTTGATAGGTTTTGGATTTGAGAGAGAGAGAGAAAGAGTTTCTTTGGAGAAAGAGAGGTAGTTGGTTCAAAGGATGTTGGGGAGTTATGTCCTGTGTGATGCCTGTGGATATCCTTTTAAAGTTTTTTTGTTTTTTTTTTTTTTTTATACACCAAATATAGATAAAGATGGTAAGAAAAAAAGTTTGTTTTGTTTTCTTGCCTTCCAAGATTTAGTAAATTATAAATTAATCTCTCTAATTTTTCTAAATAATTTAAATAGTCCTTTTAGTTTTAAAAACAAATTGACTAGTTTTTTATATTTTTAAATCTATTTGTATATTAATAATTTTTAAATCTATTTTTTCAGTTTATTTTTTTATTTAATAATAAAAATATGGATGTAAAAAGAAAACATTTTTCAGATAAAATAATATTAGTCAATTCTAATCAAGGAATTAATTAACTAGTTTTTAACATAAAAAACTATTTAATTTATTTTGTAAAACTAGAAGGACTGATTTATAATTTACTTGTTTGAAGGTAAGATGGTATGGAAGAATGGGTTGTGATTGGACGAACATGAACAAGTTTTGGTTTTTTTCTGGCAGTAAAAGACGTACAAGCCCTATCTCTTGGATTTCCTTTTTTTTTTTTTTTTTTTTTTTTTTGCTGGTTTTTAAAGTTATCTTAGATCTAGTAGGATATGCAAGTGATTTTTTTTTAACGGATAATATCAAAATTAGATAAATTAAAATTTGATTAAAAATAAAATTAATTACAGTAGTATTATTATTAAACAAAAATTCTTATAACAAAAACTAATAAAACTTTAATGTTAAAAGAATTCTTTAATAATAGAAATTGGTCAATATATACGTTTATTGTTCTTTTTTTTTTTTAAATATCAGCTACGTTCTTTTTTAGTTTATTTTATTTATTTATAAGTTTTATTTAATGTAATTATTTTAGTTTAGAATTCGTAATTTTTTTAAAAAAAAAAAGAGCTTGTCTGGATGGTAAATAGTTTTTGGCTTGGCATGAGAGCACATGGACCATGCTACTTAAATAAAGTATTGATTTGTCTTGGATTTTATTGATTATAAAAAAAATATTCGATTCTGGATATTTAGATCACAAAATAATAATAATAATAATTAGTTTCTAGCTTAGCATAGTAAACTAAAGCTATAAAATTGTTTTTGACAAACACCCAAAATCTTGAGAATGAAGGAATTTTTACCTTAAAAGAATATGGATTTTACTAGTAATACACAAAATTTTATTCTTTAATAAACCATGGTCCAAATCATTTAAAGAAAATTTGAGATTGGAGAAAGGTCAACTTGTTGTACAGTTCAAATCTATGGAATCTTTAATTGAAAAATCCGTTGTCAATTTTATCCTTTTTTTTTTCTTCTAAATAATTTGGGCAGTTTTATTGATGAATCACAGGTTAAAAATGCATAAACAATTGTGTTTCCAATCGGGTTAATAACAAATTTTATTCTTATTATATTACGATTTGGTAATTTTAAATTTATAATAATAAATCACGTAATTTGAATTTTAAAATATTGGATATTGGACAAATGTAACCTAAACTATCCAATCTCCGATATGTATAATAGTCAATCCAGTTGAACGTTATTTGAAATGTTAAAATAATGGAATTTGAAATTTCACTATTAATTATGTTTTTTTAAATATTTTTAACCCTCTAATCCGATATTTTAAAAAAAAATTCTTATAAAAAATATTTTATAAATATTTTTAACCCCCCAATTTTAATTTTTTAATTTTTTTATAAAACATTATAAACATTTTATAAATTTTTTTTATAATTTATAAAATTAAGAGGGTCAACCACTTAATTATGCTCATTTTAATTTATAAAATATTTTTTACTACTTGAAATTATGTATTGCTAATTATGTTTTTTTACAATAACATTTTATTTAAAAAATTTAAAATTAAGAGGTTAAAAATATTTATATATATTTTTTAAAAAAAGTTCAAGACTTTGGGAGTTAAAAATATTTAAAAAAAAATATTTAACAACAGAATGTCAAAACACGAAGATTTGACAACTTGGGGGCACATTTATCAAATAATAATTTATGGTTTAAATTGCATAATTTGTTACTATGGTATCAAAATTGTCAAATTACGTTAGCATTGGGGCAAACCACCAAACCTTTTCCAATCTTATATACACCTAGGCAAATTATCTTTGACTATATCCTCATGTCCTTCTCGCAAGTCAAGGTAAGGCCGGTGGGAGGACGTGTCTAACCAACCCAATCGCCAAGATCTAGAAAGGCAAAAAAAAAAAAAAAAAAAAAATCAAGAATAAGGAAACAAAATAATTAATGAAAGCAAATCCATATACGAGAAGAGGCATGACAACGAATGTCCACCACGCATTTTACTTTTCTTTCATGTCCTTTTCATTTGCTGGGCCCTTTTTTTCAGTAAATTATAAATTACTTCATCTAGTTTTGAAAAATAAATAAATTATTCTTTTTTATTTTAAAAATCAATTATTTAATTTTTATATTTTTAATTTTTTTTGTAATTTATTTATTCTCTTTTCTTTAATTTCTTTAAGTAAATCATAAACTTTATCAGCCCTACAGAGGAACTGTTTTTTACAGTGGGAGCAGTTAAGTAGATCGAAAGCACTAAATGCAAGAATTAATGGTTTAGACTCAGTTTCTTGAAAGAATGGAAAATGGGACAAATGAGGAGTTCAAATTTGACTCAAAATCTGCTCCTCATAATTAATGACTCTACAGAAGCTAGAGATTAATTAGTTTCTTCCAAATCAAAAGGAACAGAAGAGACAAGATTGATCTATAGTCCTAGAAAACTGTCCATGAACTGAGATACATTTTTGATGATCATGACATCAAGTTTTCTACTACGAAAACCTGTGACCACTCATCATGTGTGGAAGATTCAGGAATCTACCAACTGGGAGATGCTACGGTTTGTGACAACTGGTGGGGTTGAAGGAAATCCTGGAGATGACACAATAGGTTACAACCTAGTTCAAAATTGAGGAGGCTGACATAGGTTACGAGCTAGTTTTCTGATAAAACAGAGCATAATTTCATAGAGAAGAATACTTGCACTGTTGCACAACATGGCTTCACGTAAAACCCCAAAGACGTTACATGTGGTGATCAAAATATTTCAAGAAAGAGATCTTACCGAAGATTAAGAATATATCTCTCAACAAAAACTCTCTTGCCAAATGCTATCACAGTTATCCTTTTCAAGATATTCAAGCTGGGCTTCTACAGTTCGTTCTAGGCTAGAAAAATTTCGTATCTCTAGCTCATTCTCGGTTCTATTAGGTGAGGCTCAATGCCATCCAAATCGAGTAGATTGTAAATTATAAGAAAGGGTTAATTTGCTATCATTCGTATCCTTCCTTAGGTTTATATCATCTCTCTCCATGACTATCCAAAAAGAAAGTTAATATCATCATTATTTACACATTTAGAAAAATTTTGAAATTTTGTTTTAATGAAGAAGTTTGGGGGATTGTTTGGCTAACAAAAAAGGAAAAACGATTTTTTTTTCTATATTTGTTAGTTGTTACAGCCTTGCCAATGCTAATAATCGCTTCTCAATTCATTAATACACTTGAATATTATTGTTTTTTTGTAATTTTCTATTTCTTAGAATGCTCATGGAGAGGGATACTCAACAGCCATTGTTAATTATTAGTGACAATAAAAAACCATCAGATTCGAAAGGTAATTGCATTCTCTTTGATGGGGTTTTTCTTTTATTTGGTGGATTCGCACCCTTCAATTAAAGGGTTTTGAGGGTTTACGTTTGCTGTTTGATTAAAGTGATTAATTTTGTGGTTTAGACTCAGTTTCTTGAAAGAATGGAAACGGGACAAATGAGGAGCTGAAATTTGACTCAAAATCTGCTCCTCGTAATTAATGACTCTACAGAAGCTAGAGATTAATTAGTTTCTTCCAAATCAAAAGGAACGGAAGAGACGAGAGAGATCTATGGTCCTAGAAAAGCGTCCATGTATTGAGATACATTTTTGATGATCATAACATCAAGTTTTCTACTAAGAAAACCTGCAACCACTCATAAGTGTGGAAGATTCAGAAATCTACCAACTGGGAGATACTATGATTTGTGACAACTGGTGGGGTTGAAGGAAATCCTGATGATGACACAATAACCAACTGGTTCAAAACTGAGAAGGCTGACATAGGTTACAAGCTAGTTTTCTGATAAAACAGAGCATAATTTCACAGAGAAGAATGCTTGCACTGTTGCACAACATGGCCTCGCGTAAAACCCCAAAGGCATCAAACCAAAAGGGAACCAAAATAGACTCCCTTCACATGTGGTGAGCAAAATATTCAAGAAAGAGATCTTAACGAAGATTAAGAGCATATCTCTCAACCAAAACTCTCTTGCCAGACGCTATCAAAATTATCCTGTAAGATATTCAAGCTGGGCTTCTAAAGTTCGTTCTAGGCTAGCATACGCAAGAGTTCAGGGTGAATACCGTCGGTTTCCTTTAATTTCTTTGTTCTATTAGGTGAGGCTCAATTCCATCCAAATCGAGTAGATTGTAAATTATAAGGAAGGGTTAATTTGCTATCATTCGTATCCTTCCTTAGGTTTATATCATCTCTCTCCATGACTCTCCAAAAAGAAAGTTAATATCATCATTATTTTACACATTTAGAAAAATTTTGAAATTTTGTTTTAACGATGAAGTTAGGGGGATTGTTTGGCTAACAAAAAAGGAAAAACGATTTTTTTTTCTATATTTGTTAGTTGTTACAGCCTTGCCAATGCTAATAATCGCTTCTCAATTCATTAATACACTTGAATATTATTGTTTTTTTGTAATTTTCTATTTCTTAGAATGCTCATGGAGAGGGATACTCAACAGCCATTGTTAATTATTAGTGACAATAAAAAACCATCAGATTCGAAAGGTAATTGCATTCTCTTTGATGGGGTTTTTCTTTTATTTGGTGGATTCGCACCCTTCAATTAAAGGGTTTTGAGGGTTTACGTTTGCTGTTTGATTAAAGTGATTAATTTTGTGGTAAACAGATGTTGAACGTGGCGTTTCATGCTTTATGACTTCTCCGAGGTTTTCTATTCGGTCTGTTGTTGTAGCCGCCATCCTGGGGATGTTATTCATTACTCTTCTTGTGTTTTTCTATGTAGTTTGGTCTTGTCAATCTTCGTATATGTTCTTTACAGGTAGTATTACTTTCTTCAGACGTAAAATTTGTGTTGTGTTGTTTTTTGGCTTGCCATGATTGGATTTGGGGAAAAAATCAAGTCATGGTTCATCCAGTTGAATTCACTTGTTCATTCTATAAATCAAAACCTCTCTGCAAACTCAGATATACTTATTCTCTGTAATTTCTGGTTGACATGCAGGTATATGGAATAAAGAAAGCAAGTTAGATTACTTCGATCCAATAAGTTATTCTCTTTATCATCGCATACGAGGTAAGACTATTTTAAGATTCATCTATTCGTTGTGTTTGCCGCCTCTATGTTGTTTTGATAGATAGTGATACTATTTGTTGTGTTCATAATCTGTCAGCTATTTCATTCCTTCCTTTCGACTACGATCCGGAAGGAGTATTTATTCCAAAGGGAAGGACTCCTGACCACATTGTTAAAAATCTTTCCTATGTTATGGACGATGAGCCCGTGAGGGATGGATTTAATCAGTCGTCTTCGTAATTCGGAGGACAATTGAACTGGACAAAAAGAGAGGAGAGTTTCAAACTCAATTCCTCCATGAAGGTAAATCTAGAGATTCATGTACAGTCCATTTTGTGTTGGCTTTAATTCCTCAGTCTTGATGATCTCAACTAGCTTTCTTCCTGTGGCTTACTTGTGTTGTTGTTGTTCTATATTGTATTTTATAATGCTGCCTGCGATTCAGGTCCAATGTGGATTTATGCGTAATGGTGGTGGTGAAATGGATCCTGTGGATATCGAATATGCCAAGAAATGTAGGTTTGTGGTTGTGTCTGCAATTTTTGGTCAAAATGATGTACCTCGTCAGCCTTCAGGTCTAAGCCACCGCTCTAAGAAGCGCTTCTGTTTTCTTATGGTGGTGGATGAAGTGTCTCTAAATTTCATAGAGGAAAATAATTTTGTGAGGCAGGACTATAAAGGAGGAAGGTGGATTGGTATCTGGCGTATTGTTCTACTGAAGCATCCACCTTATGATGACCCCAGCAGGAATGAGAAAGTTCCCAAGATCTTAACCCACAGATTATTTCCTCAAGCACAATACAGCATCTGGATTGATGGTAAAATGGAGCTGATGGCTGATCCATTACAGCTTCTCGACAGGTACTTCCTCTCTTGGATCGATCGTGTCTTCTGTCACCGTTATAAAATGGCTGGAATTAAATGAAATTTATCTTTGATCTGCAGATATTTATGGGTTGGGAAGAACACATTTGCTATTGCTGAGCACAAATGTCATCCAAGCATATACGACGAGGCTGAACATATCAAACTGCAGAAAAGATATGCTCGACCCTTCATTGATCTCCAGATGAAAATATACTATTACGAGGGATTGAAGCCACGGAGTTCAAAGAATACTACTGTTAGTGGTAAGAAGAACAGCATAAATTTCGAAATCTGTATCTGTTGGTTCTCTAGTTTTTCAAATGAAATCTGATGTTATGTCTATATAAACAATTCTTATTGAGTGATATTCTTAAATGCAGGAAGTGTTATAATAAGAGAACATACAGCTATGAACAACCTGTTTAGCTGCTTATGGTTCAATGAGGTCAACCTCTTCACGCCAATGGACCAATTGAGTTTTGGCTATGTTTTGTACAGACTAGGAGACGCTTTCAAGTTCTTTAGGTTTCCAAATTGGGAGTACCACGCACTGACAAAGTTTCATTACACCGGAGGTGATTTTTCACCACAACAGTGTGTAAAAGAGCGTAGTGATTTTTGGGGAAATGGTAGTAGCATGATAGAGAACAGAGGTGGTTTAGGGTTGTGGACTCCTTATCCTGGAGATCTTTATTCTGTTTCACTGCCAAAACTAGTACTAGAAGATCAACAAAAGGCGGATTTCTTGATTCCTTATCCTGAAGATCTTGATTCTGTTGTATTGCCAAAAGCTGTAGAAGTTGAAATTTTTTGAGGAGAAACATAATACTGGTACCAGAAGATCAAACTTAAAAGCTTATCACCTGTACTTGCTTTGTTTACTATCTGTTAATCATTTCTCTTGCTTACGAATGGTGACTCTGCCTAGATTACTGTTATCCAGATTTGCAATTTTGGTAACACTGAAGAAATGTACCTTTTGGGTTTGACGTATATGATCTAACATTAAAGTTACCTGTGTAAAGGATAGGAGATAACTGATCAAAGATGCAATAATTTTGGCTGCCCAAAACTGAAGCATTTCCTTCCTAGGTGTCTTTTGATTGCTCCTTTGCATGTCATAGGGAAAAAAAATTAAAAATTGAGCTTTGACAGAGGACAATCCATTGCTGGACTATGTAAGAAGGTACTTAGTCCCACGCAATTATCCTAAAGCCAGCGACATAAAAAGAAAGTTATAAGCTTGCATTCTTCTAGCTGCTCTGTATCAGCTCTGCGAGAGAAACTTTCGGGTTCCATGTAGATAAATTTTCCTGTCAATTTTTCTCCAGGAAAGTTTTGAAATTTCACCAAATTCTCAGGCTTTATTTGTTTCTATTCGATCCATAAACATTACTTAGTTCCCAATTCAGTGCAAAATGACTAAAATTCCTATATCAATATCAATAATGCAACGTTTCTGCTAGTTAGTACAGAACAGAGATGAAGGCAAATAAGATCACACTTTATTTATTTTTTAATAAAGTCGTTAATACAACTTGTTGGCTGTGTGATCACTAGTTATAAATTAGCCAACTACAATCCATGGGATCAAAATATATTCTCTTCTCTTCCAACTCATAAACAACATTATGAAATTGTTGAACCATTATCCCAATTATAAAAGCTCCTTCAACTGGTACCATGCCCAAACAAATCTCATTTGCCTTGGCTTGATAAAAGGTGCCGGTAGGATCTACTACAAGATCAGCACCCTCCGCAAAATGAAATGTGACGGTTGGCATAGATTTTTGGAAAAAAGAGTTGGTCAATTTGCCACTGTAACACAGTTTCCACGAAAGATTCCCTGTATATTTAACTTTTCTGAAGAGTCCCCAGAAGCTTAAGCTTGAGACTGCTTCTCTAATGGCGTAATACGCAGCAGGAGGTAGCATGGTATACGGCGTTCCGGAGTCAATTATAAACTGTTTACCGAAAACATTAGGATCAATGTTGATTTTTCTGTCTCCGATACTGACACCGTCAAGTTTGACTTGGTATGCGCCATCGTCATTTAAAGTGTAAGGTGTCGATGACGAGAAGCTTTTATTATACTTATCACCGTCCAAAATGAAAAAGTTGGAACCGTATAATGGATCGCCAAGATTGCCAACACAGTAAGAAAATCTACGGATCTGATTCGTTATGGATAAAGTATGGTCGGCCAGTCCGAGAATTCCCTGATAATGAAGCCCAACTTTAACAGGAATAGAAAAAACACAGCCGAGTGGTATGTCCCAACTCGAGTTTGGGCCTTGGAGAGACTCAATGATTACACGTTCGGTGCCCATATATCCAAGTACTGTCGTACCATCTCCGTAGCTCATACCAAACTCACAACTATGCTCATGCCAATTGCAGAATGATTTAGGACGATAGCAAGGGCATTTCGATTGGACATAGGTGGAAGACATTCGGTGATCATAAACAGGACCATGTGATTTTTCACAATTTTGGCACATGGCACACTCCACCCACGCTAGTGGACTGCCTGAATCTATCAACAGATATTGCGGGATGGGTGGCTGACCCATGGGGATCTTTACAAGAAACCCTGCACTTGAAGGATAAAGGTCAGTTGAGGGACCTTCAAGTTGATCGTTGGTTCTGTATTGAAAGTGAGCTGACCTCAGATATGAAGAAGTCAATGATCGTTTAGCACGATCTTCGATGGTGTCATTAGGGTTGTAAAATGGTGACAAAACAGAGTCAGAGTGAATTAGATTGGTAATGAAACGTTGTGATTTTGAGGGAATTGAGGAGGTTGAGGTTGCAAGGGCTGTCAAGAGTAAGAGAAAAGCAAAGAACGATGTTGGGGTCATGGTTTGTCCTGAGAGAATATCACTCTCTTGTTGCTTTTCTGTTGTGAGAAACAGGATCAGATCGAATGTCTATTTATAATAGGCATAGTTGATCAATTCAGAGAAAAAAGAAAAACAAAAAGAAAGGTTTTTTTTAGATAATTAAAAGCATTTGGTTTACGAAAAACTTTTCAATCGTATTAAAAAAACTCAAAACAGAATTTGTGACTCTAAAGAAGAAAAGATAGTGACATATAATCTGTGTTCAGATTAGAAAATAGACATCTACAAATCATGTAGCAGGTTAAGACTACTACAAATCATGCATAAGAATAGGAATGCTACGCATTAGCTAGGGATAACCAGAGAATAATTAACATTTAGCACATGCAATAGGGCTATCTACGCATACATATAGCAGTTAGACACTTAGACTATTGAAAATCATATTCTATGCATTATAGGGCTAACTAGATCATGTATAAGAATAGGAATACCATCCTTTAAGGATAACTAGCTAGAGAATTAACATTTAGCACATGCAATAGGGATATATATATATATATATACATCATCGATCTATGTTCCTCAATAATACACTATGATGAAGAAGTTTACTGCTGCTTCACACGGCAACTAAAAAAAGTACTGCATGCCTTTCAAGATTATTGGTTTGTTTCTTTGTATTAATGCTTCATGAAAGGATTGTATTGAATAAAAAGTAAAAAATACTAGCACGGTTTGTTAATTTTTTGTAGATATCCGAATATATACGTATATATAACTTACCAGCGAAGACTTGAGATGAAAGTTTTGAAGCAATTACTAATGAAAATTACGCACAACTATCCTTCCAATGAACAATCCTTTGTTTTTTCTGCAACTGGATAGGTGTGAGGCCTTAAACCCTAATTTATCAACTCTGAAAAAACCAAAAAGGCTTTGTTAGGAAGTTGTGTGTTCAAGTAAAGATTGGCTAGAGAAGTAAATGATACTATATATATGTATCTAGGGCGGCTCGAATATAATCAAACACCCTGTGGGTAGATAAATCTTGAATTTCGCACCCTTTTTTTTTCACTGGAAAACTTGTTTATAATTACATGCATTTCACAATGGAATTGAGGTAATTCTTTTTCTCTTCATCCTAGCTATAATACCTTTCATTTTATTTCACAATAAATGTTTCTCTTTAAAAAATATTAATTAATTAATTACAAATTTACAAAGATGGAATTCGAATTTATCATCTTTATTCCTCATATTTTACAGAATTACAAATGTGAGGAAATTAATTAGTATATCACCGATATTTTCATATCCAGTTTGTCAAATATTGTTCATGTCATCCTCTTAAAAGAATGCGAAGAAATTATTAGTATGTCACTGCATGCATGAAAGTTTTCCTAACTGTTTCTGTCATCATCTTTGCACGTCAAATATAATGCAAGGAATCATTGATTTTGTGAATTAGACATTAAAAGAAAGAAAAAAAGAAGACGATAAAATAAGAAAGTATTGGACCTGTAACCACATAGACAAGGGCCCAATTCATTTAATGAGTACATTATAAATAGAGGTACTAATTAATTTGTTTCTTAAGAATAGAAGGACTAATTTATAATTTACTATTCATTTAATCAGTTATCTTAATTTGTTGCATCATTTAAGCACCCATTGACACATAGTTTGTCTCACATGGAAATAAATAATTTCTCTCTCTCACACACACACACACATATATAAACTGAATTTTCTTTGATAGCAAACATCGTGTTCATGTACCAGACAAGCCATTTGATATTCTCTCTTTTGACAATTATATATATATATATATATATATATATATATATATATATATATATATATATATATATATTGTCGTGTAGATGTTTGATATATATGTATATATATGTACACATTTATTGTCGTGTAGATGTTTGATAAAATGCCGGAATTAGGTTTATTGTTTATCGCAGTTATAAATGGTCTCATGGAGTTTATATCTGCCCTAGTTAGGTTTAATATTTTTCGTAGTTATAAATGATCTCATGCAATTTATATTTCATTTGCAATAGCATAGCATGATTTTTCCCTTAAAAAAATACACAGCATGATTGTTCAAATATTTAAACAGATGCTCGTTGTACTTAATCCTTCCAACCTTTTCTTTTGTTCATCTTAGTTTAATATGATTCATCTAATGAGGGTGGAAATTGAATTATTGTTAAGTGGACCTTGATAAATCCCATAATAAATTGTTTTTTTCCTTCCTAATCTACGATTCGTGTAATATTTTTATGTTGTCTCAAAGCTTATCAAAATTTGTTCACTTCAAATTACTAAGATGGTTTGTAAGAATCCCAAATTATATTGCGTGCAAATCTCTATTTTTCCAAATAAATTAATATAGTGCACATATATATGTGATTCTTTCAGAGACTAAATAAAGATAATAATAATAATAATAATAATAATGGCATTATTATATAATAGGAAAATGGTTGCAATAGATTATTAGTTCTTTGTTTTGCCCCTCCCTTTTAATTAATATATGCTTTTACACTACCATAATCCTACCATATTATGGTTTATTACTATTTATTTGTATAATAAAGACAACGTTTATTTATAAAGGATGTACATTAATGAATACTCTATTCTTTAAATGCATTTTCGGATTTTCTACATTTGTATTTTAAGATTTCAGGTGAATAAAATTTAATGTTAATTGATACACAAACAAATTGAAGAATGCTTTTAAAATAAAAGTTAATTAAAAATTTTGTGTTTGCTCACAAGTCATTATTATAATTTTTTTTATTGTGCAATAACTATTAATTTTTTTTAACTATATATCAATATACATAACACCGACCACTTGTTATTAATTTTTTTAATATTTAAATTCTTTTTAAATAAAATAATTAAAATATTTTTTTTGAAAATCACATAATAATTCAAATACATTTTTATATTAATATTGTTGATAATTTTGTAAATAAATATGTATAAATCAAATGCATAAATTTTTAAAAAGTTAAGAAAGATTCATTAGTTAATTTTTAAACAAGTTTTTTTTTATTAATTTTTACTTTATTTCTTCAACATAATTTTATAAAAAATATTAAGTTTTTTAAAAAAAAATTAAAAATTTTTATTTACATTAGGTTTTTATTTAAGAATGAATGCATAACGAATAATGAATCGTGTGTTTTTAGTAATCAAAAATATGAAAAAAAAATTAACAAAATTAAATAAAATACAAAATTTTTAAAAAATAGTATAAATTTAGATTTTTTTTTATATTTTAATTGATCAATTTTATAATACAAGTTATTAAATTAAATTGAAATAAATGCGTTTTGCTTAGCTTGTTGCGTAGCGCGCAAAGCATACTAGTCTTTTGACTATGTCCTTATGTCCTTCTCGTAAGTCAAGGTAAGGTCTGTGGGAGGATGTTTCTAACCAACCCAATAGCCAAGATCAAATAAAATAAGAAAAAAAATCAAGAATAAGGAAACAAAATAATTAATGAAAGCATATCCATGTACGAGAAGAGGCATGACAATGAATGTCCACCACGCATTTTCTTTTCTTTGCTTTTCTTTCATGGCCCTTTCATTTCCTGGGCCCCTTTCTTTTAGTAAATTATAAATTACTTCATCTAGTTTTGAAAAATAAATAAATTATTCTTTTTTCATTTTGAAAATTAATTATTTAATTTCTTTATTTTTATTTTTTATTTTGTTTGTAATTTATTCTCTTGTCTTTAATTTCTTTAAGTAAATTATAAACTTTATCAGCCATATAGAGGAACCGTTTTTTGCAGTGGAAGCAGTTAAAGTAGATCGAAATCACTAAATGCAAGAATTAATGGTTTAGACTCAGTTTCTTGAAAGAATGGAAACGGGACAAATGAGGAGCTGAAATTTGACTCAAAATCTGCTCCTCGTAATTAATGACTCTACAGAAGCTAGAGATTAATTAGTTTCTTCCAAATCAAAAGGAACGGAAGAGACGAGAGAGATCTATGGTCCTAGAAAAGCGTCCATGTATTGAGATACATTTTTGATGATCATAACATCAAGTTTTCTACTAAGAAAACCTGCAACCACTCATAAGTGTGGAAGATTCAGAAATCTACCAACTGGGAGATACTATGATTTGTGACAACTGGTGGGGTTGAAGGAAATCCTGATGATGACACAATAACCAACTGGTTCAAAACTGAGAAGGCTGACATAGGTTACAAGCTAGTTTTCTGATAAAACAGAGCATAATTTCACAGAGAAGAATGCTTGCACTGTTGCACAACATGGCCTCGCGTAAAACCCCAAAGGCATCAAACCAAAAGGGAACCAAAATAGACTCCCTTCACATGTGGTGAGCAAAATATTCAAGAAAGAGATCTTAACGAAGATTAAGAGCATATCTCTCAACCAAAACTCTCTTGCCAGACGCTATCAAAATTATCCTGTAAGATATTCAAGCTGGGCTTCTAAAGTTCGTTCTAGGCTAGCATACGCAAGAGTTCAGGGTGAATACCGTCGGTTTCCTTTAATTTCTTTGTTCTATTAGGTGAGGCTCAATTCCATCCAAATCGAGTAGATTGTAAATTATAAGGAAGGGTTAATTTGCTATCATTCGTATCCTTCCTTAGGTTTATATCATCTCTCTCCATGACTCTCCAAAAAGAAAGTTAATATCATCATTATTTTACACATTTAGAAAAATTTTGAAATTTTGTTTTAACGATGAAGTTAGGGGGATTGTTTGGCTAACAAAAAAGGAAAAACGATTTTTTTTTCTATATTTGTTAGTTGTTACAGCCTTGCCAATGCTAATAATCGCTTCTCAATTCATTAATACACTTGAATATTATTGTTTTTTTGTAATTTTCTATTTCTTAGAATGCTCATGGAGAGGGATACTCAACAGCCATTGTTAAATAGTAGTGAAAATAAAAAACCATCAGATTCGAAAGGTAATTGCATTCTCTTTGATGGGGTTTTTCTTTTATTTGGTGGATTCGCACCCTTCAATTAAAGGGTTTTGAGGGTTTACGTTTGCTGTTTGATTAAAGTGATTAATTTTGTGGTAAACAGATGTTGAACGTGGCGTTTCATGCTTTATGACTTCTCCGAGGTTTTCTATTCGGTCTGTTGTTGTAGCCGCCATCCTGGGGATGTTATTCATTACTCTTCTTGTGTTTTTCTATGTAGTTTGGTCTTGTCAATCTTCGTATATGTTCTTTACAGGTAGTATTTCTTTCTTCCAATGTAAAATTTGTGTTGTGTTGTTTTTTGGCTTGCCATGATTGGATTTGGGAAAAAAATCGAGTCATGGTTCATACAGTTGAATTCACTTGTTCATTCTATAAATCAAAACCTCTCTGCAAACTCAGATATACTTATTCTCTGTAATTTCTGGTTGACATGCAGGTATATGGAATAAAGAAAGCAAGGCAGATTACTTCGATCCAATAAGTTATTCTCTTTATCATCGCATACGAGGTAAGACTATTTTAAGATTCATCTATTCGTTGTGTTTGCCGTCTCTATGTTGTTTTGATAGATAGTGATACTATTTGTTGTGTTCATAATCTGTCAGCTATTTCATCCCTCCCTTTCGACTACGATCCGGAAGGAGTATTTATTCCAAAGGGAAGGACTCCTGACCACATTGTTAAAAATCTTTCCTATGTTATGGACGAGGAGCCCGTGAGGGATGGATTTAATCAGTCGTCTTCATTATTCGGAGGACATTTGAGCTGGACAAAAAGAGAGGAGAGTTTCAAACTCAATTCCTCTATGAAGGTAAATCTACAGATTCAAGTACAGTCGATTTTGTGTTGGCTTTAAATCCTCAGTCTTGATGATCTCAACTAGCTTTCTTCCTGTGGCTTACTTGTGTTGTTGTTGTTCTATATTGTATTTTCTAATGCTACCTGCGATTCAGGTCCAATGTGGATTTATGCGTAATGGTGGTGGTGAAATGGATCCTGTGGATATCGAATATGCCAAGAAATGTAGGTTTGTGGTTGTGTCTGCAATTTTTGGTCAAAATGATGTACCTCGTCAGCCTTCAAGTCTAAGCCACCGCTCTAAGAAGCGCTTCTGTTTTCTTATGGTGGTGGATGAAGTGTCTCTAAATTTCATAGAGGAAAACAATTTTGTGAGACAGGACTATAATGGGGGACGGTGGATTGGTATCTGGCGTCTTGTTCTACTGAAGCATCCACCTTATGATGACCCCAGCAGGAATGAGAAAGTTCCCAAGATCTTAACCCACAGATTATTTCCTCAAGCACAATACAGCATCTGGATTGATGGTAAAATAGAGCTGATGGCTGATCCATTACAACTTCTCGACAGGTACTTCCTCGCTTGGATCGATCATGTCTTCTTTGAGCTTTATAAAATGGCTGGAATTGAATGAAATTTATCTTTGATCTGCAGATATTTATGGGTTGGGAAGAACACGTTTGCTATTGCTGAGCACAAATGTCATCCAAGCATATACGACGAGGCTGAACATATCAAACTGCAGAAAAGATATGCTCGACCCTTCATCGATCTCCAAATGAAAATATACTATTACGAGGGAATGAAGCCATGGAGTTCAAAGAATACTACCATTAGTGGTAAGAACAAGAACATAAATTTCGAGTTCAAATGAAATCTGATGTTATGTCTATATAAAAAATTCTTATTGAGCGATATTCTTAAATGCAGGAAGTGTTATAATAAGAGAACATACAGCTATGAACAACCTGTTTAGCTGCTTATGGTTCAATGAGGTCAACCTCTTCACGCCAATGGACCAACTGAGTTTTGGCTATGTTTGGTACAGATTAGGAGACGCTTTCAAGTTCTTTAGGTTTCCAAATTGGGAGTACCACGCACTGACTAAGTTTCATTACACCGGAGGTGATTTTTCACCGCAGCAGTGTGTGAAAGAACGTAGTGATTTTTGGGGAAATGGTAGTAGCATGATAGCGAACAGAGGTGGTTTAGGGTTGTGGACTCCTTATCCTGGAGATCTTGATTCTGTTTCGCTGCCAAAACTAGCGCTAGAAGATCAAAAAAAGGCGGATTTCTTGATTCCTTATCCTGAAGATCTTGATTCTGTTGTATTGCCAAAAGCTGTGGAAGTTGAAATTTTTTGAGAAGAAACATAGTACTGGTACCACCTCAAGCGGAAGATCAAACTTAAAAGCATATCATCTCTATCGAGGATCTTAATTTTGAATATATAAGAAGGGGACAATTCATTGCTGGACTATGTTTCTTGATTCTGTTGTACTGCCAAAAGATGTATGCATCCATGTAAAACAAAATGCGCCAACAATTTGACAGAAAAATTGACCAAAACGAGGATGTGAAGTAACTACGTTAGATCATGTAGTAACAAGTCGGTATAATTTGTTAGCTAATGTTTATGAATCAAGAATCCAAAGAGAGCTTTTCAAGCTCTTTTATGCCACGACTAGAAGCTTTCTTCATTTCAAGGGCTCTTTTATAAGGGGGAGCAATTGGAGGTTGTACAGGATCCAAGCTCTGGTAAGTGCCATCGGCAACTTTTGGTAGTGGATATGATCGATCAGAGTGATACCCACTGAGGTCTCCGCAAGCTAGAAATGGAATATACACCTTATTTACCCCTTCCAACCACCCGCTACTGCAATCTGTCATCTCAAAAATACAAAATTAGAAGTGAAGAAATAACACTTTAACCATGTAAACAAGTATGTAAGATGGAAGTAAAAAGAACGAGAAATAGAGGCAAGTTAAAAAAAAACAGGGGGAGGGAAGGGAGACAAAATTAAAAACTTTCCCCCTCGAAAAACCTTTTACTCCTCCCTCCCCAAGGCTATCATTTAAGCTCCTGATGTTAGCATCCTAGAAATTTTCCAGTTCCCCTAAACTTGTACCAAACACAACCATACCAAACATAACCCAAGCATGTCAATAACAGAATGTAAACATAAACACAAGTGTATCAGAAAAACAAAAATATTACATTACCTAGGTCATCTGCACCGAAGGGGCTTCCCACCTTTTCCAAAAGGCGATACAAGTCTTTTGGATTAAATCCCTCAGGAGGGGAGTAATTCTCACAAACTGCAAATGCCTCTGCAAGGGAAACAATTCAATACTATCTTTAGGTGTAGTTCATAAACTAATCATGGAGCCTTGTAGACGACATTTAAGACCATCCACTGTTTTTTATGCCCATCTTGGTCTAATCTGTGGCAGGATTCACCTCCACCTAGATGAGGTTGATGTTCCACCTCAGTGGGTTGCTATTCCATTACCCATTAAGGCATTTTCAGCAATTTTTGTTTCCGTTCTCTCTTTTTTTCTCCCAAAGGAAGATAACCACTCTCACAGTAGCAGGAACTTCTCAATTATTAGAGTATTGCATTATGGATCGATGCCAGAAATGGAATTAAAGCACTGGGTGTGGTAAAATTGATATACTGACAAGATAAACACTTGAACTATCTCTGATAAGACCAGTTTAACTCATAAGATACACACACAAAAAAAAAAAAACACTAACGGGAGAGACAACAAATGTACTTACCTATGCTGGAATTGCGGCTGCTTTTTGGTTTTGCAAAAGTCACCACAGGAAAAAATAATTTGAGCTGAAACAGAGAAGCAAAAACAAACAATCCATTTAAGCAAACAATAAGAACATTCTCTTTTATCAATCTTCTTAGACATTGACAAGGAACAAGAATATAAACCAAACGATTGAAATGAAAAATATTTGAATGTTTATACAAGTACAAGCACTTTATTTCATATTTGGGATATGTAACTCAAATCACAAATAGCCTACTTGCATTTTATCTAAAATTAATCCAGAAGACTTGCTCCTAGGCCTGGGCTTGATGAGTCTACTATCATCATAGTTTTAAATAACAATGGTGGTTGAAAAAACGATAGCGATCACGATCAAGGACCTCGAAATATTGCAATAATAAAATAACGGTCGCGGCAATCGATGTCAAGAATATATTAGCAACTCGTTAATAAATTTATTCTAATTCACATATTTTTAACAATTTTACTAATTAAACATACCAATAAGTAATAATATCTCTAAAATTTTAATATCATACAACAATAGTTGAATTTAATATAAAAAATAGTTAACAACACTTCTAATATATTAATATCACACAAAAAATAATAAGATACATTATAACATGAATATAAACATTATAAAATATTCATATCTAAAAAAATCGTTGTAGATGATCATAATAATAGTTATTATCTTATTATTGATATTCTGATCCTTGTCTAATAAAATTATAACCATAACTATATTGCCCTCCTAAATCTAATTGTCCAAATAATAAAGCAAGCATAAATGATTTAATTTTTTTAGGATGTTGTGAATTGTGAAATAGATTGTATGATGAGATACCAACCTCAATATACTATATGAATCCAATTGCGCTCTAAAAAGACTAATTTTTCCTTACGTTGTCATGTCTAATTTTTTTATTTATTTCAAGGCTACTGGAAAAAGGCTTTTAGAAGTACAGACAGAAATGCTGAAAAAAGCACAAAATCATGTGGAGTGTGGGAACTGGGGTTGCAGTTCATATTTCATTACTGTCATTCAAAGAAAAGAGAAAGTTCCGTATCAATTCAAGACTCTCTCTCTTCTATTACAATTTCTTTTGCTTCCCTCTCATCCAAGAAATCAAACACTTTATGCCTAAAGTCTACACAAACATAAATTCTTTTATCTTCTAAAGGCCATATCCATAAAACATAAGCAGCATCCACAAACGACTTGCACCAAACATCGGGTGTGCACACAAAAAAAATTATAGCAAAAGGAGGCCACAAGCCTGCAACGGAAGAAAGTTTTTTTTCTTTCATGTAACGCTTTATATAACAGCAAATAACGGTGTTACATAACAACAACACCATTATTTGCCACTATATGTGTGAAACAGCGTCGAGGCATCCATAACGCCAAATAACAGTAACGGGGTGCCCGATACTGTTATATAATGGCCATTATCTTATGTTCAGGGTTTTCCATATCAGGCCAACATTATGCTATCTTAATTGTTAACTCATCTTGTCAACTGAAACATTATTCTCACTGAATGAGAACTTTACTATAGTATGAGGAATATAAATTTACCAGTAGGAACAAACCCTGTACTTAAATGTTCAGGGTTCATTTAAAGTAACAAGTTTAACAAATCTCATGAGCTTATTCTTAAAAGAATTAATACATTTAGAACATCATTTTATTCACCTGGCAATACAGAAGATTTGTATCTTTCCCACGAAATATCTTTGCGATGAATTTTCCACCTTCCCTGAGCACATGTGTGACAATTGTTAAACCCTGCAAAAAAGCTAACCAGCCAGAATCAGTCTAATACAAACTTCAGCAAGATTCATAAACAACCGCAGATGCGAAAGCCAAGCAAGCAAGCATGTAAAGGACATGGTTTCATATGCAGGAATAGTGACAGTCCCAATGACAGAAACATGAGCAAAAGAATGAAATGACAAGGCAGATGAATGATGCTAGTGGCAGTTTGCATAATTGTTGTTAAGAGCTTCTGAAAGCTTGAATGAACTTTATTGTCCTACAATTATAATCACCTGCCAAGTCAAGACAGATGTAATTTTCCATTTCTTTCTCCACGCTTTAAGCTGAAGAAAGCAAAGCAGAATTTAATTGCAGAATGCAACTTGGTTGGGGTTTGGCTGGTTCTAAGAGAATTCAGAATTCAGTTGGCGTTCCTTAGTTGCAACTATCCAGAAAAAACAAATCAAACAAAACATAATCCTCCAGTTCTGTTCAGATTGGTTACAGTTCAAATAACATATAGGCTTTGGATGTGCAGCACAGAGAAAAAAAAGTTTAGGATACTAGCAAACTTCAAACTTACAAAGCCAGATAACATTTCTTAAACCAAAGCTGACTGACCTGACAATAGGCCAATGCTTTTGAATGTGGAATCAAAATAAATCACATTCTCTAAAAGTACATTATTTTAAAGACACCATGCTAGCCACGTTATGCTTTATAAACAATACCTTCATGATTAAAGGTTTCTAATGTTTTTGCTGAATTGCATGCCAAATGCTTCATAATTTCCAACTTTTTTTGTCAACAGATTTCTCATTGACTTTCACGAATTGAGTGAAATCCCTTCTTGACGAAGTAGGTTAATACGGTTCACTATTATTTTCAGATCCCAAAAACCAATGGCCATTGTATGTAAGTTAGTTTGTGTAAAAGATGTGGTACTTGACCCTAAAATCAGATTATAAAGTAAAAGATCTGAAATTTCCCAAAGTGATTGGGCTTTGTATGATTCTTAACATCAAGTTGATTTTGTATAGTTCTTAACATCCTGCATAACTCAGAAGTGAGTATAACAAGGACAACTCTTACTGCTAGGATGAGTTGAGACTGAACAAATTCATCCATGTCATGGAGTCCGGTAACTGCAAATCACATGAAATTAAACTAACTTCAGAAACTATAAGAAGTGAGTTTAATAGAAAAAATTTAGCAACTAAGAGGATCAATTATATGATGAATTTTTCATTAAAAAAAAAAACTACTGATATGAATTTAGCATAGAACCAAGAAGGTTATTTTACCATCAGGGGCACCATCACAAACAACCAAGTCAGCCTTGCAGCCATCAAAATGTCTAATGACCTGTAGAAGATCATTAGAATAATCAGCTATCTAGTATGCAACAGGAAAAAAAAAAGCACTATGATGTACTTAGCAAGCGAGACGAGTACATGATAATATGCGTGCACACACATATTTACATGTGTGTGCACATCTGCACCCACCCGCAAGGGTCCAAAACAATAGAAAAAAGAGGAAAAGAAATGAATGAATCCATCCATATGAAAAACATTGCCATTCTACTCCATTTGTAGTGGAAATTCCCAATTTCTTTTGGCATGAACAATGTTCTTCTAAGCATTCATTCAGCACATGCTCTTCACCTAGGTAATGCTGTTGTAGCTCTACATGCTGATTACAAGATTGGTACATGGAACTTGCCTACCAACTTTTCTAATAACCAGAAATACAAATCCTGCAATTTGACAAAACATCTGGACGTGCTTTTTTCTATGATGAGAATAAACATTAATACTGAGGAAGCAATGAACCTCACTCTTCCACATAAGACAAGTTGGAATATCTGAAACAGAGAATTTGAGGTAAAAAACCGTCCTTACCACTTCAGCAGTTCGGGCATTGGTAATATCACCCTGCACTTGGATAACACCTTCAATTGGAGCCATGGGTTGCAAATCAATGGCCACAATAAGAGGAAGATCATTATCACTGCAAATCACGATGCAGAAAGGTAATGTCTCATTAGGAATGAAGAGTGCAAGAAGAATAAATTTCATGTTTGATTTCGGTTTCTTTCATTCTTTAAACAAGAATTTTTTTCTTTTCAATATTTCTTATGTATAATGAGATTGAGCACACAAGATATGCTAATAACCTAAAAAGGTAGCTTAGAATGAATAATAAAGCATAAGTAACGTAAGGAAGCTGCAAATCAATTTTATGTTTCTAACAAGGTTCCTCCACTAGCAAGTGTCTATTGAGCATAATCCACTATGAGAATTCTCAAATAGGGAAAAGATCGAATTTGAAGTAGGTACATAACTTAAAGGCACTCAATATCAATTAAAGGTTACGAATACAGCACTCAATATCAATTAAAGGCTTCAATTTAAGCATAGAATATGGCGCCCATGGACCTCTGTTAAACAACAAACATGTTAAAAGCTTACCTAGAATCAGGTGAAAGTTTTGCTGGCAAATATAGTTTACGGCTCAAAACCTGCAGATGAGGAACGCGTGTCACAAACTAGCCAGCAAATTCAAAGAATAACAAATGCCAAACAGTACCTTATAAGGTAAGCGTCAGGTCTGCCATGATGGCATATCCAGAATTAACTGCCCTGACATGCTAATGTGCAAGGAGCCAGTTCGAAATAATCACAGAGGACCAAGAAGACTTTTTTACTACCTAAAATTAATATAAAGAGACATGGAATTTGGCTGAAGCACTAATGAATAGATTGTAGCGCACAGCCAGAGGTGGAGAAGGTAAGGCCAGTTATTGAAGATTTTGTATGAGCGTTTGAAGTTGATGACTGACAGTTTGGGTACCGAAATCCCTCTATCGCGTAGCTGGTATGGAATCGAAGGTGGAAATCGATCTATCTATACCTACATGCGTGCTTTTTCAAAAAAAAAAAAAAAAACAAAACAAAATAAACAAAATAAAGAACTTTTCGAAATCAGAAGAACAGTGATATTAGTATTATTATTCAGATGAAATATACCTGACTCCAGCTGCCAGGTGCAGCACATAAATCCACCACACGCTTAACTCCTAGAATCAAACAACGAAAAAACATACTAAAATGTCCTAAAAACTGTTTCCCATAAAGAAGCATTGGAAAAAATAATAATAAACAGACCTTCGAAAATATTGAATTCTTCATCAATTTGAAGGAGTTTAAAGGCACTTCGAGCACGCCAACCCTCTTCTTTGGCTTTTCTATAGTATATATCCTACAAACACAAACCAACTCTTTGTTTGCTTTCTCGTATAGTACTATATAAATAGCAAAATAAAGCAAACCCAGAACAGAAAGCAACTTGTAACTCAAGTATAGCTTACCCTCTTATCCCTTGAAGCTTTCCCCATTATTTGAAAATCCGATCCTCTCTAGACCTTTCATAAATGGACAACGGGGGGAGCACTAGCTATGGTTTTTGGGCGGCGGAGCCTTCACTGGGTATAAATTGGAATCCAGTCTCGTTACTAGGTGAAGCTACAAGCCTGCGGCAGATAAATCAGGGAAAAAAAACATTTTTGAAATAAAAATGATATTAAATTAAGTATATTCGGCGTTAATTAAAAAAATTAAATAATAATTTTGAAACAAAGAGAATTAATTAATTCGTTTTTTCAAACTAGAGGGACTAATTTATAATCCAACTCCTCCTCTTCTCCCAGTAAACCTCTCTCTCTCTCTCTCTCTCTCACACACACACACACACACACACACACACACACACACGCGAAAATCCAAAACCCATCAAGGAAAACTCTCAAGTTTTAAAATTTGATGCTACACGACAAAGCATTGCAAGTTGAAAAATTGAAGCCCAAGAGTTTCTGTTGGAAGCCTAAGGATGAACCCAAAATGCATCCATCTTTAATACTGGACTTATATGGATTGAACCAGGCTAGTCCTGGGCCCTTTACCCCTGCCCTAGACTAGTAGTTGTTGATAGGCTATCTTACCTTCTAGGTAGGCCCATTTGCATAGCCAAAGAAAGGTTTAATGATAAGTTTTGCCCTCGTTTTATTATGATTTGATAATTTTAATTCTATAATACTAAATCACGTAATTTAAGTTTCAAAATATTATAAATTGAGTAAATATAATCTAAATTTTTAATCTTCATTCTTCGAATGTTAAAATGACATCGTTTTGACATTTTCCCGTTAATTATATTTTTAAAAAATATTTTTAACTCCTTAATTTTGAAATTTTTAAAAAAAATTTCTTATAAAATATTTTTAATACTTTATAAATTATTAAATTTTACTTTACAATTTTCTTTTTTATTGATGATGGGTGTTGTGGGGTTTGAGATAGACGATTATGGTCTACGTAGCCGCTTGTCAGCTTAATTTATGGTACGCTCATTTTTGTTAATGGTGGTTTCAAATCAACGTAAGTATCTCTTTTATCTTCTTTTTTTTTCTTTATTGTAATTTATATGTTTTGTTTAGAAGTATTTGTAATACGCTTGTTTCGAATTCTTATGATTCTAACGCAATGAAGATGATGCATTTATTATTATTTTCTTAATGAAAAATTTCATTTTATTAAAAAGAAAAATGTAATAAACCATGGAACAATGCATATATGGACCGTCAATAACGTGCATATATTTAATATGCTCTAATGGATTCAGAATGCTAATTATGATCGTCTGCTTTGTTCTATTTCTACCGGACAAAAATTGCACTATTCTCTGCAAAATGTTCTTTTCACCAAACACCCTGTTGAGATTAATAAGATACTTTCTAGTTTCGTTGATTTTTAATGCTAAATGAAAACGTTTCTATACTACTAGCCTTAGATTTACCATGCCCAACACATTAAATGCTTAAATGTCAGACAAAAAATTACATCCACAATGTTATAAAAAAATTGATATGATAGTTCACTCGTAAGTAAAGATAGATTTATTCGTCAAATTTAGCATTTAATCCTTATAATAAGTATTTTTGAAAATTTATTCTCTAAACATTTAAAGTTGTACTTTGAAAAATACCTCTTGGCCACATCCAAAAACAGATTAGTTTTCAGTTACGTAAAAGTTGATCCGCAAATATCTTTATTAATGAACTTAAAAAATAATAAAATTAAACAACTATTTTTTTATTTTAATTAATAAAATTGTGTTTTTAGTAGATTTTTCAACTCAATCATGTTAAATTGGTAAATCAAGAAAAAAATCGTTATATAAACTTCATAACATTTAGAATCCTTCTTATAAATCAAACTATAATTCCTAAGCATTAATCAAAGATCAAGTTAATTATTTTGTCTTGTAAGCATGGACCAATCTATGACACTTACAAAGTAACCAATTGATTATGAAAGTTATGATTATGATGTGAAATGAATCGAGGGCCGCAATATTTACCCCTTTGAGAAGCTAGTTTATCCACATTAATTTAAAATAATTTTATACGATAAAGACCTGAAAACATTATTTGATAACGTGTCACTTTTTAAAAAAACTTTTAAGATTTTATCGAAAAATAGCTTTTTGGATAAAAAGCTGGAAAAACACCATTCTCAATTGGGGTTAATATAACATATTATATTAAGTAAATTCAGATTTTAAAATTAATAATTGGATTTTATTTCATCAAATTAATGGGTGGTTAGAATTATTTAAAATTGATAATTATTTTTTTATGAAGAAATCCAAACCATTGATTTCAAGATCAATGGTAATAACATTTGTAGTTACCTAATATAATAATCATGCTACTCTTAATTTAACTTAAAGAGAGCCAAATCTGTAATAATAATAATAATAATAAGTTATTTTGATTATTATTATTATTATTATCTGAGGGAGTGGGGGCATCTCCATGCCCATGACTGTCACTGAAGTAATAGTGTGTCCCCCTTTTAAGAAAGCAATAGTTACTGATTGAAAGTTGAAACTTATCAATACACGGACACATGCATGTACCACTTTCCCTACCTACAAAGCCAAAAAGCCCCCAAAAGCTCATCCTTTTTCAGTTTTTTGGTGTCTTGGTTCTATCATTTTATTTGAAAAAAGTTGCACAGCTTCGTACTTTCCCTTTACTCAGCTGGCCGGTGACATAAATTTCACCACATAGTTGCTGACCTCCAAATACAAAATATTCCAACAATGGATACGTAGGTACCGTACTCTCATAGTGTATGACTTGTTTAAAATCGGAACAAGAAACTTAGTTCGAGCGTATCTTTAACGTTATTTAAAATCTGAAAGGATAAAGATTTTCGATACGGCAATATTGATTCGGAGAACACTTTTACTGACGAAGTCGAAAAACTATTAATCCAATCATCACTCTCAACACCTAAGTCAGTACGGACCTCTATGGATTTGGAAAGATCATACAACAATCCGCAGAACTTTGAATGACCCTTTTTTTAGGGAACTGTTTTGTGCAGTGTGAGCAGTTAGTAGATCGAAAGCACTAAATGCAAGAATTAATGGTCCAAACTCAATTTCTTGAAAGATTGGAAATCGGACAAATGTGGAGTTGAAATTTGACTAAAAATCTGTTCTTCATTATGACTGAACAGAAGGCAGAGGCTAATTACTTTCTTCCAAAACCAGAGGAACAGAAGAGACAATAGAGGTCTATGTCGTAATAGAAAACTGTCCACAAAAATTAAGATACACATTTCATGATCATATTTAGAGATGAAAAATTTTCTGGGCTACCGATCATCATTAGATACCAAAAGATATGAAAGTCCATAGTAAAAATCCACACAGAATCTCAGAAACAACCCATCTTTTTGCTGGCCTCTCAGCGCCACCCTTTTCTGCGGCAGAGCTTGATTTACTGCCAGTTGAATTCCCTTTTAAAGAAAACAAACAGGGAATCAAAAGTGATAAACAGTAACACCCAAAGGAATCCAAAACAAGCATAAAAACTTAGTAACTATGCCATAAAAATGCATGTCTAGATCAAGGACTAGAGATTCTCACCACTGGCAACTGGGGTAGTGGCGTTTCCTTGAGTGATGTTGGCAAATCCTTCAAAGACCTTAGCATCTGGTGAGCCAGCAGGCAGGTGCAGAAGATCTGGAAAAAAAAATGGAAAAACTTACTCAATAGGGTAACTCAAATTTCTCAATCTGTTTCAAAGGGCCATGGCCATGTTCTTGTGGACTTACCGATGCAATTTGTGACATTAACCGGCGCATGGCACAAACTAGGGAGTTTAGCAACAAGACTAACATTGAACTTGATGCCAAGATTGGGATCGTCGCGATCTTTTATCAGGATACAGAGACATTTTGCGCTCTTACCCAACACTTGTTTAAGCCCACTACAACAATCTATGGTAGGAGCTTTAGCATCGCCACCAACATATGGAAGACATGTGGCTAAACCCACTAGTTGGTCTGCGCATTCTGCTCTATCTTTCTGAAAGTCGGATTTTGCAGAACCAATTAGCATCAACAGCACCAAAATGTATGAAATTGATGAAACAGACACTGCATTCTTTGAGCCCATTTTTCGAGATAAAAGTAAAGGGGAGAATATGGACTTGAAAGAAAAGAAAAGACACCTCGAAAGCTAACCTCCTCAGGCTTAGCTTGTGATCGCTTCTCTTAATATGAAGGATGTGAAAAGTAGTTGGAAGTGATGAGGGGACAAGAAATAATAAGTGTGCTAGCTAGTAACAAATAAAATCCATCAGGAGGATTCACATGTCAAGCAAGAAGGGATTTGTCACGAAGTAGATAAGCTTTGTATAATCGACAAATTTTATAATACAGCAGTAATAACTAGCTAGTTGTATGTACAGTAGTTATTCTATAAATTTACTTTGAGAGAGATATAGACAGATAAAAAAAGAGAGAGAAAATAAAAAAATTTGAGCGGACGTAGAAATCTTTTTATCACTTTTGATGGGTATAGATGTAATTTTTATCTTTTTTATGTGTCTATTTCTCTCCTTAAAGTGAGCTTCATGGAGTAACTATTGTACATATCATTAGTTACTCCTGGTGTATTATAAAATTTCTCTAATCTAATCTACACCGTTGTCTCGATTGTCAAGAGTATTTGCTCTTTTTTTTTTTAATTTATATTTTAAAGTCAGCATACAAAATAATTCTTTAAATTTTCATGAATGTATCATGTCGATGTAAAAATATGTTTTTAAAATCATTTAAAAAAATTAATTTTGATTAACAACATATAAATTAATCTAAAAATAATTTTATCGTAAAAAAAAAATGGATGGTTCATCGCTTCATCTGTTTTTTCCTCAAAATAAAATTTTATAAACGGAATTACTCATGTAAGAAAAAAAAATATCCATTCCATATTTTGAGAAATAAAAGTAAACTATTGTATTTTTGCGAGATGATTAGTGAGTTCTATCTCATCCTGAATTTTATGTTTGATTATAATTTAATCCTTTTATTAAGTGTTCGTTAATAAGTTGACGTGTGTCATCGATTTAATTATTTTTCTTTTGAAAAATACTCTTTTAATTATATATTAATTGAAATAATAAGCTGAAGGAGCAGATTGAAATAGGATGTTGAAACATTTTGGACTGGTTGTTGAAACATTTGGTCATCCAGTCCATCCATTGGCATTATAGATTGGCCTAGCCATTCTTATTTAGACCGTTTGAAGCAAGGTTCCCTTTACAGATATTTTGATCAATTCTAGGGTATCTGTATGAGAAAGTGCCACGAAATATTACGATTTTTAGTGTTATTTTTTCAAAAAATAAAAATAAAAAAACTTTTTTCTCATCAATCTTTCCATTATTTATTTATTTATTGAAAAAATTGAAAAATAATGAAAATAATTAAGTTATAATTAGATTTAAAAACATGGGGGACTAGTTTATTAGTTATTAAAACTAGAGGGACTGTTTAATTCTTTTTAAAAAACTAGAGAGACTAATTTATAATTTACTCCCTTTATTTTGTTTTGGTAACCCGTGATATAACTTGGACTCTCTTCTTACATGAATCCGTGATTGCATGGATCAAATCTATGACTAAGAACAAATTATTTAAGCTCGTAATTTGTCTCTTTACCTGCATGAACATGTGAAACAAAGGTAGACAACAAATAATGCACGGCATGCTTTATTTGCTTCCTTAATAGCATCCTTCTGATATGACCCAAAATTCCATTCTCTGAACAAGGTATTAAGTCTTAACATCGAATCATTGATACCAACAAAATTAATGAGACTTACACTTGTGGCGACTCTAATCTCCTAAAATTTGAGTTTTTTATTGAGATATTAATTTTTTTTCATTTTAAAAATATTAATATTATATTATTGTTGTTTCGGATATTAATATGTCACATAAGCACATATGGTAAGTTTTAATTAATGACAGTTTATCACGTATCATGATGGGTTTAAATTAAATGATTGAGTTAGTAATACGATAAGGTGTCATTGGCTAAAACTTACCATCTTGTCATGTATACTTACGTGGTAAAACATCATTAGTTAGGGTCTTAAATATCAATAAAATAAGAGTCGAATTCTAAAATCCCAAAATTAATTATAGATTGCGGATGTTGCTGGTTAAATTTTGGTTGGCATGACCATGTGGCTCGTCATGCTTTAGGCCTCCCAAATTTGTGTCCTTGCAATATGACCAAACACGTTTAACACGTGTGAATGGATGTTGTTTTCGTTTCAAGGTAAGAAATATATATAGCTCCATATTAGAGAGTTCCCGTCTCCATAAACTTGGACCTGGTTAATGTTGCTCAAGCCAATGGTCACTAACCAGTTTACGGGGATAGCTATGCATATCCCCAGCCACCATTAATTATTTAGCACTCGAGAGGATCCAATGTCTTTATGCATCAAAGATTCAAAATATTCCAGCTAAGAATGGATTGATGCCGTGACAATATACAAGACGAGGTTTTTTTAAAAAAAAAAAATCTATCTATGTATTCATTGAACTGTTTTGATTAATTCTTTTATTAAATTTTCATGTATAACATATGTCACGTATTCAGAAATGCAACATACAACGTTAACTCTGAAACTTATAATATTATAATAAAAAAATAATAATAAAACAAAGTAAAAATAGAAGGATTCGATCAATAAAAAAAATATATATATATATATATATATATAAGATTTCAATCAAAATCATGTGAAGAATTCTAGGACCATCATATAATGGGCAAAACCTTAATGATTTCGGCACTTGATTGGGAGTGGTGGCAATAACTATAGGTATAAAAGATTCAAAATTTTCCGATTAATGATCTATTAATTGATGCTGTGGACATTAGGTGAAAATTAATGACATATAATGTGCCATCACATCAATAAATTTCCTAAAAACATGGGAAGTACATATCATCCACGCACTTATCCCGACCATATATTATGATTTAATTTTAGATAACTGTAACATACCTCAACAGTGGCCCCTAAAATGCATAAATTTTGCAAATGGTGTCTATTTTTGGATTTTGCAAGTAGTGGGGAGCTTTAGGAATTCGATTTTTTTTTTTTTTTTTCTCTGGGTACAAGGGAGAGGAAGAGCCCTACAGGCAAAAACGAGTGCTACAAAATCTTGACGAGACCATACTATAGATATCTTCTAAAATCCGACTAATACACCTTCTAGGAGGATGCTAAAAGTATAAAATTCGATTTTGAGAAAGATAATTATAGTCTCAAATTTTTGTCCAATTAACTTTAAGAACAAAATAATGATTATATATATATATATATACAATTAAACAAATCTTTAGAACCGAACTCCTACCACAATTTTTACGAATTTTCGAATATAGCAGGAATATCCACAATTCATAGACCAGTTGAATCATAATAAAATTGAGAATCGAACCAACTTTATCGCTAGGCTACAGAAAATGGGTTAAAACAATGAATTTCTTTGTATATGCATGGCAATGATAAATGATGCACCTCCATACCAGTTTCATATGGCAGCCATTAATTTCTCCATTGACATCAAGCCTTGAAGATGCATTTCTTTTATGAGGCAACGAGGGCTACTTGCAATGGTAGCATCCCACACTCTTAAGACCATTACATGCAAAATGAGTTGCACATGCATTTCGAGCTAGTTTGAGAGATTCAAACCATCACTCTAGCACCTTTGACGACGGGTTTTCCAAAACTCATGACTTGAAAAAACACATGAATTAAGCTTATGACATTATTGTTTTTTCCTTTTTGCCCTTTTGGGTTTCAAGAATTAGTTTCTCCCATCGATCAATTTTCGAAGTCAAGACTAATCCTTACCAAGTCAAGTCTTGGAAAGTCAAAGATAAGTCATGTCTTTGTTATTGTTTTAGATTCTAATTGAATGATTGAATTAATGACGTAGTGAGTTGTAATTGAATAAAGTTTATTATGTGTACTTATGTAATATATCGAGTTCTAAAACAATAATAATATAAAAATAAAATTTTTAAATTATACAAAAAAAAAACACTTAAGATATTTAAAAAAAAAAAAATTGTACACACAAAACCCAGACCAAATGTAACATCCATGAACTTACACAAGCACAAGAAGCTTACGATTTTTTTTTTTTTTTCACGTATCGAAACTAATTCTTACCAATTCAAATCCTGGTAAGTTGAAGATCAGTCATGTCTCGATGGCTATATTCATGAATTTTTTTCCTAGAGATATTTTGCTTGAATCTAAACCAAAATGCTAACCTCCATGATGTATATACTGTTATTCAAAGCCTATTTCATCTCTTGCGTCTTTCTTTTGGATATTAACTGTTATTTTTGGCCTTTGTTAGGGAGCACTATAGAGTGAATTGTGAACTCTGAAGGACTGGATTGCAACTAATCGACATTGATTTGACAAATACAGAGACAGATGTGATTGCATTTATAAGCCTGGACCAAAAGCTTTCAGGGGACCTTTATCAAGCATGGAAGATGCAGCCATGCCAACTCGAAGTTTCATGGAAATATGGGAAACCCTTTTCTGTACATTAAATCGTTTGAAGTGCTATCTTGTCGTAAAAACCTCAGTTGCCTTTGGCAGTATGGTGCCGTTGCATGCTTTTGTGGGATGCGTTCAAAAGATGACATTTGCCTGTACTTGATTACTAGTTGTGCTATGAGGTGTATGCAATGAAAGAAACTGGACAAGGTTTGAATTGATTGATCATTTGTGATTTCCTTGTAAGAAATTTAATGTTGTCTCCCTTAATTAGATGTTCATTGCTTACACAACTGGCTGTTCCTCATCGGCAATGCTAGAATCATTGATAACGATTTAGATACATCATTAGGCTTCGGAAACAACTTCCGTGAAAAAATTAACTTCCGAAAAAGTTATTTTTTAGAAAATTATTTTTTAATAAAATATTTTTCGTAGTTTGAGAATTCTATGAAAAAACTACTAAAAAATATATTCTAATATTTATTTGATATAAAAAATTAAAATATAAAAATAATATATAATTGTTACATCAACAAGTTTTGAAGAAATTTCAAAAAGTCATATTCATAATTTTATAATATAAGATACATTTAGAAAAATTTAATAAATTTTCATAAATACTGACTCTAAAGTTTTAATTTAAAAAATAAAATATGTTTTTTTAATCATCAAACTAATTTATCAAAATGACCTAGGACATAATCAAGTCAATATTCACATTTAGTAAAAATAAAAAATAAAAAAATTCTAAGTAATCCTAGCATTGTTATTTTGATAATTAAATTAAGATTTTTTTTTTTGAAAATTGAACTCGATAATTTATTCTAAAAAATAATTTTATGAATTATTAGTTATCATTTGTAGATAATTATTCATTTGGTTTCAAAAGAGTAATATTGGAATAATTTATACCTAATTATTCACTACAATTATCAACAAAATTTTACAAGTGATTAAGATAAAAAATTATTGATTTAGTTGCAAATGAATAATGTTGAGAAAATAATATATTTATTAATAAATTAATTAATTTCAAAAATTTTACAAAAAATTGTAGTCTTGTAATAATCATTTTCAATCATTTAAATATAGTTTAGGTAGTGTTTGATATAATAGTAAAAAAATAGAGATAAATTATTAAACTATTTATTATAAAAATAATTTTAAGGTGTAAAAATTGTTTTTAAGAATATTTAATGTATTTATAAATAAAAAATTCAAATATTAGTAGAAATAGAAAAAAATTAATTAAATAATTAATAATAATTGATAAGGAATAATTAAAAATTAATTTGATATATTTTAAATAAAAAGAAAATAGAGAAAATATATCAAAAAAGAGGTAAGTAACACGAAAGCGAGACAGACTTGAAAAAAAATGTTTTTTTTCTTTTTTAACTAGGAAAATATTTTCTTAAAAATACTTTATCATTTTTCGTTGATTGGAAATCATTTTACGTTGACTTTTTTTCCTAAACGCGAAACAAATACTGAAAAATAAAAAAATAAATTCTTGAAATTTGTTTTTCCCTAAACAAATACAGCCTTAGAGGTTGGCATCGGTTCAAATCCAAAAGGTTAGCATGGGTTCTAAAACCTTCCATGAAATCTTTCATGTGATATGGTTGTCAAATTCGATTCGAGATTTAAAGAAATTGAGATTTCGGATCATAAAATTATGGGTTAACTCACTAGTCAATTATAATAATTTTTTTCATAAATGCATAAATATATCTTTAGCTAAATGGTTGAGTTTATATGAAGAGACAAGAAATTAGGGAATTCAAATTCTTTGATATTTCTAAAGTTTGATACCATGTTTCAAATCTTAATTCGAATTAGCTCCTTATCCAGTTTAACTTCAAATTTATCTCAGGTTAAATCCCAAGTCATTGAATTTTCAGATCAATCTATCGGATAGGACTGGGTTTTACAATTTTGATCTACATTTCGATACCACGTTAAATTACACATTAGATTTCAAACTTTAATTAGCTATTTAATGACCATGGCAAAACTGAAACTTTTTTAAGTATAAGGACGAAAATTGAGAGGTTTAACATGAGGGCATACATAGACATTGACAAATCTACAGGGGGCACAATATAGTTACGAAATTAGAAAAGCCGTTACCTTCAAAATTTCCCCCAAAAAGGAAAAAAGCAAATCTTGAAATCTTCGTTTCTCACTGAATCTTCAATCACAAACCCTAAGTCCCCAAATGTCAAAAACCCTAAAAAAATCTTCACCGAATCACGAAACCCTAAAAATCCTAAAATCAGCAATCACTTCAAGACTCCTCCTTCTGTCACTCATCTTCCTCTGGCGCACCCTCTTTGATCCATACGACACATCGTCTCCTCTAAATCCCAATTGCCTCTTTTCTACCTATCAGCAACAACAAAGACTGCATGTCATTCGATTTCCTCGCATTGGGGCTGCAATAGAGAACAGTATCGTATGGGATGGTGTCTATTTTGTTAGGATTGCTCAGTGTGGATATGAATATGAGCAAAATTATGCGTTTTTACCTTTACTTCCTGCTTGCATTGTCGTTTTGTCACGTACAGGTGTGTAAAGTTTGATGCTTTTTACATGTTTGTAAGATTTTTTTAGCTTTTTGGATCATAACATGAATTGGGTTCTTGTTGTTTTTGAGATCATAAATTGAAATGGGTGGTTTTTTTTTTTTGGTTGTATTTAGCTTATTACTGAGATTTTTGGATTATAAATTGAAAGGGTTTTTCTTTTTTGGTGAATTCTGTTGTTGATTTCAGTCTTAGCGCCTCTGGTTCCAGTTATTGGGCACAGGGCTGTGCTTGCTCTGGCGGGTTATTTGGTTAATAATGTCGCATTTGTGCTCGCGGCGGTTTATTTTTACAGGTGAATTGTTGGTTTATGTTGCGAGTGTAATTAGGGTTGATGTAGCTGTTTTTGGCTGTATCGAAATTAATTGAAGTTTAAATTTTAAGTAGGTAATGTGAAAGTTTGAATCATTGCTGGCTATGAATCTCATTTGATTGGCGTGCTATATTGAGAATTTGATTTAAGTTTGTAGTGGCAGAGGTCCTAAATGATTTATGGAGTCAATTTTTCAATAGGTCTTATTTGGCGAGCTTTTTGTTTGAGAATACACATCCTAACAACTCTTTACTGTGTCATGAAGAAGAAGGCCAGTTTGGCTACTTCTGCTTTTATCCGTGTTTAATGTTAAAATTATCTTCTGAATTTTGTTAGACTACTGACTTTATCTTTATTTATTTGGAGGATTCGTAATGGCTTCAGGAAATGGGTTCTATCACTTGAATACTCTATGCTTAAAACATTGGCGTGTATGGTTCTCTACTTTATAATTTCTGATTGGTGCTCTTGTATTTGGTTGTTCTAACAGGGTTTCAGTTATTATTTTGAAGGACTCTGAAGCAGCATTTCGAGCTTCAATTTTGTTTTGCTTCAATCCAGCTTCCATATTTTATTCATCAATGTAACTTCTCATTTCTTTCATCATGAATCGGAGTTTAAAAAATCGAATTAGACTGAACATTTTTATCTGTGCTTGTGGTTACAGATACACGGAGAGTTTATATGCCTTATTTTCACTGGGAGGGTTGTATCACTTAATGTCTGGTGCAAGTAATATAGCTGTTCTTTGGTTCGCTCTCTCTGGCTGTGCAAGGTCTAATGGAGTGCTTAATGCTGGTTATCTCTGTTTTCAGACCATGCATCAAGCTTATGATGCTGTATTCCTACAAAAACGTGCTTGTGTAAGTGTCTTTTATCCTTTAACAGGTATCTTCTATTTGGTTAAGGTGTTTCTGTATGTATATACAAAGATGTGCTAATTAACTCTTCATTTTCAGCATAAAGCACACAATTTGATTAAGTTGTTTCTGTTTGTTTATACGATAACATGTTGACTGATTAACTGTTCATTTTCAGCATAAAGCACACATACACACACCATGTTATACATGCAATTCAGTTCTTTATTTTTTATTGATATGTGGGGCATGTAACTTGTTTTGTAATGTTTCAACCACTTGTGGTGAGATGATATCTTAAGCAATTTTTTACTTCTGTGCTAGTTGGCAGTGAAGGTTCTCATTGTTGGAGTGCTGCGTTGCATATGTATTATCATTCCATTTATTGCTTTCCAAGTATATGGCTACTACAACATTTGTCATGGGCATTCCTTGGATGAAATGAGGCCTTGGTGCAAAGCCAAAGTACCTTTGTTGTACAATTATATCCAAAGTCACTATTGGTATGTTCATCTTGAACTATGGTTATGATGGCTTCTTGCTCCTATACCTCCTTATATTTTCAATGCAGTGTCGACGCCTCTAGAGTTTGATCAGATGCTTTCCTTCCTAGCTCTTAGAACTGAATAGGATATCTTCTTTTATAATTTGTATATAGTGTGACTATAATAGGTAGCTCCACAAACATGTGAAATCTTGATCTGTTATTCTTATATTGGTGGCTCTTTTAATGCCAGGGGAGTAGGTTTCTTGAGATATTTTCAGTTGAAGCAGTTGCCAAACTTTCTTCTTGCATCTCCAATATTATCTTTGGCCCTTTGCTCCATTCTCCATTTTGTGAGGTCACAACCTGAGATATTTTTCTCATTGGGTTTTCGAGCGTCTAACGGAGAGAAGAGGCCTGCAGCGTCACAGTCCTCTCTAGACACAGTTCCAGAATCAAACAGCTCTCTCTTGAAGGAGAAATCCTCAACCAAAATGCAAGGTACAGCTTTCAAACTGAACCATGTAAATTACCTGTTCATTCAATGTAAATATGTATCTTTTGGGAGTGATGGTAATATTAGTACCTAATTAAAAAACACAATATATTGTTTTTAATGATGAGTAGTTGATGCATTTGGTTTACAGCTGGTTGTTGATTTTATATCATGTGTGTACTGATTATGTATGTTTGAAATGTAAGATAATTTCCTTTATAATCACAAATGTGTACCTATGCTGTTGATATGGAATTTAATTCACTGCTTTAATATGCATGTTATCATTTCTATTCTGTTTCCTATTAAATTATCAGTCAGAATGTCAACAGTCTGGCTGTGTTGCCATGAATTAACAAGATTTTGAAAGGTCATGCCTGCAACAGATAAACACAATTTTAGGCAGAGGAAGCAGAAGATCAAAGGGGATAATGATGAGGTACTCCTGGATGAATACGATACGCTCAAGAAGCCGAGTTACTTGTCTGCCTTTATCCTCCCATGTACTCTGCACTTGGTGTTCATGGCAGCCACAGCATTTTTTGTCATGCATGTACAGGTTAGACCGATCCTTAGTTCCTTACTCAATCTGTTTTGCATAATCTGTGGCTTCAAAAAGATGAATCAAGTTTTCTAATGGTAACTGTAAATCTTTCTTCTGTTGCTTGATAATCAACAGGTTTCCACACGTTTCTTGTCTGCCAGTCCTCCTCTCTACTGGTTTTCTTCGGATTTAATGATATCTTCTGGCATGAGCAAGAGATGGGGATACATGATCTGGGCATATTCAACAGCCTACATCCTTCTCGGCAGTTTGCTCTTTTCAAACTTCTACCCTTTCACCTGAAACTTGAATCGAGTGTTCCCCGTTTAGCAAAACGAAAGCTTCTCCTACTCATGGACTTTTGCCATTTCACGTGGCCATTTGATTGTCTGGGTGCAAAACCGCAGTGGAATGAAGTGCCCATAAACGATCAATCATGTCGAAAATGCCAGCTGCAAAACTCCTCATGGTTTTTTCTCTGCTTTTTTTGTAAAACCATGCAGTGAGAGCAACTTTTTGCAGTGTAATGTGATTCAACGAGAGTTGCTGATAGAAGAGTTTTTTTATCAGAAATTTCATCAGTTCAGGTTTAGTTGATGGAATGTAAATTATTGTATTTCTTTGTTACCATCATGGAATCCAAGTTTTTGCACAACAAGAAATCATGAATATTAGTTGAACTGTAAATTTTTTTTTTCGCAACCTTGTCACTATCAATATCAAAATCGTGTTCATGTGGTAAAATATTTTCCTGGATTTTGTTTTCCTACGTTCATGAGAAAATTTATTCTATCTTGAACTATGTAGAATGGAGGAGAAATAAAATAAGATAAAATAGAGATTCCAAAAGAAGATAAAATAAATATATTAAACTAGAATTACTAGAATTGTTTCAACTATCTTCAAATGAATAAAAATAGAGATTCATAAAAAGAGAAATTCATGTTTTCAATAAATAAATGATATAATTAAATATTAAACTAAAAAATGTACTACACAGAAAAATAAAAACATAAACATTTATATTCAATAAATATAATAAAATATTTGTTTCGAACTTCAAAAAATGATCATTTTAGTATTTTGATTTATAAAAATAGTTTAAAACCATAAAGGATTTGCACGGAATTATTTGTTTATGTACGTAAAAAAAAAAAAAAGTAAATCAGCAAGATTACAAAAACTGATTTTAATATAATATATACAATAAAAACAACACGAAATCCGATTCCGCAGCAAAACACGACTCAAATACCATCGATTCCAAAAATTATTTGGATTTTTTCCAAAAGTGAATTCGGAAAATATTTTCGGTAAAATTATGGTTCCAGGCCCATTTTTGGGCCTAATCAAGAATGCTGCACACTGCACAAGCCCAAAGCCTCCATTGAAGAAAACGAAGCAGCTAGAGCTTGACACAAAGAAAAACTTTATGCGTCTGCTTTGCTCTGAATATTGCATAGGGCGCTATAGGGCTGTATCATCTCTCTCAAGTAATCGCCTTTTGGTATCATCTCTTCCATTTTCAGTTACCCTTTTACTCTCTGTGTATATATTATTGAAGTGGTACATAATTTCTTAGGGCTCAAGAGAACATTTAGAGTTTTTTCTTTTCTTTTTCTTTTTTTCCTTAGAAAATGAAATAGTAATCAAACAGTAAAGTAAGAAAGTTTTTGGCTCTAAATTTTGCTAAGAAGATATCTAATATTATTATTAGCTAAATAGTCTAATAAAATTGCTGCTTTTTTTTTTTTTCCTATTAAGATTAAATATAAACTATGAGGTGCTTATTTCATTGCTTTTTCATGTTTTTCTACTTGCTTTTCTTTTTAAATCCATTTTTTTTGGTACTGAGAAAGAAAACCTAGAATGTGAATTTTTTCGAAATCTGAATATTTTCTTAAGGTCGCTTTGTAGAATAGTTAAAAAGAAAGAAAGAAAGAAATTTGTTGGGATTTTTCAGGATAATCATTTTTTCTTGTAGTTCCGTTGATAAAAAAAAGTGTCACTTACCCTAATTTAACAATTTTGAATTGAGTATTGTATTTATGTTATTAACATTGTGGATATATGGGAAGGATTTAGTTTAGAATCTGATTAAGTGGTTACAATGCCTTGAGAAATGAATTGATTTGCTTGTGAATTTAAGGTTTTAGCCTTGGGATTGTTTTACTTTAGAAATGATAGACAATGTCTTGCTTATGTCCCGAAGTACAGTCGTTTGAGTATAATCAGTTTGTATATTTGTGTCAGCTATTTTTAGTTTGCAGTGAAAAGGTATACAGAGAATGGGATGAGTGTGACTGTGAGGTAGACCAGACATCTGCAGTTGAATTTCGAAGGGCTAAGATGAATGCAGCAAGTGCTTCATCTGGTTCATCAACAGCTAGTGGTTCAAAGGTTTCTTTGTTTGCTGCCAAGTCAGGGTTTGTTATCCCGAAAAATAAACTTTCAGGTTCGTTGGTTCCTATCTTCAAAGGAGGTAAAAAGCCAGGTAGTAAAGATGCTGTGAATGGAGAAAGTACCAATCAGGACCAAGTCCAGAGGAAAACAAAATGGGGTCCTGATGTAACACAAGATGCTGCTGTTAAAAGGGGAAGAACCTTGGCTTACCAGGTAAAATTAGGAATTTTTTGCATGTAATACGTTCAATTTTATCCTATCCTTTGTTGAAGATTATAACCTTCTCGCATTAGCTTTTAATTTCCAAGTTATAGTTGCTTGGATTTTTGTTTCTTAATGAAGATTTAATTTCTTGAATTTAAAATGGTTTTGAGGCACTTATAGCCTCAGTTTGTGGGAGAATATGTTGCTCAGTTGGAGGCAATTGAAGATTTCCCTTTTTCCCATTGGGTGCCAAAATGTCAGTCTTCTCTGTGTGAATGGCTGACATGGAAGCTTCCCGTTCCAGGTGCCACTAAGTGATATAGAAATTTTGGGCAGACTCGAGTGGATCAAATTGTGGAGCAGCTGAAAATGGGATTTCCAGAACCCAGGAGAGATCAAGACTCCCACGACTCCAATGAGCTTGAAGATCTCAAATCTTTGATTCCACAAATCCATATTAAGGTAGAGTTGCTGTTGATTTTGCACCAATGTTCATCTTGTATTGACCTTATTAGTACTTAAAATTGCTTTTCATTTGACATCAAGAAGTTATTATTGGATTTATTGTGTGTAGGACTCTGAAATTTTGGAACTTGAAAAACGGGAAGCTATAGGTATGTTTGATGCTTCTCAGGAATCATGTTACTTTTTCCATTTTGTTTTGTGTGGCTTGATGGTATCTTTCTTGATTTTCCAGGTGAGATACTTAAATTGAATCCTAGCTACAAGGCTCCACCTGATTATAAGCCTTTGCTAAAAGAGACCACAGTTCCTATCCCTGTAAGTCATGTTTAGATGGCTTAGTTTCTTGTCTCTCCTTTTCCATAGTCTTTAATTTACTGCTGTATGAAAAGATACCTTTTGCTTTGCTAAGGGCAGTTTTATGGCTTCCTTATCTTTTTTTTTCTTTTGGTAAATTGTATTGAGAATGACCATGAACATTTGCTTTGTACTAGAGATCTTATAATAGAATGAAGATAAGGTAAGGATTTTGGATTAGCAGGAATTTATTAGCTGTGTTTAGCGGTAGGCATTTTTTGTTATTTTTGTTATTTAGTATTACCTGTCATGATTGCTTGCTAGTTGCTTGTTGCTACTTATGTTTTGGACGCAATGTGTGTGCCATCAAGGGTGTACGACTTTAAGTTGTAAACTTGTGGATGTCGAGAGTAAATTTCTTAAAATTTTGAATGGGTAAACTTGAAGTCAGATTGAAATTTAATTTGAGGCCTGCAAAATTCACTATACAGTCATTAGAAAATAAGTATGCAATAGACATGCTGGAGTCAAGTAGCTGGATTGGGCTAATTTTTTTTTTGTTCCTTATTTTGGTCAATATGTGTGCTGTTTTCTTTTAAAGCCACCAAGTGAATGCCACCATCAGCCATGTGTTCTTTTATTTCATAGCCAAGTTATTGCCACAGTCACTTATTTGAGATTACTATTGCAACTCCATGACAGGTAGTGCTAATGGACGGGTATGGTATATTGCCTCTGCAGGTGAAGGAGTATCCTGGATACAATTTTATTGGTCTAATATTTGGGCATGGAAGCGAGACTCAGAAGCGATTAGAAAAGGTATATACTTTGGCTGATGCCCCTGTCTGCTTCTGAGAAAACAGGGGATTATGTTTTTCTCCTCTTCTTTTCAGGGTGGGGCGGCTTCTTTAATCTTACTTGTGCATTTCAGTTATCCTCATTCAATTTCTGATTTTGTGAATAGGAAACTGGAGCCAAAATACAGGTACATGGTACCAAAGCACATACAGGAGAGAAGGTAACTCTTCTTCTTAGTACGAAGTTATCTTCCTAGGATGATTGGTCAGAAACTTGTTCTTCTTGCTCCCCCTCTAGTTCTGTTCATTTTACTGTCTCCTTTTTTGTAAATAAGATTTTTTGCTACTTGAACTGGTGAAACATCAATATTGAAATATCTTCTTCAAGGCGTAATTCATTGTGCATTTGAATCCTTACTTTTTTCTAACTTTATTTCCAGGTTGAAATTTTTCCATCTGATGGCAATGAGACCCAGATTGCTTATGAGGAGTTGAGTGTTCTTGTAACAGCCGACACTTTTGAGAAAGTTGATGCAGCTGTTGTTCTGATTGAATTGCTACTCACCTCAGTATCAGTGAGTTTCACTAAATTGAAGAGCACAGAAAACCACTTGTTTGTATAGTTATTGTTGGCCATTTGCATCTTGTAGCTGGATCAGGGTGTGTGTGTTTTTTGGTTTTACTTCTGCCGGTGATTTGGTCCTAGACTAACTGTCATCTCCTTTTGTGTAGGGAAATTTAGCAGCAGGGGATAATGCAAATGTTAGTCAAAATCAGGCAGCTTCTACTCCTTTTTTGGTCTCTACTTCTGTAAACCAGGGAGTGGTGCTACCTGTTACTCCTCAACAAGGCCAGTTCCAATATCAAAATTCATGGTTCCCTGCTGCCACACCTCTACCTCCACCTTCAGGCATAATTTCCCCTCAGACTTCTTCAGCACCAATTTTAAACAACCCTATACCTGTACAGTCATCATCTTTCAATTCCTCAACCATGCCTTCATTATTCGGGCCTCGACCCATACAGGCCTTTTCAAATCCATATCATCCAAGAAATTTTCCCATGCCCACTCCACATCCTCAATCTTATACTGGTAGCCAGCCCCACCCAACAGGGCTGTCCTCTGTTGCAAGGCCGCCATTTCTTCAACCCCTGTCAAGTGGTCCACCGGACGGGCTATTAGGCCCTTCAGGGAGCAATTCTGGGTGGTCTGGAGCTCCTGCAAATGTTCCAGCATCATTAGGTTTAGGCAACATGGGACAGACAACTCCTATAGTTCCTTCACTTGGTCCTAGGCCTGCTTTTCCACAGCTAGGTTTTCCGTCCAATGCACCACCTCTGAATGCTGCTAATACAGCCTTTCCATTGGGACCGTCCTCTCTGCAATCACCCAGTGTTTCTATGAACCGCCCTACAGCAACTTTTGCTTCTGTTCCACCGCCTCAAGTGGGACCTTCCTCTGCTCCTACCCCAATCCAATCTTCATTTGTTACGCCTTTGCCAAATTCATCAATAAGCCTGGTACTTGGGTCCACTCCAGTTTCTTCACCCATGATGCCCCCATCACAGGCAACTCCACAGCCAGGGGTTTTAGGAGCTTTTTCTGGAACTACCTCAAATTTTGCTCCCATGAGATCACCCGCAATAACAAATGCAAAAGTACAGCATTCTGGTCCTGGTGATTTTATTTTTCAACCTCATCTTCAGAATCCAGCACCTCAAATGGTTCCCAGGCATAGCAGTCATCATGCTACTCAAAGTGGTCCACTTCCTAGACCCGCGATGCAATCACCAACACCTCAAGGACCACCTTTCCACTTGGATGTCCCTAATTCAACTCCTCAACCTGGCAGACATATGTTTCCTAGGCCACAGGTTGGCAACCACATGGGTCAAGTTCCCTTTCTTGGAAATCCTTCTGGTCCGTCACTTAACCCTAGACTTCCAGCATTTTCAAATCAAAGTCCAGTGGGACCGCCAGTCATGCAGATGGGATCAAGGAACTTCAGTTCAACTCCCCACGTACACAATTTAACAGGTCCTTTACCTCCCAGATCTGGAAACCCATTGCCGCTTCAGCAGAATTATCCAGGTCCAGTAGCTCCTCGAGGACAATCAATTGCTCTGAATCAGCAGCCTTTCATCTCCTCGGCATCTTCTAGACCAGCTTCATTCCGTGGAGGTCAGCAGGTATATGATCCTTTTTCTCCCACTTCTGCGTCAATTGCATCTCAACGGCAAGGAGGTAATCCAGGAAGGGGAAGAAAGCCAGAGAACGATCCTGACTCTGAGTATGAAGATTTGATGGCCTCGGTTGGAGTAAAATAAGCTCTTCTCGTTGCAATGACTTGGTTTCAGAGCATGGATGAACGCAAAATCTTAACATGCTCTTAAGACATGACCGTAACTTGTTTCTCTTCAACTTTTAACTTCAGATATGAGAATCATATGATGTTGCAGAATTTTACCCTAGATTACTGATTGTATTCTATTCCCTATTCTGAAATATGAATGTATGACAAAGTTGGTGGCCTGTGCTTATATAGCTTTGGAATGCAGTTACGTCTATCAGGTGAACATATCCATTGCATATGTTTGTATTTTATTAGAGAAGGATCTTGGGGATTGAATTGGCGCAAAAGAAGGCCAATTGTTTTTTACTGTGTTTTTTATATTACACATTAAATATAGCAGGTATATTTCACCTTAAAATTTCTTTTTCACCAATATTATCTTCAGAATATCTTCAAAGATCAGTACGTTTTGATATTTCTATCCACATACATGCTTTCTGAATTCATTTTGCAAGCCTTGACAGAAGGATCTCGATGCAGACATGAAGACCCCAAAAAAACAATCTTTTTTTTCCCCTCTATTGATGCATGGTTATGTATTATTTAAATACATTTATGATTTACAGGAAAACATATATATATTGGACATTTGAAAATTAAGTAAATAAAAAATGATTACAAAGTAGATTGTGTCACTGCAGAATTAAAAAGGTAATTAGATAGTAGATTAATGAGAATAAAAGAAATACACCACCATAATCTTAAAGAATCTCCAAAATTTGATGCTCATTTGTGCCTATATAAGCAAAACCCACGCCCTTAAGTTTACCTAGTGAAAATTAATGAGAAGGGTGATTTTTTTTTTTTTCCCGAGATTTTGAACCTTGGCATTCATGATTCTGGATCAATGGGAATGCCTAGAAGAAGAGTAATAAGGTTTTTGTTTATGGTATTTCAGAGAAAAATTATAATGGAGACATCCATTTAGCAAGGTTTTTTCATTCTTTAATTTTTCTATTGTATTTATTTTTTGTTGAGGTCATTCAGAAATATGTATCATTAATTGTCTTTCATATTAATTAACTAATAAAATAAAAGAAAACACAATTTCACCGTAGCTATACTATTTGAAACACTCGTGCACACACTCATATTTTACTATTCATCCTCTCACAATTCACTGCTATTTTCATTATTCATAACTTTTTTATACTTTAGTTCTTGATATTTTCAAACACATGTTTCGATCCATATGTTTATTTCCTCATCCCATTTGGTCCCCGGATGGAGAGAGAAAGTTGAGAGGAAGAGAGATACGAGAGAGAGAGAGGATCGCCGGCCAAGCTCATTTAGATCACTTTGGCCGACGAAAATCCACCATATCTTTTTATTTTTGAGAGATGAGTTTGTCCATGGTGGTTTCAAGCCATTAAACAATTAAAGGAGATAGATTAGAGCCAAAAAAGAAAAAAAAATCCGATTTGATTTTGTATTTTTTTTTGTTTTTGTGTGTATTAAAATGATTTTTAAAGCTTTGAATGTGTTTATTGGCTTTATTTCGGTCATTTAAAAGTATTTGAGGGAAAAAAAAAACCGAAATCCAATTTTTAGGAGTCTGAAAGCTGAACGTCGATTTTCCGACGAACTTCCGACGAACCCATAGGTTTGTTTGTTTGTTTGTTTTTTTTTTTTTTCCTCTTGAGCTGCAGGCAAGGCCTGGTGCGCGGGCCTGTCTGCAGCCCAATCGAGATGGGCTCCTTTTTTTTTTTTTTTAATGTGCAACGCCCCCTCCTCTCTCTCTCTCTCTCTCTCTCTCTCTCTCTCTCTCTCTCTATATATATATATATATATATATATATGAAGAAAAAAACAATAAAAAAGAAAGTCTACTAAAAAAAGTGAAAAATATAAAAAATAAATTGTTATTTTTTTTAATTTCTCGTAAAGTTCAAAGATGATATATCTATATACATGAATATATTATTTTTAATGTTTAAATTTAATTTTTTAATTATTTATTTATTATTAGAATTCATATAAAAAAAATTCATATAATTTTATTTTTTTAATATATGAATTTTGAAATAAAATTTTAGAACATTAGTGTTTTATTTTTTAAATATATTATTATAATTTATACAATAATTTTTTTTAAACTTTTTTAATGAAATTTTTTTGTTGATTATTTTTATTATTTTAAATTTACTATTTTAATTTGTCATTTTTTTTTTAAATTCTCATTCATTTAATTTTAAATTACATTAAAAAATTTTAAATATTTTTTTCACTTTTGAATTCATATATTTTTATACATTTACATCATAAAACAAACTATCAAACTAAAATAATTTTTTTTTAAAGCTTTTATATATTTTATCCTATTTGTAGCGTAACACGGACAAAAAATCTAGCTCTGTATGATCTCAAAGATTTTGTACAGTCCATCTTTTAATGTCCTTTTTCTGTCCATGATCATTAACAAAGTAGTTCTTCTTGTCTTTCGTACTGGGGCAAGGTATGCTAATTGCAATCCACAGAAAGCATAGCGTTTTATTTCTTTACAGTCCATATTCTTTTCTTCAGTAAAAACATCAGTCACTGCAAACTATTCTGTGAATCAACTTGAAGAGGTTTCATTTCTGTCCATATTTGTTGACATCCATAATTCTAGATTGTTTTCTATTTATGTCAAAGAAAGTTACCATGGCACAAGAGGCAACCAGAAAGCACATTTTACGTACGATGACGACGAAGCAGGAAGCTCAACAGACATGGGGCAGAATGAAACGGTGGAAGTCTGGAAGAGGTTCCCCTGCTGGAAAATTGAAAATACAGAAGCAAGAACGTCTTGAGATGGATAAATATGGCATTTCTTTTCCATATTCTGTACCAATAGCCCTTTCATAAAAAAATGGGAAGATCACAACTAATACATGGGCAGTGAAAGCATCTCTTGTAAAGATTGAAGGTATGCTTATATTTACGTGACAATGCCAATTTTCTTGTTCTTTCTATTAAATATAGGGCAGGCAGCACTGCAGGCCAGGTCATAAACAATTCAATCCAGATATATGCACTGATCTCATTCTCACCTATCTAGGGAAGAGGTCGAAAAGCTCAACCATCTCAACCAACTTCTCATAGCATTAACCACCTCTCATCCTTGAATTGTTCCATACTTCTGGGATATAGAGCAAATTAGCAAATTGTAATTTTGTCATAAGCAGGAGGTTCGTTTCATGATTCTCCTATTTACAAGTCAGAGTTTGGATAGATACAAAAGGTGGGCAAATTATTATAAAAGCACTTCAGATGGAAGGGGCAGACCTAAGAACCCTCTCCAGTTTCTCAGCCTTGATGTAGTCCTTATCTGTAAGAGGCCCAGCAGGAAAAGCTGTAATTTCCACGACCAAGTGCGGGGTTGGGAGTTCATCAAAGAGAGCTCTTACATTGTTGCAGCACACACTTTCACCATGAGCACTCTCCCTCCTAATTTGACAGCCCTGCAAACAGTGTACAGAGAAATTTAATAACATATCACCCCATTGTTTCATATTATTATGTTACCAACTATGCTTAGAAGAAGATGGCATCGGAACTCTAGAGTCTAGAAATTGTTTCATAAGTTGAACCTTGTGAGAAGTCGCTTCTAAAAAGTGGTCATCTTCAGATAGCAAAGCTGCAATTCCTTTAAGAAGGCGTCGCCCTTCAGATTTGGAAGGCACCCTGTAGTTCCTTCTGAGTGTACCCTTGGTTGTGGGATGCCATTTGCTCACCAGTTTCCTTTTGTCAGCTGCTTCTTTATCTGCTTAAACATTATGATATGGAATTATTATATCTTCCAAAAGAAAAAGGAAAGGATCCAGATCAAAATTTTGGTGGCAATACCATAAACAAATTAATAGGAGCTTCACGTCAGCAAAGATGTTGAACAAATTCGGAAATTCCAACAAAAATATTCACAATTATTGAACACTAGAGTAGAAACCATTATCAGATTCCTCAGTTAACAAACTCTGCTAAACAGAACATTTTTTTCACAAATATATCATCCAATATACAGAGGGAAAACTTTAGAAATAAAGCACGCTGTCCCAAGAGTAACAGTTTGCAAGAATAAGTGTGCTAGCTCAAGTTTCCAGAGGCTAGCACTGTGTCCAAATCATTCATCTAAGAAACCAGCATTGGTCAGAGTGAGCTGTTAGGGTCATATTCGCTCTTTCACTTCTACGAGACTGAAAAAAGAAAAGCAGCAGAGGACGAGCTTCGAAAGGAACCTGAACAACAAATTCTGTGGTTGGACATAGTGTTTTAACATTTACCATGTTAAGAAAGCCTAGATGACAGTTTAATCACGAGAAGGATGCATGAACCTAGCTCAGAAAGCAACAACTAATTTGGCATTTAAGATGGAAAAAAATTATTTTGGGGGTGAGTGTGGTGATTTGTGATCTAGTCCACATCAGATAACTAATAGAACGATACTCTATACTAATTGAAACATATCTCAGCAATCAGAATGGCTTGAAGTTGCAGACTTTACATAAATGCTCAACATTAACCTTAGAGTACCGAGCAAAGACAGATAATTCGATTATCTCTAAACAACTAAGGCTGTTATATTTCCTTGTTGATTTCTGTACTCACCACCTTTTCTCATTCGTTAAACTAAAAGTAGAGCACATCAATGTAATCCACTAAGGCACTCCTCCTAATCCTTGTTATTACCATACTCCATAAACTTCAAAATTTCCAAATTTAGCCAAAATGTTCAAACAGGCCATTTCAAAAAACTCTACTTAAAGCTAAACAACCAAACTCTAATACTTTCAATCTGTACCTTTGAAATCTAATAATTAGAGGTGTCGAATAAAAAATTTCAACAAAACCATAAATGTAGTAAAACCTGATTTCTTGCAATGTTTGTGCACATACATACAACTAAAGAAACCCACAAACCTGGTTTCCCTTGTATGGCCTCAATCCACTTCGAAAACCCCAAGTCACCAGATTCAGTACCAGCAACACCACCATCACCATCCAAGCCTAAAACAAATGTACACCCTCAATCAATAAAAACCCATTAAAAATGCATCCAAAAAAATAGCAAAATATAAAACCCAACAGAAAAAAGTAAGTACCAGAAACAAGTGGGTTAGCCTCTGATCCAGCTAAACCAGCCTTTAACAGTGCATAAAAGATACAAAGCCTCCCAGCCCATAAAACTGGAGCCTCGATCAAAGAAGCATGAATAGCAAAACTAGCATTAGCTGTCAACTTTCTAGTTCTTGTATTGCTATAAAAAAGCAATCTTTTCAGGGTTTTTGATGGGCAGTCAAAAGTGGGAAAGAGTGATTTTGGTAACAAAGTTGTCGACTTTATGATACTGTTAAAGTGAGTTTGTGTTTTGGATTGAAAAGGTGATGCGTAAATGGTTTGGACAAGTGAGAGTAGCATTTCTCTTTTTGGACTTCGTTTCACTGATAAAATGGGGACAATGCAAGAAAGAGAGAAGAAGGTGATAACGATTATGTTTGTGTAATTGTAATGGGGTTATTGCCTTAAAATTGTATTTCTAGTACCTCTATTCTTAACTTTGTTTTATTTTGGTCCTTTTATTTATTTTTTATCTTAATATCATCTTATAATCTCTGTTTTGTACAATATATATAGCTATTGAGCAAATTATAAATTAGTTTATCTCGTTTCTAGAAACGAATTAATTAATCTTTCTCATTTCCATAAACAAACTAATTAATTATTTTTCTTTTTAAAAACTAATTATATAGCTCTTTATGTTTTTATTTTGCAAATAACTTAGTTTTTTATCAATTTTTTTGTTAAATTAGTTTTTTTTTTTCATATCCTTTCTCTCTTTCACCCATACTTTTCTCCTTAACACAAAATAAAAACAAAAAGACAATTTGAAAACAAAAATCACTAATCTAACAAAAAAAAAAATGAAATAACAAAGTTATTGACAAAATAAAACAGTAGAGACTAAATTAATTCGTTTTTTATAAACTAGAGGGACTAATTTATAATTTATTCTACAGTTCTTTCGTTAATGGATTAGCTTACGTGTCAATTTAAATTAAATGTTTTCCATGCATACTCTTAAAGTCATATATATATATATATATATATATATATATATATATATATTTATTTATTATATAATACATTAAAAAGAATAAATTCATTATTCTTACAATTTAAACTCAAAAAATCAACAAATAATAAATCTCTTTAGCAGTGGAGTCGATGATGAATGAAGGAAACATTAAATTGGGGTAGTGAGGATCTTAGCTTTTGGAAGGTTATTTTGATTTGGTTGTGGTGTGGGACCCAGTATAGATAATAAAATGAAATGTGGGCCCGATACTGAGATTTTGGCTGGTGAGAGTTTATCCAGTTGTATCTTATCCAAGCCCGATGACACATCAAGGTGGGCTCAAACTGTTTTGTTTTGTGATTCCTCTCTTGACTATAACACAAACAAGATTTCATCAATCCAGCATCTCTATCCATTATCATGGAGCAAATACATTAGGATCACTTTTCTCAGTCAATCATATGGGCTGAATCCAATATTCACCCCTCTTGTGTTCATGTTTAACAGATTAAGACATCATTTGGTTACTAATGATAAAAGATTCGAAATAACAATTTAAAAATCAAAATTAAAATTAAAAAATCAAAATGATATTTATATTTTCCTACTGATTTGAAATACTAAGGAATCAAAATAAAATTTAAATTTTTTAATATCATATGAATAAAACTAATAATTAAAAAAATAATTTTATTAAATTATAATAGTTATAAAAATAATAAAAACGATAGTGTTGATAGTTATTACAATGATAATGATAATGGTGGTTGTTATTGTGCTAGTGGTTATAATCGTTGTGATAAAAATAATTAATTAACAATAAATAAATACAATATATTATTATTTTGAAAGAAAAAAAATCATTCTCATTTCATATTTTTATTCTCACTTTTTAAATAGGAATAAAATTCTATGTAATTTTTACTTCCATTCCTACTTTTTATTTTCATTTGCGCTTCATTTTTTTCAATCAAACAACTATAAAATATGAATAAAATTTTCATTCTCATTCGTACTACTCTATTCTTTCTTGATAACCAAATAACACCTAAAAGATTCAACAATCAGCAGCAGCAAAATACAAAAACAGAGGAGTTCATGCATGCTTGAAACTCAGCCTAAGGGGTGGGAAATAAAAGAGGGGATCTCTCCCATTTATGTCCATCTTGGCTCAAATTCTACACTTTCCAAAATGTGTCCTATTGCCTATTGGGTCAAATCCAAGTGTCATATACAAGCAATACCTCTCCCAAAAACCATGAGAACAACAGAAAATTGAGACGGGTGAGGCTAGGGATCTAGCATTTACAAATTAACTATTGAAGAGGTAACACCTAGGGCTTTTCGATCTGGTGTTCTATATTTACAGATACATGATTGGTAAATAATTACATAGGAACAAAAATTCATCTTCAATCCTATTGCTTGAGACCATGAGTGCTCATGATAGGGAATTAACTCTGCATATCAGGTTTCTATGACAACTAATACAAGCTAAACCTAACTTTAACTACAAAATAAGAGGGGCTTGTTCATATCTTAACAAACCGAACATCATTCTGACCAAATGCAGTTCCACATCCAGGGCATTTCCGATGGCGAATCTCTAAATTCCTTTGGATACATGGATTGCAGAACAGATGATAACATTTCACGATTACAACCTGCCAAATATAAAGCAAATAGTTCGAATAGTCAGCCTTTTCAAGTTATCTACAAGAACAATGACAAGGTAAACAGGGGGACAAGAATCAGCCAAAAAGTTCACTCACCTCCTTAGGCCGGTCAGAACACACACTACACTTGAGAATACTTTTGCAATCTTTTATCTCATCTTGGAGTCGCTGTATTGCAGCCTCGCCAGTTTCAGAAGTCAACTCAACAACTCTATTGTTCAACTCCATGAGGTCTTCCTCAAGCCTTTTGTTTTCACTCCTGGCTTGGCAAAATTCCCTCGTCAGATAAATATTAGGTTTGCCAAAAGTTCCTTTACTAAAGGATATAAAGGGAAGAAGACACAGAAAAGCAAGAAGGCACAGAAAAGCTATGTAAAAATACAAATACAGTTAATATGTTGCAACACCAAATGCTTGATGTGCATTTATTCTCCTCACACAATTACCACAACGTACCACACCTTCAACAAGCATTAAACTTCAACCATAAACTATAACATGAACTACACAGCCATTACTAAAATGGCCCAATAAAGCAGCAACTAGATCACAAAAAATTCAGTTTAACTATAATGCATATGCAATGCAAAGTATACCTACATAAGCATAAGGCAAAGATGTTCAATAGAAAAAAAAATCACATTGTAAAGCAAAATCAACACGGCATGCAGAATTTATCCATCCCCTGTCCTCTATCCAATGTATAAAACACCATTCGACTATGCAATGCATAAAAATTTCATATCTAACTGTCACAAAGAAAGAAGTATCACTTTTCACCGTCCAGTTCTGTTTGGATTTCGTCTATCTTCTTCTGGATCTGCTCATACTCCTTCTCAGAAGAAGAAACAGCGTATTTAAGCCACTTCAACTCCTTCTCGGCATCCATCAATTCCCACCTTGCACTTTCAAGATTGATTGCAAGATGTCTGTCTTCTTCAGTAGATCTAACAGCCTCTATCAAACAATGCTTCATCTGCAACATTCAACAACTGGTTGATAGAGAAACTAACAAATAGACAAGTCCTGCAGAATGTTTTCAAACAAAAATTACCTGCTCTTCACTGTGAGCAATCCTCGATTTTAATGATTCCACTGACGCGTTAACTTGTTGAAGTTGCTTAGCCAGTGCCTGCTTCTCAGAGAGTAGAAAGCTTTGAACTTGCTTTGTCTTCACACTCTCAGATACCAGCTGCATTTTAAAACCTCAGTATAATTAGAGATCACAAGTACATTTTTTGACCAAACTACTTTGTTTTTTGGCCAAAGCTAGCAGTTAGCATTAGGTTAACAGTAGTTGGCAGGGCTAGCAAAGAAAGATGTTGGGCTTATATTGACACAACAGGAACCAAACTGAACACCACGGCAAAGTTGAGTGGCTAACTTGGCCACCTCTGGCACGAGACAAAAAAGGTTGAATCCCTCTCAGGGGATTCAAGAGAGGGATTCAACCACGTGACATGCTGCTTCTGGCAGCAAGTTCACTACCACTTGGCCTGAAAGGTTGTCTACTTTCACCCAACTAATTAGCAATGTACCAAATAATGTTTTAATAATCGATTATTACAGACAGATAACTATAAGACAAACCTTGATATTGTAGTCATCCCTCTCACCGACTTGCTGCAATAAGTGTTGGTTTTGTGTCTGCATATCTTCATAAGCTTGGCCAATGTTCTGGAAGAGTAAAGAATTAGGCATCAGGGTGACATAGGTGAGAAAGGAGAATAGAAGGGGAGATGGTGGTGGCAAGTACTAAGGAACCAGAACTGCTGCAAGTTACAAGAACTTAGGGCTTCATGGGAAAAAAACAAGACATAAGCAAGCCTCTTAAAGAAAAAGACAAGCAACACACCTCAATTTCAGAAATATATGCCTCAGCCTCCTTATCTTTACTTTTAATGGCTTCTTTAACCTCGAAAACATCTCTGCATGTAAATAGTTAGCAGAACATTGTCAAGTACTTGCAAAGCAATTCCTACTGGATCTCTATAAAAGGAGGGTGAAAAATTATTTTCAAAAAGAAATGTGGATGTCTAAGAAAATGCTCCAGGAACATAACAGAGAGGGACCAAGAGCATATTTTTAAAGTTAATGAGAAATTTGACAGTAACTAATTGAAAAAATAGATCTTCATTTCAATCAAAATATTCATGATGCAATAGCAAAACCAACCGTTCAGAAGCATCCAGTTTGGCTCTTAATTCAGCTATTTCAGCTTCAGTATCATAAAGCCTTTGTTGGCAGGCAGCTTCAGCCTCATTAGCAGCTTTGACTCTCAACTCTAGACTGTGTTCATCCAACATGCTTTTCAGAACTTCAGCTTGAGAGTAAGCTCTGCGTTCAGATTCTTCTATTTCAAGAATATTTCTACATACAACAAAGTTAAAAAATTAGTATCATGAGATTTAAAGGACTCAGTGAAGCACCAACAATATCAGACATGTGTAGAAAGAAACAGGGAAGGAAAAAAAAATCCTAAACAAAGCAAATTAATATTTGAGCTACCATCGTATTTCTGAACTTCTCACTTATGCAGTTACTCAAATTATTTTATCCATTTAATTTTGCAAAAATTAAAAATCCAAACAGCAAACTCATAAAGACGTACTCTGTTAATTCACCAATTCAGATGAATTGCCAGGGTGTGATCACATAGAAAGTTATGCTCTGTTCCAAGACAACGCTACAAATTTATAATGTGACTCATGCAAACGTGGCAGGGAGAAGACTAGTTGGCAACAATTATCCCATTGTTTCAAAGGGTTTTAATATCCTTTTAAATGAAGCCACTCAAAACACATACCATACATGTCTGTGCCAATTTAAGTGCGCTTTTAGCCTTTACTGCCTAGAACCCAAAACAACGTCTTACTAATTTTCACTTAACCTTTAGAGAATCCAAAGGCCATTAGCTTGTTGAATGGGTTGCATGATATCAATCTTTCAAAAGAATGTACCTGTTGTCATAACCCTCCTGTCCATACATGTCCAAGATTATTTGCAGTTCCTGCTTCTCCTTCTGCAACTTCTCAATCTGCAAAAATAATACCCTTCAGTTACTGTTGTGAATTCAACCATGATTTTCATAACACATGAATTTGTTTAACAATATCACCCTATGCTTTGAATACTGCATACATTTTAACTATATCTTCATGATCTAGATATAAACCTTGCATGTGCACCCAATTATATGATTCGCCACAAGAAGTTCTAGTTTAATGTTATGAGAGAAACATAAAACCTTATAAATTAAAAATGAAGAGGAATCTTATTCAAAATAAAGTACCTACCATGGTCTTAAGAGATTTTATTTCCACCATCTGTTCAGCACATTTGCCTGCTAAGCATTTTTGTTCATTTGTCTGCATCAACAATGAAATGAAAATCATAAATGTCCAACGGCAAGAACCTATTGAATGGAGACTTATAGTAGAAGGTAACTGACAAGCACCAAGTATATTAACTAAAAACGGTGAAGGGAAACAAGATAATAAGCAGGCTTTATTTTAAAAAATATTTTCTAGATTGCATGCACTGTTAACTAGTCCGTGGGAAAGCAGCTCACTTTTAATAGATTATTTTCCACGTAAAATAAGTAGGCAGTTCCTTCTTCTTTTTCTATAATCATCTCCTACACATTTATATAGAAACTCCTTGTGACTCGACAGTCTCCTCATCACGCCCATCAAATCACCTAACAAGGAAAGTGCCTGGCAACACAAAACCCCCATTCCCATCTTCTCTTAAAGAAAGTTCAAATGTAAATATGCTCAACCAGTCAAGTGAACAATTAAATGAAGCTAGGTGCACCAAGTAATCAAAAATAATTGAAGGCAAAGGCTGACCAAGTAGATAGCATCCAACACGAGACATTTGCAAGGGCTCATGTGAATGTTCCACTGTCTTCAAACTAAGAATCCTATAACTATAACTATAAAGCCACCTTTTAGAATGGAGTTCAAAGAACATATAACAAAGGGCAAATTGATGAAATTTAAATCAAATCATTGCTCTTAATTTTATTTATTTATTTATTTTTTTTGGTTGTAGTAAAATTGAAAAGGATACGACCAATACAAGAAATAGCAGGGAACCTTTTCATTTAGCAAGGCTTTTAGTGATTTGGATTCTTCACGCAAGGAAACTGCCTCATGTGCAGTCTGTTTCCATCTGTTCAACTGTGCTTCCATCATGCCCATTTCCTTAGACAAAGCGGAGGCCATAACACGGAACTCTTCTTTAATATCCTTTCTCCCTGCAGCATGTAACATCTTAATAAACCAGATGTCCCAATAAATTACATCTTCCTTTAAAACAAATGTAAAAAATAAAGTCACCTGAATCCTGAACAGCTTCTGCCATTTTGATCTCAAGATCATTTTTTTCAATAATACACTTGTGCAGCTTAAGCTCGAGCTCTTCGATCCTAGGCTCAGCGGTTTCCATGGTATTTCTTGCAGCATCTGCTAACTCCACTTTTGCTTTCACTTCCTTCTCCCTTCTCAGAACAAAAGAGCTGTCGGCCTGAAATCATACTTTTAAAAGAGACAAGTACATGTGACCAAATCATATGGAAGAAAAAGAAAAACATAGTAAATCACCTGCAAAGAATCTGTCAGTAGTTTGCATCGTTCCACTTCATCATTCCAATGCTGGAGCTGATCATTTACTAAACTGTAGAGACGAGATGAATGTATATGTTTGTCATCCTTAAGTTCATTCTGTGCAAAAACAATATCATGAGTTAGGTCCACAAAAACAATAGCTACTAGACAAAAAAAGTACATCACTTAACCTATCAAATCATATAAACAGACCTCAAGATCTTCCAATTCTTTCGATAAGGTTTGATTTTCATCTCGTGCGCCTTCAAGCTCAGAAAGACGGTCAGCTGCAAGAATCTGCAACATTTTCTCAATAGCATATCCGATCACTTAGTTAGTGTTGGTGTGTTGAGAGAGAGAGAGAGAGAGAGATGAAAGGACAGATGGTTTAACTAGTACCTTTGTCTCATCAAGGGAATCCCTCAATTCCCGCAAATGCTTCGACCTATCTGCAGTCTTTTCAGGTGACAAGTTTCCATTTACTGCACTTGGAGCTGGAGTATGAATCCCAACTGCTGCATCCTTTTCCATTTTCAAATTGACTAGCTTTCTTCTACTTTCTTCAAGTTCAGCCATGATCTCTTCCAAATCACCTTTAAGCATAAATAAAACATATGCACACTCAACAGATATTCATGATGTGCAGTAATATAGAAGATGGAGAAACGTGCTACTTACCAACTATATGTTAGTTTACATCCTAGAGTTTTACTTGTGTTTAATTGTATGTATTTGATAAAATTCTTAAAATATATACAAATTGATTTGAAAACCTATCTCAGAGACCTGCAACTCGTTTAATCTCAGATTGATCCGAAGAATGGCTGCTTATACAAGTCTGAATCTCATCAGAGTATTCCTTATGCTTTGAGTGGAGAACATCAATCACCTCATGCAGATTCTTAGCCTCGTCTTTCATCATATCATCGATCTTAGACAACTGGATGATGGCATCTGAAAAAATCCCAAGATGCAACAAAATTCAATAAAACTTAAGAGCTAATGAAAGCACTAAAAAATCAATGAAGAAAATGACTAACCTAATATATGAAATAAATATGAAGAATGATCAAGTAACAATTGGACTTCACATCAAGATTTTTTCTGACCTTCTGTGTATAGCTTTCCATTCAAACCCTCTGCTATGCTCTCAGTTTTTGCCCTCTGAGCATCAACAGTATCTTCAAGAAATTTCATCAACTCCATAGTAGAAGAGTGCCGTGAGGCAAGGGCTTCTTCGACAACTCTAACAATTCTATCACTTCCATTGCTTTGAATAGAATCTATCTTTAGCAGTCTACAAAGAAATATCTCTTCAGCAGGACATGGTGGAATTGAACCTAAAGATTGTCTCTAGTTAGTATAACATATGATAACATGCAAAATAAATAACTAAAAAAAAACCATATTCAAGGACAGTGATTGTATAGATGTGCTAGAGACCAAAAATACAATATCATAAAGAGAACCAAATGCTGATTAATACCTCCAGAATGGTCTGCATGATCCAAGATTTGTAAAAAATTTTGGCCTCCTCCAGCTCTTATGCCAAATAATACTAAATCATCAACCAACTATACAACAGAACCAAGCAATTTAAATACAACAGTAACCAAATGGGGTGCATCGATACCAAATGTACAGATAAAAAGTGCACTCTGGACCTGATTCCATAGTTGGTTCACGGTAATTAACATGCCATCATATGAAGTTTGCTTGTCTCTACGTTCTTTAATATTAGCTTCAAGACCATGCAATTCATGCTTCTGAACCTCTAATTGCTGCACAAGCTTTTGATTCTGACACTGAAGAACTGCAACATCTACCTGGATAGAAAAAAAAAACTAAGGTTTTAAAATAATCCTCTTCCAACCCTCTTGACATATCCTAAAACTGAGAGAGCACAAACACTGGTGCCCACTGACAAAAAAGATTGCCATCTAAAATCCATAATTCGAAATCCTCGCCAATTACTAATACACCTAATGTCCTTCCATTTTCTATCTTTTCTATCAATCAATCAAAAACTATATCACACCACCAATCACTCCAATACTCCTTTCTCCCCCATAAGTGCTTGATAAGCTGAAGGGGTTTCAAAATCAAGAGTTCCATAAATCTTCCCTAATAAAACCAATCCCAATATATTACTTCAACAGCTCAGCTTAGAGCAAGCTGTGAATTTCCTCAACGAATCTATCACGCAATGATCACTCACCGTTATAATCCTACATATCTCGACTGTCAGTCCTCAATAAGCTGCTAAAAACAACAACAAAGCCTCAATCCAAACTAGTCAGGGTCAGCTAAACGCATCCTTTTGCGCCATTCCCGCGATTTTTCAGATTATGGGTTTCATTTATAAGCTACTAATCATCTTCAAAATCATGGGTTTTATCCATAACCATGCCCTAACACTACCAAACCCAACTATTTCACATTTCTAAACAGTAATAAGAAAGTTGTTAAGCAAACAAAAATTAATAAGCAATCATAAATAGAAAGATAAAGAAAGAGGGAGAGAGAGAGAGTTTTACAGATTTGTTGTCGGGAGGAGAAGTGGAAGATTTACGAGCCATGGTAGGCGAAAGCGGAGAATTCAAGTGAGGTCTCTTCTTCTCTGGCTCTTCCGATTCTGAGTTTTCCATTTAAGGGTTTCTTTGTTCACTGAATTACTATATATATATATATATATATATATATATATTAGGCCGTCTGTGAATTACTGTATGATTCCATTGTTAACAAACTGCAAGAACACCAACCCTAGAGAGAGGAACTAAGAAATTCAAGAAAAACTTTTCCCTTTTCAGGTTTTAAGAGAGAGTGAAATAAAGCTGGGGACTATTTGAGCCAACCCGGAAGGAACTTGGTTCGACCGGTTTGGCAGAACCCGGTTCCACCAATCCAACCAGAACCGGCACGGGATGGAGATGAATTTTTGCATATTGTGATGCATTAGATACTCCCAAATGAAATGGACTTGTTCTTTGATAGATTACAAAAATGGCTATATTAGAGTTTTTTTTTTATTCATATTAAAAATATTTTAGGAGGAATGTTTTTATGCAGTGTTAATGATTTCATTTAAGTGTAAAAAAAATATTTGATATAAAAATCACGGAAAAGATACTTCAATATCATTATTGACTTTTTTTAACGAAAAGAAGAAGATTGCAATCGATTTGATAACGTTCGAGTGATTTTGTTTGTTTTATCTGAATTAAGGAATCTCTTAAATACGACGTAAAATGGATTTTTTTTCGTCCAAAATTAGAGATTTTGTTGTGAGAACTATGAATTGTCATTGTTATAACTGTATTTTAAAAATGACAATCAATATATTAAACATTTGACTTTCACTGCATTATAATCCATTTAGGTAAGTTTGTTATTTATTTTTATACTATATATACAATCACGGTTATACTCTATCTTCAATTTAAAATCATGATTATATTCCTACTAAATTAATTTAAATTTTACTTGACAATAAACTTTATTATATATTATGAAATTATTAAAGTAACAAAAAATAACCTTCTCAGGTCTTACAAACCCGATGGGAACCTAAATGTAGATCAAAAAAATAATGAACGTGAAAATAAATAAATCAATCGATTTTAGAGACGGTAATTAATCTGGTGCTCAATTTATTAATTTAATTCTTTATCTTACCTATTTGAAAAATATTATGTTTTTATTCGTTAAGAAATTACCATCTAAACTTATATTCAGCACATATCATTTTTAATGTCCATTTAATCCTAGTTAAAAATAAATTATCAAAACGTTTCCTTCAATCCCTGCAATTTTGGAAAGAAAAAAAAAGAATATTTTTTGAACAATTTGGTCCTTTAAAATTTTTTATCCTCAAAGTTTTTATAAAAAAATTTTAATCATTATTTTATAAAGTTTGCACAATCAAGTCCCTTCATGCTGAATTTTTTTTTTTTTTAAATGTTTTGGTAGAGTGAAAAAATGAATACCTGCACTCGAAAGCCATATAAGCATACATGGATCTTTTTATTTTTACCTGCCTCGCTGTCCATTGGGTTTTTGATCAATTATCATCTCGATCGGACTCCATCCATCTCTCATTGCCATACCAACGAGTTATGATCAGCCCATGCTAAAAAAACACGAACAAGCCCAGAAAAAGATGTGGACAATTGTGGGCTTTGAGAGACGAAAATGCTGGATTTTATAAGGTTTCATGCCCGATCCATTATCATCTATATTGGACTCCATCCATCTCTCATTACCATACCAACCAAGTTCTAATCAGCCCATGCTAAGAAAACACGAACAAGCCCTGAAAAAAGAGGCCATTTTCGTTTAGAGATGTTGGCAATTGTGGGCTTTGAGAGATGAAATGCTAAGAAAACACGAATGGGCCCTGAAAAAGACGCCATTTTCGTTTAGATTTGTTGGCAAATGTGGGCTTTGGGAGATGAAATACTAAGAAAACACGAACAGGCCCTGAAAAAGAGGCCATAACAACTGTTACTACACTTGGCCCATTTGGTGTTATGCTTTTCTACCATATGCAGAAGTAAATTAGCCAGTTGCCCACGCTAGACTGCGTACTTGATAGATAAACTCATTTTTAAATTTTTAAAAAAATTAATTTTAATTTCTTATTCAATTAATTTTTTTCTAATATTTTTTTTATAAATTCTTTTGCTTAAAAAAAGATAAATCATTTTTCTTTATGGACGAAAAAAAATTTTCTCATCAGGATTAAAAAAACTTTAAGAATATATTTATCATAATATTGTATTCCAAATGATAAAGTTATAATTAATAGATAGACTTTTATAAAAACTAACAAATGAAAAAAAATTCTTATTTAATGCTGATGAGAAGATTAATTTTTTAAATTATTAATGTAACACTACGGTAGATAGAACAAAATCATTTCAAAATTTTATAATTTTTTTATTAATTTTTTATTTACTTATTACTATTTTTTGTGTTTTTCATAAAAAAATTGCTTAAAAAAACATAATTTATTTTTCTTTATTTTGGGATTCTTAAATAAAAACTTGTAATATATAACTTAAACTTGAAATATTAATTAAGTATATAAAAATAAATGCTTTAAAAATATATTTTTTTATAAGAATATATCTAAAAAATAAAGTTACAATTAATATATAGACTTGCATAAAAATTAACCATTGAAAAAATAAAATATTTTTTATTGAATATTGATGAGAAGATTATTTTTTTAAAGTACATATATTTGATATATATATCATATAATCGTGAGTTTGTATGGAAAAAAAAGTAACAATTAATTTTTAAAAATTTTAACACCCAATTAAATAAAAAAAGAACATAAATGAATGAAAAAAGAAAAAAAAGGCACGTAGTGCATCAATTAGGGATTAAAATTTTATTTTAAACTTTCGAGGATTAAAATGAAATAATTTGAAAATTAAAATAAAAAAATCTAAACGAAATAATTTGAAAATTACAAAAAAAAAAAAAAACTAAGAGTGAAAAATTAAAAAGAAAAAAAAACACTTAAGAGTGAATAGTATATTGTAAGGGTAAAGAAAAAAAGGAAACAAAGGAGTGAATAATACAAAAACGTTTTAGGATAGTAAACTTTATTTAGTTTTAGTATAATAAGGATAAAAATCAAACATAATAAAAATTTAATGACTAAAATAAAAATATATCATAAAATAGAACAAAAAAAAGTCAAGAAAAAATATTTATTATAAGGATAAAAATCAAATATAGTAAAATTTTAATATTTATTTTAGGAAAAAAATCAAATATAAAAAATTTTTAATGACCAAAATAAAAAAATATTACAAAACAGGGATTAAAAAAATTCTCTAAAAGTTTGGCTAAGCAACCCAAAGGGGAAAGAGAAAAAAAAGAGCAATCGAGAAAAACACTATTTATTAAAGAGTGAAAGGAACAATGATTTCATGGTGAAAATTGCATGTGTTTTAGAGTATTTTAAAGTATTAGTAATACATATACATATATATATTAGAAGGGGAAAAAAAAAGGGGCTACTGGGTTCAACCCTCAAAAAAAAAAAGGCAAAAAATATTGTTCATTGAACAGTACAAGGCACAATAAAAGTGCCTTTTGTTTTAGAGTATTAGTAATTATATATTAATCCCTCCATTTTTACAAAACAAATTAAATAATCTTTTTAGTTTCAAAAAATAATTAATTAATCTATTAATTAGCATTGACTGTGATCAATATCTTTTTTTCATTAATCTTTGTTTTTTTTTACTTATTTTTCATTTTTATTATTTATGAAAAAATTGATCGACTAGATTTAAAAATATAGAAATTAATTAATTAGTTACCGAGACTAGAGAGACTATTTAATTCTTTTTGAAAAACCAAAGGGAATAGTTTATAATTTACTCATTTATACATTGATTTAGGTTTGTCTTTTTTTTTTTTTTCCCCTTTTTTTTATGAGTTCTCAAACTAATTGTCCCAAAACTTTGAACCAAAATGAGCCAAAAATATGTTGACATTAGGCTTTTGTACCACAACGATGAAGAAGACTAGAGGTTGTGAAACATCTATCATTCACATTGATGTTGATTTAAGAAAAGGTCATTCAAAAGGAAAGAAACTTCCTTCGATAGAGAAGAAAGAAATAATGTCATATCTTGCTAGTTTCTTCTACAATATTGAATTCTAGCTCGGCCATTTTAGCCTCATTTTTCTATCTCCTATCTACCGTTTACTTTTGGTCTGTTGTCATGAGACTTCCTGCTAACATCTAAAAAATGCGATTGACTCGTTTCCTTGAAGGAAAAGAATGCGAGTCAAGATAATTTTTTGCACCTTCCAATGTAGGCATATATAGTCATTAGAAGAAAGAAATATTTGGATAGGCATATAGTCATTAAAAGAAAGAAATATTTGGATAGTCGATGAATACCATGCACTTTGAATATAATGTGGGTAGGTTGGTCTTCAACATATGAACAATGCCTTTTTTACTAAATGACATGAAGAACGAGTAAAAGGTGCAAGGGAAAGTGATATTTATTTCGGTAAAGTGTTCATTTATAAAGTTGAGAGATCAAATATTATTTATTATATACTACAATTATATATATATATATATATATATACACACACACGCATGATTGTAGTTATTTTTAGAAAAATTCTAAACTTCGACCAATATATTTATGGATATAAAAATAATATGATATGAGAACAATATTTTCTATTAGAAAGGGCAAGATAGATTGTCTATCTTTCTGTTTATATAAAAAGTAATTATTAACACGTAAATCGATATGATTAATCAATTAATATATTCCTTGAGAAATTTTTTACTTCGTTATTATTAACACGTAGATTGATGTAATTAATTGATTTAGATATTTCTTATGAAGTTTCTTGCTTTGTTATTTTCTTCGTGGAAAAAAAGGGTAAATAGGATAAATATATGAGTACTTTAAATTCCTTCACAAGGCAGGCAGGCATGCACAAAGACAAAAAAATAAAATAAAAAAAATAGTTGATGCATGGTCATGCAAGGACCTAGCTGCACAAAACAGAGTGTTTTTAATTTCAGAGTTGCAATTGGATTTTTTTCACTCCAAAGGCAACAATTTTTTTTTCATTTATTTTTATTTCACCTTAGAGATATGACTAATCATTTTCGGAGCATAATCAACAAGATTTAATCTATCTTAACAAATACAATTACAGTATTTGAATCATATATGTATATATATTTGTAAAAATTCGTCTGATAAGCACTTTGCTTATCACTGACCAACAACTTAGTAGTCCAAAGTTAACAAATTTTGATTGACTTTAAACCTAACTAAAATTCAAATAGAAAGGAATATAAACATAATTATTTGGTTTTAGGCCAAGCTTGCTTTATTTGACACTTAGTTGAGAACATGAGAAATGATAATGGATTTCAACTTTCGCCAATTGGTCTAAACTTTTTAATAAAAATAAAGGAATTAGCCTCCAATATTATGTCACCCAAGTATTGATGACGTTTTTTTTATTAAATCTCAAGATTTGGTGCTGATCACCTGCTTCTTGTTTTCTGCATTAAGGGCCATGAATAATGATTTTGGTTACGTCAGCCTTCAGGGCAGTTAATTATTTGGGGAACGAGGAGGGATTAAGAAACCTACTAAATTTGGCATGAACACAAGATCGATCACCCTAGATTAGGACAAGTAACATACAATCTTATCGAATTAATATTTTATGGAGGTATTTTAATCATCGAAGGAGGAATTATTTGTCCTCTTTAGTCTAGTAAAAATATGAGATTTATGAATTATTTTTATAGTGAATTTCATGTTTTTATAGAAAAAAAAAACAAAAACAAAAACAAAAAACGAAGTACAGCTGTTGAGATAGTCAAAAAATTCTCTCAAGAATTAGCAAAAAACCATAATTATTTTTTCCATTATATTACGCTTCATTACATGTTATCAAATTAATACATCATAAATGTACTTTAATTATCATAATTATTTATGTTAATTTTAATCATCCAATAGATTAATAATTGAAACCTTTGAAGTCACTTAATTTTTTGCAATCCTCTAGAAATTAATTTACAAATAGAGAGTAATATAAAATTATTTTTAAATCCTTGCCTAATAGGTTAAGATTTTGGGTTAAAATAGCTTTTTTGACATGGTATCGTAGTTTTGATGATTAAACGATTACGAGTTTGAATCTCATCACTTTCACTTTTTTTTTGATTAATTAACCATAAAATAGTGTGAGCCTCGTATAAATTTTAAGTTCAAAAAAATTTATTTAAAAAAGTGTGTTATTTCGAAGTCTCACCTAACAATTTAAACTTTTAAGTAGAGATGGTTATTTGACATTTAGTTTTTCATAATTTTAATTAAATGAGACTGCAAGAAATTGGTTATTATAACTTCTTAAAATATTAATAACATTCGTGACGGTTTTAATCCTATCGAGATCCATCATACCAAAAACTCATGATGTCCGGAGTTTGTTTTCCTCTTTGTTGTTTTCGAGGGAAGGTCTGATTTCGGGCGTTTTCCATTTGTTTTTTAGCTTTCATTTACCATGAGGATTAATTTAATTAACTTGATTAATTAAGGAATCAATTAAGCCATTTAGTATAATATTCGGACCATTATAGCTGCAAGAATCTGAAGACCCTCTGATAAATTAAATATATATTATTAACTGTTCTATTTCGTTGTGGAAACTTGAAAGCATTATATATTAATTTTCAACATGCATTTAAATAATTAGGGTAAACATACTCATTTTCTCCTCATATAATGTTTAATATCTCTCATATATCCTTAGATTTTTAATTACATTCTATCTGTCCTTGAAAATTTTTAAAATATTCAATTTATCATTCCAATCAAATTTTTTTATCATAATTTTTTTCTTAACCGAAATGCCCTTTATAAAAATACTAATTTAAAAAAATCAAAAAACAAAAATACTGAAATTTACATGACCTAAATGTTTTATTTTTGAAGTCTATAGATTTTTTTTTTCACATTTCAATAAAGGGTATTTTAGTCAAAAAAATTATTTAGCTACAAAATTAGGTATAAAGAACATATTAAACATTTCAAATATATTCAAAAATAAATAAGATACAATTAAAAATCTAGTAATATGAGAAATATTATGTACTATATAAAAACAAATAGATATATTTATCTAAATAATTAATCATCTGTTTTATATTTATCTAAATAATTAATCATTTGTTTTATATTTTTCTTACTTTCCAATACACAACGCCAAAAGAAGAGTTGTTGAAGATATATATAAATGCATCATCTGTCCTTTTTTTTTTTTTCTTGAAAAAATAAATAAGTAAAGAGTACGGAACGTATAATTCTTAACGATTCTTAAATATGTAGTAATCTTTTTACTCCTTTTTTATTTTATTTTTATAGTTCAATTCTTCAAGCAATCAAACTCCCATGTGGCTATATCACCTTTAATTACATAATGCTATAGGCATGGCATGCCATACATGCTTTAGATAATCATGTGATAATATCATTTATGTCACAGCCATCGCTATCACAATGACTTAACTAGCAATATATTTACTATCCTTTCGTCCTAAAGAAATTATCCTTAAACGGTCGTCTTAGTTTAAGTATTAAGTACGCATTTTTGTTTATTTTATAATAGATTTACAACTAAAATAAACGTATTATGAAACACTGTAAATAGAAAAGAATATTTTAAAATCCGAATTAATAACTTTTTTAATATGTATAAAAAATCAAATATTGCAATTTTTTTTTCAGATGAAAGGATTACGATAAATGAAATTTTGGTATTGATACTAACTTTTATTATTATAATTAAGGGACTGGGATTTGGTGTGTTTCGCAGCCAGTGCATGTCATTTTCAAGGTAACATGTTGCTTAGTATGATAACTCAATGTTTGAGTCCACGGCAAGGTGGTAGAAACAGCCACCTTTCTTCAGGATGAAAGAAAGATGGGTTACTTCTAGCTCCTTGATCTACTACTACAAGAATGTCAGTGAAAGCTACTGCTTTAAACAATTTTTTTTTTAAACGATAAGGGTATGCTTACGTTTCATTTTAGATTAAGTATTTCGTGTTAAAATCGAATTTTTTATTTAATTTTGATGTATGAAAACTGACTTGTAAATAATATAAGTAAACGTAAAATTTAGTAACTAAAGCGATAAATTTTCTCCGAAATCTTCACACATGTATACTTTAATTCCCATGGTAATTAATTAATTAACCAAGCTATGTGTTAGATTAACCTTCTGATCATATTGTTTTTGAATGTGATTAGTCACTAATCCATTCAAGTTTTGACTTTTTTTTTAATAAGGAATTCAAGTACCGACTTCGAAGTTAGAAATAGGGTGTAGATTACACTAATCCTAGTGAATTAATCATTAAATAATCTAAGTTAAATAAACTTGGTGCCCAAGAGTGCTAATGATCATGATCCAAAGTCTATCAAATTACAAAAATAAGAAATTTGTAGAATCAAATCAATTGAAGATTTCATGATCCAACGAGGATATAATAAATAAAATAACATCTCTTCTTTTTTTTCAACTTTCTTTTTTTCAAACACAAATCACTCACCCCTAATTAAGGTCTATAAAAAAAAAAACCAACAATTAATCCAAACCAAACAATTTCACACCAATTCCCCCTCGACAACACACTACACCTTTTTTTTCCCATGTCATTGTCTTCCATTAAGCAAACACCATTGAGGGCTTAAATCGAACAAAGTGGGACTCCACTAACCTATAATATCTATCTGTACACATATATACCTAATAATCGCATTTTCTTCATCAACTTTCCTTCCTATCTTTTCTTACCTTTCCATGTCAATTGGTACAAAACTTCTTCCAATATCCATAAAACTCCTCTTGTCACCAACTTTGTTGCTCTTTTGCGATTCTAAACCATCCTTGTCCTCATCTAGCAAGTCTGCTTCCTTTGTCAACGTCGAGTACTCAACTTTGTCACCATAAAACTTGACCAAGAACAGATAGAAGGACATCACAAAAATCATGATTCCAATCAACAGCCAGCTAAATTGAATGTTCACGAGTGATTTAGCTCGATGCAAAGCCTCTTCACTACGACATCTAGCCACTCGGTGACCTTCTTCTAAGTTAAGGAAGCAACCTTTAGGTATCCAAGAAGGGGTCCATAATGCGTAGCCCATGACTATGAACCAAACTCCTTCGAACACAATACTAGCTGACCTAACAAAGCTAACCATAAAGCTTCTTGGGAGGCCAATGCCCATGAGAGTGGTGGCTAGAGAAACAACTATGACAATCTGTAGAAGCAAGTGATATTGGCCTTCAATCCCCTTGTGATCAGCCGAGTGAAGGTGGAAGAGGAAAAGTTGTTGACCAAAGGCTAATGCTCCAAGAAATTGCGTTAGCCCATATTGAGCTTTAGGTCCAATTTTATCAAAAAGAACAGCAAAGGCAGCATAAACAAAGAAAGTCATTGATATCGAGGCGTGTTCGAAGTTGTGCAGGTGGTTTGACGGTATGGTTCCATCAGTGTCGAGTGGCTGATGCTTTTTAGGACCAATAAAGAGTTCCATGGCCACAGAAATAGAGCTGCCCAACATGATGAGGAAGAGCTCCAAGTACCTAAATTTTGAAGTGGGAAACCATGGTGAGGACATGTAAGAGCTTGGTTGCTGAGCATGGAGCTTGATATGGCTAAAGAGGTGCCATAAACCAAGAGCAAGGAAGGCATAGCCTGGTGCCACATGACCAACTAAAGTACCCATTGTATGCTTTGTGACACAATAAGTGTTACAATCACTTCCTTCTTGGTATGTTATTGTCCTATGATAAAGAACAAAAAAAGAGAAAGAAAAGAAAGAAAAAAGAATTCTTATTCTTGTTGTTGGTTTTGGTTTTGGCTATGGCTATGGCTAAGGAGGTAGGAAAAGGAGAGAGAAGTGCCTTGCTAGGATTGGAGAAAAAAGGATTGCTGCATAAGAGGCAATTTATGGTTGAAATTTGAAGAGGTCTAGAGTGTTCTAAAAGGATTAAAACTTTGAATATCTGTTGTGGCTTGGGAAATAAGGTTATAATCCATGGTTGACCTATATGGCACATGAGCCATAGCTAAGATGATCAAAACAGCTAGCTAGCAGCCAGTCTTCTAGAATGGAATAGTGTGCACATTTTGACAAAGTTCAACCCCCAATTTCCCAAATGACAAATTTGCCCCTATTATTAGGTCTGAATGTCACATGCAGGAACTTATCATCATTGAGATTAATCACTTGTTATTAATTAATTGATTATCAATAACCCCCATGTTTTCCATGCCCAGATTTTCGATCCATTAAAGCAGTGGTAATAATTTCTCGATCGTGGGGCTTATTTGTTTGATATTTAGAACCTGGAAGTAGATTGATTTGGAATTTGGTGATTGGTTCATCAAAATCATCTGGTAATTTTTTTATTTTTTATTTTTTCCGTAAAGGAATCAAATGATCATTTCTTCATGTGAACTAGACATGGGGATTTGGGTGACTGTGCTTTCTTTCTTTCTTCACGTTGTCTCTCTCTGTGTGCAAAATAATAATTGTATCCAATTACTTGAATTGATATGTGATTCCCTCAGGGTCGCACATTCAAAGAAGTTTCGAATTGAAAGTAAAATTGCCCTTCAGGGATGTTTCTAGTTTGGAAAAGAGAGAGAACCAACTTCGTAGTTGCTTCTAATTTGGGCCACAAGAAAACCATCATCTTCGTAGTTGTTTCTCTTAAGAAAAACCAAAAAAAAAAAAAAAACAGATTTATTATAGACCGTAGTTTTAAATAACAAATACAATTATAAAAACAACAATAATAACAAATTATAACAGTAAAATAATAATCACGATAACTGATATCATAAATATATTCACAACTATTATTAAATAAATTTATTTTAAAATAAAAAATATTTTTAAAAAATAATAATATAATGGTTATTATTTATCAAATTAAAAAAATAACAACCGTTACTATTATATAACACCGTTATTATCATTATTCGAATAGAACTCTATTGAACTCTCATAAGATCATATAACACAAGCAAACATATTTAAATTCGTTCAATAACAACTATTACAATGTTATTTAAAATTATATTACAGACTGTAGTTATGAATGTTTTTTTAATAATAATAATAATAATAATAATGAGTGCCTTTTGCTTCCACTCACAAGCGTTTGATCATATTTTGCTTTTCCTTGCACAAAAATCATGCTCGTAACATGTAAAGACAAAGTGCATCGTTGAAGACATGCCATAAGAGTATCCAAATTAACAAAAAAAGCTAAGGGATAATAAAGAGGACATGCTTTACAAATAATATGAATGAAAATTTTAGAAAAAGAGAGAGAGAGAGAGAGAGAGACAATTTTCTCAGAGTTGTGACTCTGAATACTCTCTTTTCAGGAAAACTCTTGATTTATGGCACCATATGCAGATTAAATTAAAAAGGATTAGCTTCAAGCAAAAATTAAAGGGTAAAAAAGGTATATAAAAAACTTAACGTGTAGAAAAAATTGGAGTATAGAAAGAGCTAGATTGACTTAGAATTTCATTAATGGATTGGATGCTAATAAGTAAGATTAATTACTCCTCCAAAAGTGCTTATCTTTAACAAATCATCCACTCAAGTAAATTCAAGAATGGTTAGAAAGTCTTGTTGAAAGTGAGGTTGACTCATCCAAAAGGGTATTCTCGTCCATTAAACATTCCACGGTCAAATCGTTGGTCAATTTCCAGTTTATTTATTAAATTTTACATCTGCAATACAAAAACTAATTTGTTTTTGCATTTTCTTCTTGGATTGGTCATAATCTTTACCTAACACGTATGCAGAAAAGCATTGAAAAGTCAAACATACCCCAAAAGCCTGAAATTTTTGAAGAGTAAATTATAAATTAGTCTCTTTAGTTTTTCATCAGGAGTTCAATAGTCCCTCCAATTTCAATAATTAACTAATTAGTTCCTATATTTTTAAATCTAATTTTTGACTTAATCATTTTCATTCTTTTTTGGTTTTTTTGTTTAATAAATATAATGAAAAAATAAATAAATAATATAGAAATATTGATGAGGGAATAAGATATATTTGAAAGAAAATAATATTAAATTAATTATAGTCAACACGAGTAAATAAACTAATTAATTAATTTTTGAAAAAAAGGGACTATTTAATTCATTCTATAAATTAAACTAGAGAAACCAATCTATAATTTGCTATATATGTATATGTATGCAAATGAAAGAACTAGGAATTTTCCAATTTGTTGTTGAACTTGATAAACCAAAGGGATTTCTTAATCATCCTGCGTAAGATTTTATTATAAAAAGCTTGAAGTAATTTAAAAAAATCAAGGAGGCTATTTTAATTAGGCACAAAACTTGCTTAATAAGAAACCACACACATATATTTTTATGAATGGCTGCAACTCAAGTTGATTATTGAAAAAAAAAAAAAAACCTTAGTTGATGAATTAATTTTTTCATACACTACCTCGTTTTATTTCACTTGAATATTGGACGTCAACTAACTAATAAACTTATAGTTTCTTGCTGGCTAGTAGAAGTTTAGTTTTGACTCTGCATAATGAATCCAAAATTAAAAAGTTGGCAAGTATACGGTAATTTCTAATTAAATTTTTATACCAATAATATTAGAATCGACCAAAAACACGGTATATTAATAGTTCATCTATCATTTCATTTGTTGAACTATAACTCCTTTTATTTCTCCTGTTATAAATAATATTGTGTTATAATTAAAATTGGGCGAAATTGTAAAATATTATCCTAAACAATTGAGAAAAAAAACCCCTCCGGAACTAATTTTTTGATTTTGTTTCCTGGACAATATGATTTTTTGAATTTGTTCATTTCTTAGGATTACATGAAGAAATTTACGGACAAACTCTTAATATACCGTGTTTAAATTCTAAAGAGTTTTTCTTTTAAATTCTTAATAAAACCCTAAGAAAAAAATCAATAATTTTTTAATTCAAATTCAGGAGAATATTTTACAACTTTGCCTTAAAATTGGCTAGCTAGGTTTAAACTTTAGTTTAAGTCATCAGTGATCTCACGTTAATGCTTTGTAGAGCTAAGCTTGACAGAACATGCATGAATAAAATATTCAAATCACACACACATATGCATATATGTATATGACATCAATCTTTCTATGTTTTTCTTCTGTGAAACATTAGTAGAATATATGCCTCGATTCCATGCATCTTGAATTTGTTAAGTATTATAATTCAATAATTAATTAAAAATTAAACAATAAGAAGTTCGTTTTCATTGATTTTCAGCCCTATTTCTTCCCACCATAGTTTATTAAATTATATTAGATGATAACAAGATTGTCTTATGAAAAAACGAGAAGTGTCGTTCAAGTAAAACTATTGTCATATCCAATATACATATCAAACATTAATAAAAATAAAGTTTTTATGGATTTTTTGATATAATCTCATGCACAAAACGCTATCTTAGAGAACAAATAGCTATCTTAATTCATTTTATTAGTTGATTTTTCGAAGTGAAAAATATTTATGGAAATACTTTAGCTAAAAGCAATCAATTTTTTTCTATTTTTTTTAAAATAATTTAAATATTTCAATATTTCAATTAAGTAGTTAGGTTTAATTTATTTCTCACTATCAATGGGACTGAAAAATTAGCGGATGTTGTAAAATCAAACTTGTTATCTTAGCCATCAGTTTGATTGGAGGTGGAGAATTCATGGTATTTCTCCATTGTTAAAGCAATCGATCCCAGCAGCTAAATTATATTTTTATATGTTGTTGGTCAGACTCATACTCTACCTGTCTCTATCAATTCGGAGCAATGGATGTCATTGAAAATGTCAGCAAAGCAAATCGTGCGTTTGCTTACTCAGCCAACATGGAATTTCAAAGGTTTATGCCCTAATGTGAAAGGAAGAACCTCACCTGAAACTAGCTCCCATCAAAATGTTTTCCATGGAAATTCAGAAGAATCATGATTAATTGACTTATTAATTTAGGTTATGTTTTCCTAACTTTAGTCTGTTTTTAGATTAGACAATCGAAATTATATCCTTATGTAATTGAATATTTCTATTTTATCATTCTAGTAATATTTTTAGATTATATTGAAATTAATCGGGTGATTTGAATAAACAAGTTTTTATTTGTCTAATTTGCAAAAACATTTTAGAAATAAAGAATAGTTATATGCAAATCACATGATTAATTTTATTAATTTGATTTTAAATTTTGATAAAAAAAATATATTAGAGACTCAAATTATATTAAAAAATAAAATTAATTCTATTAAAAATATCAAAAAAGATTAAAAAATTATCATATTACATCATTCTTTTCCTTAAAAGTGAAAAGAATATCTTAGAAACCGAGTTTTGTGATCTAGTCTACTCTTTTTGTTAATTAATAATACATTTATTTGTTTTTTCGTAATATATGGTTATGCTAATGAATATTTTTAGAATGCTGACGGTAAAAATAACGAATGAGAATCAAGGGCGGAACCGGGGGTTGGACCCTTGTAGGCGGGAGCCACCATAAGCCAAAGATTAAAATGGTCCCTAAAGTTTAATAGTTAATGCATACGCTTTCTTACATTTTTATACATAATTGCTCCTTTAAAATTAAAAATCATAGTTTTGTCCATAATTTAAGCACATCCTTTGGATATGTATATAAATTTTTTGTGTACTCTCAATATAATAAGAGCTTGGAATTCAAATTCCCACTCAAATAACCCTAATTAAAATTCGATTCGTTTGACTAGGAAAAGCAAAAAAATCAGAAAAGAGAGTTCATGTTTAAGTCTATTAATAAATTGTAAAATCGAAAACGACTCAGTAGAATTTTAAAAAATTCATATTGACAATTAACGTATAAAAATGGGTTAGATGGTACAAATCTTTCTTGAATTTAAGTTATTTAAAAATTAATCTTTCAATTTCTAATTTCATATTTGATTCCCTTTCAGCTATTTTTTATTTGAAATTGATTCTTTTATTAGGTTTCTATCAATTATAATGATAGAAATATGCGTAATTTACACGTAGTTGACTTTTTAACTTTTTAAAATAGTTAAAAATATATTAAAACTTATGAATATTTTATTTCTTCTTTTGAAATATATTTAAATTGCTAAATTTTTAATATTTAGAATAGAAGAAATAAGTTTTAGAGAAAAAAATCAAAGCATCCATAAACTTTGATACATTTTTAACTATTAAAAAATTACACATACACATTAGAATCTATGAAAACCTAATAAAATAACATAATTTTAAATAAAAATAGTTGAAGAAAAACACCAATCTAAAATTAAAGTTGAAAAACTAATCTATTGTCTTTGGCTTATAAAACTTGCTAAAGGGAATCTTCTAGTCACTCCTTATTTGTATACCTACCATTACAAAAACGGCTTCTCTTTCTTTATGAAATTCCCCACTCCACAGGGCATCATTTCATGTTATGAATAATAATTAATAGATAAATGGTCATGAAAACATTTTGACTTCAAGATATATATATGAAACCGTAAGGTTAAATTCTGTGTACTTGATGATGTTTCATACGTTGTAATCAACGAAAGATGATCTTCAAACTGATGATGTTTCAACCACCAAAAAGAAAAACACCTGAAGAGTCGAAATCCAATCCATTTGGGCACTTAGGTCCTTGAGTCAGTCCATTCGTTTAATGCTAAATTGCTATTTTATTAAATGAGTTGAATAGCTAACATTTCTCCAATTTTTGTCCGTACCAAAATCTAGAAGAGCTGCGCATCACGATTTCAAACCCCAAAACTGTTTTTTCTCAAAAAACCAGGAAACCTACACGATGGAAGCAATACAGGAAACATTAGGTTTTTTTTTTCAATGAGGGATCTAGACAATATGGACTAGTTCAAAATTTAGACTTCTAGAAAAAACATGAACATCATTAAACCCAAAAATGGTTAATGCTATAGAACATGGATTATATGAACTTTTTTTTTTTTGCCTAATTCAAATCAATCATCTCATTTTATCTTCTTTGGTGTAATCATGTATGCCAATAAAAATGCAATTTGCCAAGCTACTAGTAAGATTTTTTTTTTGTTCAAATATATAAAATTTAATTCCTTCCAACAAGTGTGACTCTAGGATTCAAACTTTACACATTAACAAAAAATTGACACGAAGACCAACTCGATTACTACTAAACTAACAACTTGTTGGTAAATAAAAATAAGTTTTCATTGTTGTTGATTGACTTTATCAAACTAGTCTCTTTAATATATTTAAAAAGTAAAAAATAAATACTAATCTTGATAGAATATTTGTACTTATTGTTACGCAATCCAAAATTTTATGTTGAATTAGATATATTCTCGGTTTAATCTATTTGTTCCATGGTTTAAATCTATATCAAAACTAAAAAAGGAACATAGATTAGTACATAAAAGTTGGATACCCGTGCTACTCTACGGTCGGACAACCGTTATATAAAGTCAATGATTTGTATAATATAGTACGAGTAAAATCTTATTTCTCATAATTAATGTAAATCAAATCTATTTGCTAAGCAAAATTATTTGATTTATATATATTTATTAACAAAATAATCAATAATATTAGCATAAAAAAATTATATTTGAATAATTGAAAGGTTCTTTTAAAACATTGCTTCAATTATTTTATTTAAAAAATATTGATTTTAGAACATAAAAAAGAATAAATAGCAAATAATTGGTATTATGTGTGTAGATACATAATTAATTTCTAATAAAACTAATGATATATATATTTCAATTGTTTTATTTAAAAGTATTTATTTTAGAACATAAAAAAGAATAAATAACAAATAATTAGTGTTATGTATGCGGATACATAATTGATTTTCAACAAACCAATGATACATATGTTCATAGTATATAGTATAAACAAGTTTTTTTTTTTTTTAAAAAAAAACATCTACATTGTATGAAATATATTAAAGTCAATAAATTGAAATAAAAACGATTACAAAATTGATTACCATAAATTTTACTTCTTAATTTATGATGAAAGAGATTCTTCAATTGCAAATTAAATTATAAATTTGTTCATCTCGTTTTGAAAAATGAATGAATTAATTCTTTTAATTTCAAAAATAATTTTTTTAATTTTTTAATTAGTGTTGACCACGAATAATTTATTTTTTATTTAAAAAATATCTATTTTCATATTTTTACTTATTTTTTAAATTCTTTCTCTATTTCTTAAAACAAAAAATAAAAACATTGAAATAGCAAAGAGGACAAAAAATTAGTTTTTGAACTGAAGGGGCTAATGGTATGATATTATGTATGCGGATACATAATTAATTTTCAATTAAACTAATGATATATATATATCATACTCAATAGATTTAGAGTATATAGTATAAACAAACGTTTAAAAAAAAACTATCTAAGTTGCATGAAATATATTAAATTCAATAAATTAAAATAAAAGCTACTACAAAATTGGTTCCCATAAATTTACTTCTTAATTTATGATGAAAGATATTCTTGAATTGCAAATTAAATTATAAATTAGTTCATTTTGTTTTGAGAAATGAATTAATTAATTCTTTTGGTTTCAAAAATAAATTATTTAATTTTTTTAATTAGTGTTGACCATGAATAATTTATTTTTTATTTATAAAATATCTTTTTTTCATATATTTATTTATTTATTTATTATTCTTTCTCTATTTCTTGAAATAAAAAATAAAAACATTGAAATAGCAAAAAGGACAAAAAAAAAATAGTTTTTGAACCAAAATGACTAATTAATTTGTTTCTCAAAGAAAGATTGATTAATCTATAATCACTCTTGAATAGCAAGTGGCTATAAGAAGAAAAAAAAATATTGAAAGAAGACAAGAGTATTAAATGCTCAATCTAAGAAAAAGAAGGAAATGATAAAAAAAAGGCCCAAAAAAAAAATTTAAAGGAGAATCGAGTTAAGGGTAAAAATGGAGTTTTTCAAATCCATCGAGTGATAAAAGAGAAATTAACAAAAAGGTAGGAGGAGAAAGATGGACTAATTTATAATCACTCTTGAATAGCAAGTGGCTATAAGAAGAAAAAAAAATATTGAATGAAGACAAGAGTATTAAATGCTCAATATGAGAAAAAAGAAGAAAATGATAAAAAAAAAAACCCAAAAAAGAAAACTAAAAGGAGAATCAGTTAAGGGTAACAATGGAGTTTCTCAAATCCATCGAGTAATAAAAGAGAAATTAATAAAAAGGTAGGAGGAGAAAAATCAAGCAACACAATAAATAGCGAATTTAAGTCTAAAACAATAGTAAATGAATAGTAAATAACTCATTTCTTTTAATTTTTTCTACTAATATATATTAAATTAAAAATAAAAGAATTTTTTTAATTTAATTTCATGATTTTTAATCAAATTTTGCATTTCATTCGTTCTTATTTATATTTTTTCATAGATTTTGTTGTTAAAAAAACACTATTCATTTTTTTGATCCATTCGTTATTAGATAAAAACCTACAATAATATAAATATAAAATTTTTAAAAATATCTTAATATTTTTTTCATAAGACAACATCAGAGAAATATATCAACAATCAATATAAAAATTTTGCATAAAAATTAACTAATGAATCCTTTTAAACTTTTTAAAAATATGTACATTTGATATATAAACACACACACGCACAAAACAATCAATAATATTAGGTATAAAAATATATATATTTAAATTATTAAGTGGTTCTTTTAAAATATTTAAAATAAATTAAATTTAGAATATTAAAAATAATTAACTGAAAATAGTTGGTATTATATGTGTAGATGGATAATTAATTTGTAATAAAATTAATGATTTCAATACTTTTTTGTATGCATCATTACCATACTACTGTATAAATTAAAAAATATGTTTAAAAAAATTTAAGTTGTAAGAAATATATTAAAGTTAATAAAGTGCAATAAAAATAATTTAAAATTTTATTCCAAAAAAATTGATAATATCAAGAATAAGGTAAAGAAACACATGAATTCTATTATTTATTAAGAAAACCATATTAAAATTTCATATACGAGAGAAAGATAAATCAAATTTATTAACAAATAAAATTTCATAAAAAATAAAAAATTTAATTTGATAAGAATTTTTATAATAAATGACAAATTTAAGAGATTAATTTTAATCAATAAAAAAAATATAATCCAATATATGTGTTTGTTCTAAAATTTAAATACAAAAGAGGCCAAAAAAAATCTTTTAAAAATATGAGGAAAAAATATATTTTGAAAAAATGTGATTAAAAAATGGACTAAGTTAAAAACATGAGATATTAAAACATTTTTAAAAATATATTTTGAAAACATAAGAGACCAAAAAAGAATAAAGCGTGGAATTTGAAAATGAATGCCCAAAAAACTATAAGAAAATTACGAAAATGTCATTGTAAAAAATCATAAAATTACTACTCTTTTAACAATAATGAATAGTGATTCGAGACAAGAGAACAATGATTTACTGTTCATTAAGTAAAATTTGTTCCTGATTTTTTAGTGTTTTACTTCATAATTAAAATTAACAAAGTTATTTAATAAATTTTAAATAAAATCAAATATATGCAATTAGCCAATAATTTAAAATAACAGCCTTGATAGTGGGTCTTTGGGGACGAATAGGTTCAATAAATTTGTTGGTAGAATGACTTGTCTCAAGATTACGCACTTGGAATGTCCTCTAGTTTTTGGGAGGCAACCAAACTTGATTGAAAATAACCAGAAATTTGCAAGTCAAGGGTAGTTGATCAACTCAAGACCGTAGCACTTAAATGCCTTAAAAAGTTCATAAACTTTTTGGTGAAAGTGAACCATTCTTATAGTTTCTCTTCTTAATATATTCTTAACGAGGATGTATATTTATTAATCATCAATCTTCCATGCGTCATTATGCTTCAAGGAAACATGATATATGATGTAAGATGGATTTTTTTTAGTTAATTATCTCAACCATTTTCTATTTTGAATGTCATTACACTTTATACATAATTTCTATTCTGAAAAATTTAAGTTTTCACCTAAGATCAGGGAAGTTAATTTTTCCATCTCAAGTTTTTAAAAATTAAAAAATATCGAATTTGTTATATGTCCTTTTTTTATTACTCTAAGTAAGCTTGTGAAGAAATTTTATTTTTTGATTCGACGAATGAATAATAATTTTGAACCAGCTAATTGCATGTCAATTAAAATTAAACGTTCTCCCAAAAAAAAAAATTTGTAAAGGAAGTATAAAAAGCCATGTGCTGTGGCATGAAGTATAATAAGCTATATTTTGATGGGCTGATCCCAATATGGGAATCCAGTTTAAGAAGTGGCAGTAGCTTGGCATTTAAAAGGAAGCAGAGCAAGGGCCAGGCCCAAGACCCTCAACTTTTGTACATTCAAACGCGATACTTAGCACCCCCATACAATAAGCCATAAGTACAAACCATCCATTTTCCTGTTCGTCTAAAACAAAATTTTTTTCTTATATATTTTATTTATAGACATTAAAGTATTCTAATACTAATTTTTATATCAATCGAAACTAACCCAAAGCGTCAAAACATGTTTAACTTTTATCAATCACAAGTTCATTAGTTTTTGCTTGAATCCTTGCAAACTATTTTTTTTATATGAAAATTTTATAAAGTTTTTCAATAATTATGAATGAGATTCATTTTTTTTTATCACGTGTCAATTAAAAATTATCACTTGTCAATGCATCCTAATCACGTTATATTTTTCAGACACAAGTGACTAAGATAATACAAATAGAAAAATAATCAAAAGTCAGACACTATATTTTTTTCTCCTAAATTATCTAACTAGGACCAGCTTTTTACCACATGTCATTTAAAAAATTGCTCGTGGTAGTTAATTCTGGATATATCAGTCTCAATTAATTGTGGATATGGTGAAATTACAGTTTCGTCTCCTTTATTTACTTCGCTTAAAGATGTTTTTTTTTTGGTAATTTTCTTTAAACTTTTAAAAGCGCAATAATAAAAAATTTCCATAGGTTTACTTTATATCTTTTCGCCCTATCCATCCTTGAATTATTCATCCATTCGCTCTTCCTTCCTCTCACATTTACTTTCTCTAAGTGGGATTCGAAGCGGGGTCAACATGCAAGCGCACATTAATGCCAGGACCACCAACTTTTTGATCCATTAAACAAGTGGTAATATATTATTGTGGGGTTTATCTGTTTGCTATTTAGAACGACATTGAAATAAATCCATTTGGAATTTAGTGATTGATTCATCAAAATCTTTAGGTGTTGTTTGATATTCAGAAATGAAGCACCAATAATGAGAATGCAGGAATCGGAATGAAAAATAAGAAATGGGAATGGGAATAGGAATCGAAATACTGTGTTTGGTATCTTATTATTAGAAATAGAAATGAAACACTCGAAATAACTATTATTGTGTTTGATACGGATAAATAGGAATCAGAATGATATCATATATTTATCATTATATCCTTCAATAACCATAATAAATTTTGTCATAAAAGCAATTAAAATTTAGAAATAGACCTTAAGTCACCATAAGTTTTACTAGAGACACCAGCAACATATATCATCATATATCTTTAAATAGACAAGAAATTAAAAAATATATAAAAGCAATGCAAGAAATTTAATTTTATCAAGCCACTAATTTGAAATATATCAAATTTGTAATTTAAATTTAAAAATTATGATCATGCATAGATTCAAAATAGACTATTTAAATAAATTATTTTCTTACTCGCCTCTTCGTACCTGAATAGCAAATCCACGTATTAACTAACCTAAACCTTCAAAAACATATTATACTTGCTTAGAAATTAACTACCTGAAATGATTAAGTTTAATAACCAATATAGCCACGACCAAAATTTAATGAATATGTCGGGACAATTTCATAGCAAGAAGTCAGAACTACTCCTGTTATAGGACATAATTTTTTTGATTCTTCTGGACTATTGTCTTCTGTACTATTCTTCTTATTCTTGCTGGCTTAATTAATCTTATAGGGAATTAGCTAATTAAAGACATGGGTACTAGTGAAATAAAGTCACCAGAGACACCAGCAACGTATGATACTTCAATGTCAATTTCAAACTCAACTCATAGCAGAGAAGAATGTCATGAGATATCTCAAGACTGACTATTAAATCAAGGGATGATCTCTAGCGGTGCATCTGGTCTGTTTTTATAATATTTTGAAACTTTCCAGGACGTGATTTTGAAAGAATAAAATCAATTATAAAATTGAAACCTCATCTAAAATTATGTACCTAGAGATTGCTTTTTTTTTTTTTAACCTTTAGGATGATTAAAATCATACGCTGGAAACTGTTAAAAAAGTAGAGCCTTTTTTTTTTCATTATCACTTATTCATTCCCTCTTAAATACGCCTATCTAACATGAATAAAATCTCAGAAAAAAATTATTCTTATTTTTTATTTTTATTCTCATTCCTATATCATTCTTTATTATCAAACACCTCACCATCAAGGAATGAAGTGTAAATTCTCATTCACGATATTTCATTCCCGATTACCAAACAGCACCTAGATGTCATTTAGTTATCGGGATTGATAGGTTCATAATAAAAATTATAAAATCAAAATTATATTTGTATTCTCATATTGTATTGAAATATTAATGAGAAATTAGTATATAATTTAATTTTTTTAATATATGATTTTTAATACAAATAAAAATAATGATTAAAAAATAATTTTATCAAATTATAATTATTGTAAAAATAATAAAAGTGATGGTAGTTATAGTGATTGTGGTGGTAGTAATAAATATAATTAATAAAAAATAAATAAAAACAAATATATTATTATTTTGAAAAAAAATCTCATTCTTATTTTTTATTTTTATTCTCACATCTTAAATGAAAAGAAAGTTATATATAATTTTTATTTTCATTCTCACTCTTCATTCATATTTTCACTTTATTCATTTTAATCTAATAGTTATAACGTATGAATAAAATTTTTATTCTCGTCCATGTAACTCTATTTTTCATTACCGAGCACCTTAGTGATTTTTTTATGTCACAAGGGAAACGATGCAATTTCCTCATGTGAACTGGCATGTGTATTTCAGCGAGTGTCTTTTTTCGCTTCCTGCCGTCTGTGTGTTGCAAAATAAATTATTTTATCCAATTCCTTGAATTGATGTACAATTCCCTCATAGTTACACCTAAAGAGGTTTCTAGTTTTGAAAAAGGGAAAAAAATTTCATAAAAACTTTTAATTTGAAAAAAAAAACTATTATCTTCAAAATATATATATATATATTGTAGATATTTCTAATTTTTAATGTAGATTATAGTTTAAAATTCTGGATGCGATTATAAAATTGGTCATAATCACGATAGTAAAATAATAATTACAGTGATCGATATTATAAATGTATTAACATATGTTAATAAATTTATTCTAAAATAAAAAAATTAAAAGTTTTGTTTTTTAAATAATAATATAGCGGTCATTATTTATTATTTATCAAATAATAGTAATAATATTTGTTGTCGTTATATACCATTATTATTGCCATTATTTTGATAAAACTCCGTTGGAATTTATATAACATCTCTTATAACAAAAAAGAATATATCCAAATTCATTAAATATACAAGGGGAGAGCTCGTCATGTGTTTCTCTTATGTCTTCCTACCCTATCTATCTTTAAAAAGTTCATGCATTCTCTTTTCCTCTTTGATATTCACGTTCTCTAGGTGAGATGTATAGGTGTCTCAACATTCAAGCAGATATTAATTCCAGGACCACCTACTTTTTATCCATTAAACTAAATAAACCCTAATCTATCCAAGATTTAGTGTGACCTAAAGTAACTAGTATAGATCAACAAATAACTAGTTATTGTAAACCAAATGGACCCTAGGGTATTAATTGCTAAATGAAAACATGAAAGAGAGAAAAAAAGGGATACAATATTAGCAAACTCAAGCTATATGGGATGGCATAATGTATAATTACTTTAATTATATATGTTTGGATGGGTTAATCTCAAAAGAAAAAATTGTAATTTTGGTGTTCAGTCACAGTGTAGTTTTTTCAAACATCTCTGGCTGTGAAATTTCTGGTCATTTGGGACCAGAAATTGGGCAATTGAAGCACTTGAAGACCATTCTTTTTGAACACCAATAATTTCTCTGGTGAGTTACCCTCCCTTTTACACAATTGTAATCTACTTAAGTATTAATTTGCATTTATCCGAAAATAGAAGAAGAAGAAAAGATTGGCAAAGCAAATCACAGCCTCACAGTTTAAACGAATAGATGTGATCTTAGAAACTTGTTCGTTTTTTTTTTTCACAGATTTATTGAAAAAAGAATAAATTATGAAGCTAAATAACAAAATCATTCAAGAAATGAAATAACATGAGGATTTTTATTTAAAGTAATGGAAACAACATATGGGTTTGACCATCTTTTTATTAACTTTTACACATAAAGCACAATATTGAAATCACTATCAGAAAATATTTAAGCAAATAGTGCAAATTAACCATACAATTTCCACCCAAGCTGGAGGACACGATTTATTTTCAAATAGCAAGTATAAGACATGGTATGCATAGCACAAAGCTAAAACATTAGGACGTTAATTTTCTTGCATCTTCCACTTCTCTATGTCAAGAGGGGCAAACCCACTTTCCACATCAATCAATCTGATCTTCAAGTCGGCCAATTTGTTTTTCTTTGGTGATTCGATGTCACTGGACTCTTCAATTTCTATCTCTTCACATTCATTTGCCACCGACGAGTACTTGACATCCTTACTATATTTTTCAACCACAGCTACATAAAATAATACAGCAAAAATGGTGAGTAAAACGAGAAGCCAACTATATAGAATATTTCCCAATGATTTGGCACGATGCAAGGCCTCTTCAGTAGCACATCTAGCCATTTTGTGACCATCATCGTTGTGAAGTAAGCAACCCTTAGGAATCAACCTTGGGATCCATAGCACAAAGCCCATGACTACGAACCATACACCTTGGAACAAGATACTAAGAGACCTAACAAAGCTAACCAAGAAACTCCCAGGAAGGCCAATTCCCATGAGAGTGGTGGTTAAAGAAATGACTATGACGATTTGCAGAAGCAAATGGTATTGCCCTTCAAGACCTTTGTGGTCACTTGAGTGGAGGTGGAACATGAGAAGTTGCTGGCCAAAGGCTATTGCTCCTGCAATGTATGTTAGACCTCGTTGAGATTTAGCACCAAGTTTATCAAGAAGTATAGCACAAGTTGCGTAGACAAAGAAAGACATTGATATCAAGGAGTGTTCAAAGTTGCGGAGATGGTTTGATGGTATGGTTCCATCAACATCAAATGGATGGTGTTTGCTTGGCCCAATGAAGAGCTCAATTGATATGGAAATGGAGGTCCCTAACATGATGAAATAGAGCTCTAAATACCTTCGTTTTTTTACGGGGAACCATGCAGGGGAAATGTAAGTGTTTGGCTGTAGAAAATGGAGTTTTACGTGGTTGAAGAGATGCCACAAACCTATTATAAAGAAGCCTATGCCTGGTAATACATGCCCTATAAAACTGCCCATATCTTTGATCTTTGTGTGTGCGAGTACTAGGTGCAAGAAGTTCAGTCTTTTTTGGACCGAGGGAGAGAGAGGACACTACAAGGGTTTTTATAGGGCTTGCTTGCATTGGAGCACATGATGGTGATGTTTAAACGGATGATTGTATTATAAGTAAATCAATTTTTAGAGTTTTATTTAATGGAGTATAAAAATTTTAATTTTTTCATTTAAATATATCCATTTTTTAAAAAATATCAAGCAAGTTATGTTCAACTTTTGTTAATTGTTTCGTTATCTCGATGATATGTAATTTACTACATATTAGTAAATTATGATTTTGTCTTTTCATTTTTAGAGGTAACTTTTAGATCCTTTCATTTTATTTTGTCATTTTTTCTTCTTATTGTATATTAAATATTCAAATTATTTTTTTATCCAAAAAGTAGAAAACAACAAAATAATTTGAGAGTGAAAGGATAAAATTATAATTTAATAGTTTAGAGAAAGGAACATGTCATCAAATAACGGAACAACCAATAAAAGTTGAACATAAATACTTGATTTGTAATTTTTAAAAAATAATATACTCAAACAAAAAAATTAAAATTTACATGTTTATCTGAAAAAAAATTAAGAATTAGTGTAAAGTGCAATTATCTCTTTTAATATTGCTTAAGAAATAAAAAATAATTATAGAATATACAGATATTTCCCCCTATATTTATAAATTATAGGTCCACCGATACAGTTCAGGTATATATAATATTTATAATTATATATAAAAATACGAATTCTCTGTGTTGAAACATTTGATTCGACTAAAATATTCTTGAATTTGTATTAACTTAATGAGTAAATTAGAATTTCAATTCTTTTTTTATTTCTTTTTGGTGGGAATTTTAATAACTTTTGTATTCGTTTTTTGGTATAAACCTAATTATTATTAGTAGTTGTATTGATAATTAATTATTAATTAATGAATAAATAGGAATTTTAATACTTTTTAAGTAGTTGCATTAACTTTTCCTGTAAATATAATTATTAGCAGTTATATTTTCTTTTCTATGATTAGTCAAAATTAATTTTCACTTATTTTTTCTATAATTTTCCGATCTCGATCCTTCTTATTCTCTCTCTATATAAAGTCTGTTCCTTTTCTTTTAATATATTTTTTATTCCTTTTTCATATAAAGCTAGTTATTATTCGTGGTTGTATTAAATGACAATTCAACTTTACATTCAAAATTATTTTTAATTTTAGTGAAGTTTTATTTTATATAATTTAAAAATAGAAAACATTACTTATTTTAATTAAAAATGATCAAAATTTATATAAAATTATTTAACTTCGACCATAAAAATTTAATTTAATTCAATAAATATTTGAATTTTTTATTTTAACCAAAATTAAAATAATATTGTAAAATGATTAATTTAAATATTTAATATATAGTTAAATAATACACGTACCAAATACACAGGAAGAAAACTATTCACAATTAATAAAAATATTTTACATGAATGTGTGATCTCAAAAATCATGGCGAAGTTTATGATCCAACTATCAAATCCTAATATTTTATATAAATGACGTATTGATGTTGTTAAGCTATCAATTCTATATATTATCATGTGATTTTGTGCTATTTTTTTTATTCTTCTTATCTTCCTTTTCATATAAATATGTGTGTGTGTCAGTTAGAATGTGTCCATATCCACTAACTAATTTTGGATCCATATAAAATAGGAAATTAAAAGTCAGGAATGTTATTCCTTTATCAAGCTAGGCTTGACTGAACATGAATAAATAAAATATTCAAGTCCCATTTTTAAGGACTGTTTTATTTATTTATGTTTTTCTTAATTTTATGAACCATACCTTTGGTAGGGTATGCCTTGATTCTATACGTCATATGAGATTGGATGAATGATAATTTCTACTTTAATTATAATATTTTCCCACATTATTGGTGCAGCATATTAATTTCAGGGATTTTTTACGATCAAATCAATTTTTAACCATAAGAAACAAGATCTCGATTTTTAAAAACAAATTAGTAAATACTTATTGTTTCAAAAATTAAGTATTTAGTCTCGTCATTAATATTGAACATATTTAATTTAATATTATTTTATTTCAAAATTGTTATATTTCTCATCAATCCTTTTATTTTTATTTATTTTTTATTTTTTCTATTTCTTAAAACAAGAGGTCAAAATAAATTAAAAAATTAAAAATATAAGACTTAAATAATTATTTTTTAAAATAAAAAATAATTAATTCATTTCTCAAAACTAGAAGAAATAATTTATAATTTACTCTAAAGTTAATCTACTCCAAGAAAAAAAAAAGAAAGAAAAGAAAAGAGTAACAAAAGGGAAAACATTTGATCAACGTGCATCTCAAAACTTTAATTGACGTTTTCTTTTTTCTTTTTTCTTTTTTTTTTTTTGGAGAAAGAGGATTTTTATCTCTAAAAGTTATATATTTTAAAGATTTTTCTTTTCTTTCTTTCTTTCTTTTTTGTTTTTTTTAGAGAAAATGGGAATGCATGGCTGTAAATTTTAAAGATTGTTGGAAGATCAAAATTATTATATACCTTGGGCAATGAAATTATGGAAAAAAAAAAAAAGAGATACGTTTATCCATTGGTTTTGTTCAAGTTTTTTTTTTGGGTTAATAGATCAATTTATCTTTATATAATGAGGTAATTTTTTTAATACATTTTTATATTGTTAGTTGAATCAATTTTATCTTTAAATATACTTTAATTTTTGAATTTATCTTCTTCTTTTTTTCAAAATTTTCAGGCAAATTATCAGAATTATTTACATAATTTAAGCATAACTAATTTTTATTCTAAAAAACATTTACAATCGAGTCACATAAAAGACATTCATATACAAAATGTGTGATTAATTCATTTCGATAATTTAGCTTGAAAATCTTTTCAGAATGATTGATTGGGTATATAATTTCTATTCAAAGCTAAAATTAATTCAATCGGATAAATAAAAAAAATTAGATAATAATTTTATTATATAATGACATACTGACTCATTAACTCTTTTAATCATAGCCATACTCTATTTATCTCTTTCTATTTTGAAACAATAGATCTCATTGAAAAAGTCATGCGTTTATTTGCCTGCTCAGCCAAAATGGAATTGTAGAGGTTTAGGGCCTAGTGTGAAACTAACCTAACAAAAAGCATCATTGTTTAGTTAGCTTATTAATATTAATTTCTGTCCTTTTTTTATTACTCTAGGCAAGTTTGTGACCAATTTTTATTTATTTATTTTTAATCATGGGAAATTTCGAGGAATTAATTGCAAATCATTCAAATTAAATTTCCTCTAAAACAATTTATAAAGGAAGTGTAACAAGCTATGTGGTATGAAGTATAATAAGCTATTTTCTGATGGGCTGATCCCAATATAGGAATTAAGTTTAAGAAATTGTACCTTGACATTTCAAAGCAAGCAGAGCTAGGGCCAGGCCCAAGACCCACTATTGACAAAATTAGATCTGACGCTTTGTCTGTATCTACTGTAAAGAGAGTTATTTATTTTTTATTTTTACTATTAAAAATTAATTGATTTCTTGTAAGTAAATTACTTATGCAAAAGTTTTATTTACTTTTCCGTAAAAAAAAGTGCAGTCATTAATTACTTGAAATTATGGTAACAATCATGGTAAAAGAAAATTAATGAATTATGAATAATCCATTATAAAAAAAAACAAAAATAACAAATCTCTAGATCTGAAGAACAATTTTTTTTTCCCCTGATGAGAAGGAAGGCAAAGCTCTAAGAAGTTATGAGTGAATCATCGAAAACAATCCCATAAATATCATATAATCATAGTCTCAAGCAATTTATAAGAACATCCATAAGATATTGGAAGTCAATTTTTTAAAAATTAACATAATTAGCTAACCAATCTATATATACATATTCATCTGACAATAGATACAACGAAAACAAATATCTCAAAGACGTTACAAGAACATAAAAAAGATAATTATTTAACTAATTTGAGATAAAAATACAATGAAGAATCATTTTTAATTATAAAATCATTAATCAATTTATAGAAACTTCTATATTGGATGCTAATTTTTCAAAAATTAACATAATAAAAAAAAAACTACAAGAAGTGAGGTTGTTCTTATTCATTTACTGTAGCTACACACTCAAAATCCATATTCATTCATGTTTTTTTGTATCTTGGTCCCTCATTCTTTGAGAGATAAATTAATTAGTCTCTTTGGTTTAAAAACTAATATTTTTAGTCATTTTCACCGTTTTACTATTTTTTTTTTAAGAAATAGAAAAAAAATAATTCTTTGGGGAATAAATTAATTAGTCCTTTTGGTTTTGAAAACTAATTTTTCCGTACTTTTGGTCATTTTCGTTTATCGTAGCGAGCATTCCCTTTTTTTTTTTTAATGCCAGTCCATTCTTCTAGATCCAATGATATATATTAACTTCTTCACTCATGGATTGTTCTCCATTCTCCAATGAATAGACTCCGCACCTTTCACTATCTTTGAGGTAATATAATTTGTTAACTAATTTATTCTCTTTCCCAACTATTAAAGTATATGTACGACTATTATTATAGTTAATAATTATAATATATTATCATTATATTTTACAAAAAAATTGTAGTTTTTTTTATAACGTTTGGCATCCCTTTTTTTTTCAGTTTCTATATTTATAGGACTATTATTATATGATCAAATATATTATTTAAATCCTTATTTATTAGAAATATATTTCTTTTAAATAATAAAATTATTTATAGTTAATAATTACAATACATTATCATTATATTTTACAAAAAAAAATCAAATAAATATTATAAAATAGTTATTTGTACTTTGATTGTGAATATTGTATTTATTCAGTGCTTTTTTGTTTTGTTTTGTTTTTTTTTAAACATATGGCCTCATTTTTTTTTTTTTCAGTTTCTATATTTGTAGGACTATTATTATATGGTCAAATATATTATTTAGATCCTTATTTATTAGAAATATATTTATTTTAAATAATAAAATTATTTATAGTTAATAATTACAATACATTATCATTATATTTTACCAAAAAAATCAAATAAATATTATAAAATAGTTATTTATACTTTGATTGTGAATATTGTATTTATTCAGTGCTTTTTTGTTTTGTTTTGTTTTTTTAGCCTTCGGCCTCATTTGTTTTTTCAGTTTCTATATTTGTAGGATTATTATTATATGGTCAAATATTTTATTTAGCTCCTTATTTATTATAAATATATTATATTTAAATAATAAAATTATTTATAATTAATAATTATAATATATTATCATTATATTTTACAAAAAATATCAAATAATTATTATAAAATAGTTATTTGTATTTTGATTGTGAATATTGTATTTATTATACAATATAATATTTTGTTATTATTTTATATTATGATATAAATAATATATTGATATATTATTTTACGAATTTGAATATATATAAAAATTGATAAGTATTTTAATAATATAATATATTTGATAATTATACCATATAATTAAATTAATATTACATTGTATTAGTTAAATATTATTTTAAATATATGGGTATAATAATATAATATTTATTAATAAATGATTTATTTAAATATCGGATAACGATTGTTCCCCTTCTATATAAATAATTTTTTATATATTTTTTATCATAAAATTAGGTGTGAAAATATAAAAAAGATCGTTATTTATTTTATTTTACGTATAGTTTGACAAGTAATAAAATCTATATGATATTTTTTAAAATTTTAGTTGGAACATACATATTTGATTATATTATTTTTATTATTTAAAATTTATTTCTTGAATTGTTTGTTTCTTAGTAAAATTCTCATCGAATTAATTTTTAAATTTTATATTATTTTATTTGTTAGTAAATTTAATTTTTTTATACATTGCTTTTGAAATAAAATTTTAGAACTTGATTTTTTTAAAATATATTATTATAATTTATATGATTGATTATTTTTATGATTTTTCAATGAAAATGACGTTGTTGCATATATAAATTCCGATGAGAAAGAGAGAGCAAGAAGTGTGTTTCAGATATTATAATTATTTTTTTAAAAATGATGTTGTTGCATATATATTATAATTATGTTTTTTAGTGCTAGCTCGAAGAAACGGGCTCCAACAATTGGTCCGACTCATTTTATTGTAGTTTTTTTTTTAAGGCTGGCTTGGAGAATTATTTCCTTTTTTTTTTTTTTATAGGGCTTGCCTTGAAAAGCGGGCTCAAACGGGCCTAAAAAGTAATCCCAACCGAGTGTTTGCCTTCTTTTTTTTTTTTCCTTCTAATAATTTATTTTTATATTTTTTATCATGAAATTAGGTATGTAAATATAAAAAAGATCGTTTTTTTTTAGTTTTGCGTACATTTTTATGATAATAGAATATATATATAATATTTTTAAAAAATTTAGTTTAAACATATATATATATATGATTATATTATTTTTTATTGTTTAAAATTTATTTCTTCATTTATTTGTTTCTTATTAAAATTCTCATCGAATTAATATTTTAATTTTATATAATTTTATTTGTTGATAAATTTGATTTTTTATACATGGATTTTGAAATAAAAGTTTAGAGCTTGATTGTTTTATTGTTTAAAATATATTATTATAATTTATATGATTGATTTTTTTTTTATGATTTTTAAATGAGAGTAGTGTAATTGCATATATAAATTCTAATGAGAGAGAGAGACTAAAAGTGTATTTTAGATAATTTTACTTAATTTTTTTAAAAAATTAATAATCAGTTGAAAAATTAATTTGACTCAATTTTTTTTAAAAAAAATTAATATATATACCAACTAGGCCCGACCTTGCTCTTTTTTTCTTTCTATAATTTATTTTATATTTTTAAAAGTTTCATCACCAATCTCATGATAGAAAAAAAAAAGTTGGCTAATTATTTTAGATCTTGATGTATTTTAGGATTGTATCACCAAGAGGCAAAATCAAACTCTTAAAAGAATATATATATTGTCATAGCATAACTAGATCTCCAGCAAGTAATGTACGAGTTAAGCGATCATATATAATTGATCCCTTCACCGGAAAAGAAAACATATATATTATTGGTCCCTTTAATGTTTCGAACCGATATTAATTATATCTTTGACATTGATGTTAACATACATATCCGAATATTTTTTTCTTATTGTTTAAAATTTTTTTCTTCAGTTATTTTTTTCTTATAATTTTTTTTATTTAATTTTATTTGTTAGTAAATATAGTTTTTTAATAAATGAATTTTGGAATAAAATTTCAAAACTTCAATAGAGAGAGAGCTAAAAGTATGTTTTAGATGGTTTTTGCTCAATTTTTTTTTAAATAATAATAAGTTCAAAAAAATCACAAGTTTTATTTTCTTTATATATATATATATATATATATATATATATATATATATATATATATATATATATATATATATATATATATATATATATCGTGTGTGTGTCATTAGTTTCGTTAGAAATTAACTATACATAGATTCGATTTATATTAACCATAAAAAATAAAACTTTCTACTTATATTACACCATATTTACATAGAGTTAACGATTCATATGGTGTAATATAAGTAGAAAGTTTTATTTTTTATGGTTAATATAAATCGAATCTATGTATAGTTAATTTCTAACGAAACTAATGACACATATATCTCCGTGTGTGATATATGTGTCATTAGTTTCGTTAGAAATTAACTATACATAGATTCGATTTATATTAACCATAAAAAATAAAACTTTTTACTTATATTATACTATATGAATTGTTAACTCTATGTATGTAACGGTTTTACGCCGCAGCGTAGCGCGGTATCCAACTAGTCATTAGCTAACTAATCTATACATATGCTCATCTCACAATAGATATGCGGAAAATAAATATCTTAAAGATGTTGCAAGAACATAAAGATGATAACTATTTAACTAACTTGACATAGAAATATGATGAAAAATATTTTTAATTATAAAATCGTTAACCAATTTAGAATCCACTTGTAGTACGTATAATAAAATGAAATAACATAAATATATTTCAATCTAATGGCGGAAATATGACAACTGGGTTTTGCTTTCTTTTAACTTTTGTACATATAAACACAACACCGAACTCACCCCTAAAAAATAAGCCATCAGTGCAAACCATACAATTAATTCCACCCTACCAGCACACATTTTTCTAAATAAATCATCATATATAGCATACCACAAAGCTCAAATTAATTTCTAAGCAAAAGGAAAAACCATCAACAAGACTTCAATTTTCTTACATCTTCTACCTTTCCATGTCAAAAGGGGCAAACCCTCTTTCCGCATGAATCAAACTCTTCGATCCCTCCAATTTACTCTTCTTTTGAGATTCAATGTCGCTGGAGTCTTCATGTATTTCTTCGAATTCCTTGGCCACAGGTGAGTACTTGACGTTCTTGCTAGGTATTTCAGTCAAACCCAAATACAAGGATATAGCAAAAATGGTGAGTCCAACAACAAACCAACTAAATAGAATATTAGCTAATGATTTGGCACGATGCAAGGCCTCTTCACTATCGCATCTAACTATTTTGTGGCCATCATCATTGTAAATTGAGCAACCCTTAGGAATCAACCCTGGTGTCCATAGCATGAAGCCCATGACTATGAACCATACACCTTGGAAGAAAATACTAAGAGACCTTACAAAGCTAACCAAGAAACTCCTAGGGAGGCCAATTCCCATAAGAGTGGTGATCAAAGAAATGGCTATGAAAATTTGTAGAAGCAAATGGTATTGCCCTTCAAGACCTTTGTGGTCGGTTGAGTGGAGGCGGAATATGAGAAGTTGCTGGCCAAAGGCTATTGCTCCTACAAGGTGTGTTAGACCATATTTTGCTTCGGCACCGATTCTGTCAAGAACTATAGCAAAAACTGCGTAGACAAAGAAAGACATTGATATTAAGGAGTGTTCGAAGTTCCGAAGATGGTTTGATGGTATGGTTCCATCAACGTCAAATGGATGGTGTTTTTCTGGCCCAATGAAAAGCTCCGTTGAGATGGAAATGGAGCTTCCTAACATGATGAAGTAGAGCTCTAAATACCTCAGTTTTGTGGTGGGGAACCATGGAGATGAAGTGTAAGAGTTTGATTGGCGAGAGTGGAGTTTTATGTGGTTAAAGAGATGCCATAAACCTAGTATGAAGAAGGCCATGCCTGGTAATACATGCCCTACAAAACTACCCATTTTTGTGAGAGAGAGATTGCAATGAGTTTAATTTTTTTGGAATGGGAAGAAGAGAGGAGTCTAAAACTTTTTTTATAGGACTTGCTTTGCTTGGGAGAAAACGATGATTTGAAATTAAATTATATCCGCAGCTTAGTTCCACGAATTAATCGTGTTTGAATTTATAAATTATATCTGGTTATTGGTATAACACGTATCGAAAAAGAGATTCCATTTCGAAATCTTATGAAAAAAGTGAAGACACTGATAATAATTGATTGACAAAGAACTTATCTAACACGTGTTGAAAAAAGATTTGAATTTTTAATCTCGTTAAAGAAGTGCTAGTGGTTGATTGATGAAGAACAACCCGTTTCACAAGTCCAAAAGTGTTCATTCTTTAATAAGTAAACTAATTAGCTGCAGCTTCCTAGCAGCTTCCTAAATCATTTTCCCCCACTTGCTTGCTCAAAAATCTTCGTCATTAGCTGATGTCCAGCTTAATTGTACAATTTGTTGTGATTTAGCTTAAGCATTCATAATGCATATGAAGCAGCAAGAAAAAGATTGAGCAGGAGACTAAATTTCATGAAAATATACACAGAACTGATCAAACCCTAGCTTTTTTTTTCCTTTTTTTCTTTTTTGAGAATGAAGAGGCCTAGCTGGTTACATCAAATGTGAAAATAAATTCCATCAAGTGAGGTTACATGTCAAACCAGTCCATTCGTGAGTATTACAAACGAAGCTGCAAACGTGCATAGTTAGTATGAAAGCTTGTTGGTGAAGTAATTAAAAAGTTTGCTTTTGTATTATAGGTTTTTCCTCACTAATTTGTCTCCTCTCAAATTGGACAAAATTTCTCTGGAATGTAGTCGTTAATAGACTGACATTGATGCTCAAGATTGAAGTTATTGATAGGGAACCTTACATTATACATTTTCAAACTTGATGTTCGTATTTGAAGATCTAGCAAATCATTGAGAAGACCTATTGTTGAAGACCAACACTTGATTGTACACCATTTTACGATCAATTAAATTATAAATTAGTCGTTTTAAGACTTATTGTTAAAGACCAACACTTGATCGTACACCATTATAGAATCGAGTAAATTATAAGTTAGTCATTTTAATTTTGAAAAACAAATTAATTAGTCCTTTTATTAAAAACTAATTATTTAACTCTTATATTTTTAATTTTTTTTATAACTTAATCCTTTTTGTTCTTTTTAAATTTATTTTATTTTTTTTTAAATAAAAAATAGAATAATTGATAAAAAAAAATTATTTTGAGATAAAATAATATTAAATTAAACGTAGTCAATACTAGTCAAATGACTTATATAATTAATTTTTGAAACAAAAAAAATTAATTAATTTGTTTATAAAAAATAAAGGACTAACATATAATTTATCATCAAAGAAGAGGGGGAAAGTATATTAAAGGACTATCTCACCTAAAAGCTTAAGTCGATAGGTAAGGTCTCGTAATATAATTTATACTAGTCTTTAACACATTTCCTCAAGTGAAAGTTTCAACATTTGGGTTTGAAAGTTGCACAAGTCTACATTGTTTTGTGCTTAATACTTGAAAAATTGGGGATTGTGAGACTTGAACTCAAAACCACATGGTCAACCAAGCTCGATACCATATTAAAGGATCATCTCACCTAAAAGCTTAAGTCGATAGGTAAGGTTTCATAATATAATTTATATTAATCTTTAACAAATTTAACAAAGTACGTTAATAGGCTTGTTTTCCACTTAAAAAGAAAGCAATCATTATAAATTTGTAATAAAATCAAAAATTAAAAATGTTTTAAGGTGTCATTATAATCTAAAAATATGATTGTCAATGGTGAGCCTAACAAAGGCAAGTTCGGGATGTGGCCAAGTCCATTAACTAATGTTGGGTCTTGACGGAATGCGGGATACCTAAAATAAACAAGGGAGAAAGGGCTTACTTTCAAAGTTCGAAAAGTCCAACCCCCCTCCCCCCCCTCAACACACACGAGACACGTACACACACACACACACACAAAAGACACTTCTAAATCTTTTTTTAGTAGAATAAAGTATTTTAATAATATAATATATTTGATAATTATATCATATTATTAAATTAATATTATATTGTATTAGTTAAATATTATTTTAAATATATTGGTATAATAATATAATATTTATTAATAAATAATTTATTTAAATATCGGATGACGAGTTGTTTCCCTTCTATATAAATAATTTTTTATATATTTTTTATCATAAAATTAGGTATGAAAATATAAAAAAAAGTTATTTTTTTTATTTTACATATAGTTTGACAAGTAATAGAATATATATGATATTTTTTAAAATTTTAGTTTGAACATACATATCCGATTATATTATTTTTATTATTTAAAATTTATTTTTTCAATTGTTTGTTTCTTAGTAAAATTCTCATCAAATTAATTTTTAAATTTTATATGATTTTATTTGTTAATAAATTTAATTTTTTTACACATGGCTTTTGAAATAAAATTTTAGAACTTGATTGTTTTTTTTAATACATTATTATATTTTATATAATTGATTATTTTTATGATTTTTCAATAAAAATGACATTGTTGCATATATAAATTCCGATGAGAAAGAGAGAGCTAGACGTGTGTTTCGGATATTATAATTATTTTTTTAAAAATGACGTTGCTGCATATATATTATAATTTTTTTTTTTTAGTGCCGGCTCGGAGAAACGGGCTCCAGCGGTTGGTCTAACTCATTTTATTGTAGTTTTTTTTTTAGGGCTGGCTTGGAGAATTATTTCCTTTCTTTTTTTTTTTTTTTTTATAGGGCTTGCCTTGAGAAACGGGCTCAAACGAGCTCGCAAAAGTAATCCCAACAAGCGTTTGCCTTCTTCTTTTTTTTTTCTTCTAATAATTTATTTTTATATTTTTTATCATGAAATTAGGTATGAAAATATAAAAAAGATTGTTATTTTTTTTTAGTTTTGCGTACGGTTTTATGGTAATAGAATATATATAATAATTTTAAAAAATTTAGTTTAAACATATAGATCTAATTATATTATTTTTATTGTTTAAAATTTATTTCTTCATTTGTTTGTTTCTTATTAAAATTTTCATCGAATTAATATTTTAATTTTATATAATTTTATTTGTTGATAAATTTGATTTTTTATACATGGATTTTGAAATAAAAGTTTAGAGTTTGATTGTTTTATTTTTTAAAATATATTATTATAATTTATATGACTGATTTTTTTTTTATGATTTTTAAATAAGAGTAGAGTAATTGCATATATAAATTCTAATGAGGGAGAGAGGCTAAAAGTGTGTTTTAGATCATTTTACTTAATTTTTTTAAAAAATAATAATCGATTGAAAAAGTAATTTGACTCAATTTTTTTTAATATATATATATCCGTGTGTCATTAATTTCATTAGAAATTAACTATACATAGATTCGATTTATATTAACCATCAAAAATAAAAATTTCTACTTATATTATACCATATGAATCTTTAACTCTATGTATGTAACGATTTTCTCACTGCAAGCATAACACGGGTATCCAACTAGTCATTAGCTAACCTATCTATACATATGCTCATCTCACAATAGATACGAGGAAAATAAATATCTTAAAGATGTTGCAAGAACATAAAGATGATAACTATTTAACTAACTTGACATAGAAATATGATGAAAAATATTTTTAATTATAAAATCGTTAAGATATTTAGAATCCACTTGTAGTACGTGTAATAAAATGAAATAACATAAATATATTTCAATCTAATGGCGGAAATATGACACCTGGGTTTTGCTTTCTTTTAACTTTTGTACATACAAACACAACACCGAACTCACCCCTAAAAAATAAGCCATCAGTGCAAACCATACAATTAATTCCACCCTACCAGCACACATTTTTCTAAATAAATCATCATATATAGCATACCACAAAGCTCAAATTAATTTATACGCATAAGGAAAAGACATTAATAAGACTTCAATTTTCTTACATCTTCTGCTACCTTTCCATGTCAAAAGGGGCAAACCCTCTTTCCGCATGAATCAAACTCTTCGATTCCTCCAATTTACTCTTCTTTTGAGATTCAATGTCGCTAGAGTCTTCATGCATTTCTTCGAATTCCTTGGCCAAAGACGAGTACTTGACGTTCTTGCTAGGTATTTCAGTCAAACCCAAATACAAGGATATAGCAAAAATGGTGAGTCCAACAACAAACCAACTAAATAGAATATTAGCTAATGATTTGGCACGATGCAAGGCCTCTTCACTATCGCATCTAACTATTTTGTGGCCATCATCACTGTAAATTGAGCAACCCTTAGGAATCAACCTTGGTGTCCATAGCATGAAGCCCATGACTATGAACCATACACCTTGGAAGAAAATACTAAGAGACCTTACAAAGCTAACCAAGAAACTCCTAGGGAGGCCAATTCCCATAAGAGTGGTGATCAAAGAAATGGCTATGAAAATTTGTAGAAGCAAATGGTATTGCCCTTCAAGACCTTTGTGGTAAGTTGAGTGGAGGCGGAATATGAGAAGTTGCTGGCCAAAGGCTATTGCTCCTACAAGGTGTGTTAGACCATATTTTGCTTCGGCACCGATTCTGTCAAGAACTATAGCAAAAACTGCGTAGACAAAGAAAGACATTGATATTAAGGAGTGTTCGAAGTTCCGAAGATGGTTTGATGGTATGGTTCCATCAACGTCAAATGGATGGTGTTTTTCTGGCCCAATGAAGAGCTCCATTGAGATGGAAATGGAGCTTCCTAACATGATCGAGTAGAGCTCTAAATACCTTAGTTTTGTGGTGGGGAACCATGTGGAGGAAGCGTAAGAGTTTGATTGTCGAGAGTGGAGTTTTATGTGGTTAAAGAGATGCCATAAACCTAGTATGAAGAAGGCCATGCCTGGTAATACATGCCCTACAAAATTACCCATTTTTGTGAGAGAGAGATTGCAATGAGTTTAATTTTTTT